TTTCCTCTTAAGCTAATTAATAGTCACTGTAGAGGGGAGAAGCAATATTGGCAGTGCAAGAACTAGCAGTGCACCACTGACCCTTTCTCTTCCTTTTCCTCTTCCTCACTGCTCTTTCTGCTTTAATTTTTTATTTTTATTTTCTTTGTGTGTACTGTCTTCATGTATGTCACTGTACCGTGTGCACAATCTGGGACATCAGGGTAGAGAATGAAGAAACAACAAATACACGTTCAGAAAACCTGGGATTGGGAAGACTGTGTATTCTGGTGGAGACAACACCAACAACCACCACCAGGAAACCCATCATTTGTATATTATGCATCTGAATTGAGGATCAGTTTGTTGTATATAGCTGAATGAGGAAGCCGGTTTAGCTGATCTAGTAGGGAGCAGGTCACTATAGGGAAGCAATCTCAGGCTGAAAACATTCAGGAGGAAGAAGCTGCAGTGGATATTTTCTGCATACACTGTCAACATCCAAACATCCAGGGGAAGGCTTGTAATTTGCCTGAGACTAACTGAGGGAAAGCATTTCTAGTCGCATTGGTCTGAGGCATTGGGACCCAGGGACTTGTGATAGGCAAGCACTCTACTGAGATAAACACCAAGCCTGAGTTTCTGTTTTTCAATTTTTTTTTTTTGGTTGACTATACAGATTTTGAAGGCAGTGTCTTATTATTTCATAAGCTTAAGTTAAAATAGCAAAACAGATGATTTGTACTCAGTGATTATTACTTTTTAAGGTAAATATTACAAATAATATCGTCACAAGACAAACATACAATACAGAGAGTAATGTATTCAAACACAGTAGACATTAGGAAAACTTTGAAAATTCTAAGCCTTTTTTAAACATTATTTTAAAGATTTACATCTTTAACTCACCAAATAGTATTTTTGACTAATATTTCAAAATATTGTAATTGAGGAATTATCGTTAAAATAAGAACAAGGATCTGAGATACTGGTTTCTTAGCAGTACGGTAATAAACTGTTCTAATATAATATTGTCAAAGACTATATTGTATATATAATAAAATGAATTCTGTTGTAAGCAAAGAGAACAGAAGACTGAAGAGATGGTCCATTGGTAAAGAGTACTGCTGCTCTTCCAGAAGACCCAAGTTCAGTTCCCAGCACTAAATGGCAGATCACAACCATCCATAATTCCAGTTGCAGAGGATCAAATATCCTATCCTATCCTTGGGCACTGTGAAACACACATACATATATATTAAACATTTTAATTTTTTTGAGAGAGTACTGTGAAAACCCAGAAAGTTTTACATGTACTAGAGCAGTAGTTTGGGTCTTTTAGATATAGTGAGCCTACTTTTTAAATTTTATTTAATTAATTTTAAAACAATCTTATTTTACTTGTCAATCCCAATTCCCTCTCCCTCCCATTACCCCCACACACACCTTCCCCCACCCACTTCCCGAGGATGGTAAGGCCTTCCTTCTATGGGGGATCATCAAAGTCTGTCACACCTTCTATCTGGGCTGAAAGAGTATCCCTCCATAGGGAATGGACTCCCAAGCCTGTCCAGGTCTCCTAACTGGCACCTATATTCAGAGGGCTTGGTTGGGTCCAATGCTGGTTCCCCAGCTTGCTCCTGTTTCCATCAGCTACTGGGTGAAAGCTCTAGGATGGCAATTAAGTTGGTCATCAATCTCATTATAGGGGAATGGCAATCAAAGGAGGCCTCTCCACTACTGCCTAGATTCTTAGTTGGGGTCATTTTTGTGGATGTCTGAATATTTCCCTAGTGCCTGATTTCTCTTTAAACCTTTAATACCTCCCTCTATTAAGGTATCTCTTTTCTTGATCTCCTTTATTCCTCCCCTGTCTCAGTCTTGTTCTCTTCACCTTCCTCTACTCCCCTTCTCTTTTCCCTCCCTCCCTCTCATCTCCCCCCACAAGCTCTCAGTTTGCTCAGGAGTTCTTGTCCCTTTTCCCTTCTCTGGGGGACCTTGTATTTCTCTCTTAGGGTCATCCTTGCTTGGTAGTTTCTCTGGTGGTGTGGATTGTAGGCTGGTAATCCTTTCTCTGTATCTAATATCCATATATGAGTGAGTACATACCATGCTTGCATTTCTGTGATATGATTACCTCACTCAGAATGGTTTCTTCCAATTCCATCCATTTGCCTGCGAATTTCAAGATTCCATTGTTTTGTTTTGTTTCTGCTAAGTAATACTCCATTGCGTATATACCACATTTTCATCCATTCTGTGGTTGAGTCGCATCTAGGTTGCTTGCAGGTTCTAGCTTTACAAACAATGCTGCTATGAATATCATTGAACATATGTCTTTCTTGTTTGAAGGACATCCTTTGTGCATCCTTTGGGTATATTCCCAAGATTGGAATTGCTTGATCTTGAGGTAAACTGATTCCCATTTTCTGAGAAATCATCATACTGATTTCCAAAGTGACTGCACAAGTTTGCACTCCCACCAGAAATGGAGGAATGTTCACCTTTCCGCACAGTCTATCATAGACTGTCATTGGTGTTTTTGATTTGAGCCATTCTGGTCAGTGTAAGATGGTATCTCTAGGGTTGTTTTGATTTTCATTTCCCTGGTGGCTAAGGATGTTAAGCACTTTCTTAATGCCTATCTGTCATTTGAGAATTCTCTATTTAGTTCTGTACCCTACTTTTTAAGTGGATTATTTGGTGTTTTGTGACTAGTTTCTTGAGTTCTTTGTATATTTTGTAGATCAGCTCTCTGTCAGATATGAGGTTGGTGAAGATCTTTTCCCATTCTGTGTGCTGCCGTTTTGTCTTGTTCACTGTGTCCTTCGCCTACAGAATCTTCTCAGTTACAGGAGATCCCATTTATTAATTGTTGATCTCAGTGACTGTACTACTGGAGTTATGTTCATGAAGTGATCTCCTGTGCCAGTTCATTCAATGATACCTCCCACTTTCTCTTCTAAGAAGTTCAGTGTGGCTGGATTTAGGTTTTCTTTGATCCATTTGAACTTAAGATTTGTGCATTGTGATAGATATGTATCTATCTGTAATCACCATGCCTGCATCCAGTTATGCCATCACCATTTATTGAGAATACTTTATTTTTTCCATTGTGTAAATTTAGCTTCTTTGTCAAAAGTTAGATGTTCGTAGCTGTGTGGGTTAATATCAGAGTTTTCAATTCGATTCCATTCATCTTCCTGTCTGTTTTTGTGCCAATACCAGGCTGTTTTCATTACAATAGCTCTATTGTAGATCTTGAAGTAAGGGATGGTGATAACCTCCTGAAGTTCCTTTATTGTACAGGGCTGTTTTGGCTCTCTTGGGTGTTTTGTTTTTCCATATAAAGTTGAGTATTCTTCTTTCAAGGTCTGAAGAATTGTGCTGGGATTTTGAGGGGGATTCCATTGATTCTGTAGATTGCTTTTGGTTAGATTGCTATTTTTACTATGTTGATCCTACCTATTCAAGAGCATGGGAGATCTTTCCATTTTCTGGTCTCTTCCTTAATTTCTTTCTTTAACAACTCAAAGTTCTTGTTATATACAGGTCTTTTGCCTGTTTGGTTAGAGTTACCCCAAGACATTTTGTGTTGTTTGTGGCTATTGTAAAGGAGGGTGTTTCTCTGATTTCTTTCTCAGCGCCTTTATCATCTGTACATAGTAGGGCTACTAATTTTGTTTTTCATTAGTCTCGTATCCTGCCACTTTGCTGAAGGTATTTATCAGCTGTAGAAGTTCCCTGGTAGAATTTTTCAGGTCACTTATGTAAACTATCCTATAATCTGCAAATAGTGAAAGGTTGACTTCTTCCTTTCCAATTTGTATCCCCTTTATCTCCTTTTGTTGTCTTATTGCTCTAGCTAGAACTTCAAGTACCATATTGAAGAGAGATGGAGAGAGAGGCCAACCTTGTCTTGTTCCTGATTTTAGAGGAATTTCTTTGAGTTTCTCTCCATTTAGTGTGATGATGGCTGTTGGCTTACTATATATTACCTTAATCATGTTTAGGTATGTTCCTGTTATCCCTGATCACTCTAAGACCTTTATCATGAAGGGGTGTTGAATTTTGTTGAAGACTTTTTCAGCATCTAGTGAGATGATCATGTGGTTTTTCTTTGTCAGTTTGTTTATGTGGTAGAAAACATTGATGTCCTCCTAAATTTCACTAGCATAATTTGACAGTAGAGTGATTAACTTTAGGAGAACCAAAGAATTGCACTTACTTACTCAACTAATTAAATGAGATCCAGATATCTAAAAACTCTTTATTTGTACAGTCATTTTTGTTTTGAGATGTTTTATTTTGTTTTTGAGTTTTGTTTGTTTATGAGTCCAAGTTGGCCTCAAACTTGTGGCATTCCTCCTACATATTTTCTAGAAGTATGAATTATCCCTCAACCTATTACAAACCCTGTTTTATGAGGGATGAGAAGATGAAAAATGTGACAATATGAGGAGTAACAAATGAATTTTAGGTGGGTGTTTGTGTCTAGGATTTATACTGTGATTAGTAAATTATCATTTTTGGGAATTGAATGGGCCTCAATGAGAGATAGGCAAAGATTCTATCAAAATCTGTCCAGGTATTGCTCATCTTTCAATCTTCCTTTCTGAAGATATGAGTTTAGTTTTTTAAAAAATCATGGAAAAGACTACATGCAGTTAATTTCATTTTTGAAATATACAGCATAGTATTAACACAAACACTTCTACTTCTCTCCAAGAACCTTTATTATTAAATTATCATCATATCAGGGTACCATATTTTGAGGTAAATTTCTATAGATGCCTTTAGAAGCTTTCTTTAATTATTTTAGAATTATATTGTTGGCTTTAGACCAGTTTGTTCAAACAACAGTTTTGCTAAGTCAACAACTAAGATATTTATGAATTTAAATTTCTTGACAAAGTTTTCACCTTTCTCTGCTACTCTTGACTCCCAAGAATTCTAAGCTTGGCAAAAACATAGCGAAATACAGTGAAAGCTGACCTCTTCTCCTTCTTTCTCTTGGTTAGTGTGCTGGAGAAGAGAAACGAGTTGGTACACGCACAGTATTTGTTGGCAATCAACCTATTTCAGAAACAGAAGCTTATATTGCACAAAGATTTTGTGATAATAGAATAGTCTCATCTAAGGTAAGTTATATTTCTTTATTTGTAAACTCACGGGGTAGTCATATAAAGTTGTTTTGTTTTTTAATTTATGCTTCTAAGGAAACATACAAATATGGTCATATACAAATAATAATACCTTTCCTCCCCCTCGTTTTCTCCTACTTCTCTCTCCATTCTCTGCCCCCCCCCCACTTCCCCTGAGCTCTGGGAGGACTTGTCCCTTCCCAGTTCTGTGAGGGACTTTATATGAATCTCTTAGAATACACCTTGTATCCTAGTTCCTCTGGCCGTGTGAATTATAGGCTGGTGATCCTTTGATCTAGGTCTAAAATCCATATATGAGTGAGTACATACTGTGTTCCTGTTTTTGTGACTGGGTTACCTCATTCAGGATGGTTTCTTCAAGTGCCATCCACTTGCCTGCAAATTTCAAGATACCATTATTTTTTTTCTGCAGAGTAGTATTCCATTGTATAGATGTGCCACATCTAGTAGTTTGGAAAGAACAATGCCCAAATTCCCAAATATTGTCTATAAATGTTTGTTTTCATTTAAATGGACTTTGTTATATAAAATGAATTTTAAAAAAATTAAAAAAAGACAGATCATAATACCAATTGTAGTAATTATTCCTCTGAAAGGGAGTTTACTTTTTAAAAATTCCATCTTTTTGTCTGGATGTAACTTTCACTTGCCTTCTATTATGAGTCACAGTACCTAGTGATTGTGCATATTACTTTAGGCCTTAAAATGTACTACAAGTAATCATATTGTGTTTAGGAGGGATGTTTATCAGTGGTTGAACATTTGCCAACATTTTGCATGTTTGTGGGGTTTAGTAATTATTTACTTGTATAAAGGTTTTTAAATTGCTTTTGAAAGGATTAGGCTGTACATGATTTACATTCTTTTGGAGGGTGCTTAGTGACTTTCATTTGCATTTTTTTTCTCTCTCCTATCTTCTGACTTGTATTTCTGGTTCCTAAAAGGGTACATATTGCCTGTATACTGTTTGACCTATGACCTATAAAGTTTAATCACAATTTCCATCTTTTTTTGAATAATTGTTTTATTTCAGAGTGGTTTAAGCTTAGAGCAGTGGCCTGCAAGTTTGAGTCTCTACATTTAAAGCTTGATAAACTATTCACTAGCTATATCACCTTTGTCAAATTAATCAATACAATTTATAAAATGGCTAATGCTTCATATATGAAAACACTTCTTACAGCTCCTAGTACCCAGTAGTCATCACTCTGCTAATATTAATTTACTGGTCTTTATTGCTGGCAGACAAGTCAAGGTGCTAGGTAGCAGATACCTGGCTTACTATCATCTCTTGTAATATGGAATGTATTTTGATAACGTTCTTGACTTCCCAATACAGCCTGGCAAGGGAGAGCTAAAACATTATTGACATTTACTTCAGTGTACACTTGCAGTTAGTTAGGACCTGTAACGCACAATCATGTCCTTCCTTTAATAATATACTACTTTTTGGTATTCAGATATTCCCTTGGTTTCTCCTTTAGGTAATGGCAAAATGGAGATTGTTTTTAGTTTAAAGATTAATATGTAAAATACAGACAGGAAGTTGGTAGATCTCTGTGAGTTCCAGGACAGCCAGGATTATATTGTGTGAGGCCTTGTCTCTACAAAAAAAGAAGAAAACATTAATATGTAAAATATAAATATGAAAACTGAGTAGCCCACTGAACAGATATATATGTAGGAGAGTAGAACACTTATGATGTACTTGTATCTGGGGTAGGGAATTGTGCTTTCTCTAAAGATTTTGACTTACTCTGTATTACCCAACTAAGCATTCAATTATAGACCTTTGGCTCATAATCATGGATTCATGGAGGTAAAAGGTTCAAGGTTCATCTTGTTGACTTAAGTAGAAAAAACATACCCAGAGAAAGTTCGCATCATGATAAGCAAACACTTAGTGATAAATCGAGAAACAGAACACTTGTGTAAGGGCCAATAACTGAAGAAAGAACCCTTTCCACATTATGCTATTTGCACACCTTCCTCATGTTTTCTCTTTCCACATGAAAATGAAAGAATTATAATTTTCTGAAACATCTTATATGGAAGATGGTAAAGTGATATGCTGTTGGTGACCGTTCATTAAATTACAGATAATTGTTTTACTTGAGTTCTCAATCTTATTATTAAATAGAATGCTGTTACATATTTTTGTCAGCATTGAAAAGAATGCAATACCATAACCTCAGTATAATGAGTGATAATGATAGTGCACAGTTTTTTGTTAATGAAGGCCACATCCCTAGGGACAGAAGACTTATGGACTTTTTGTTTGGTTTTGTCTTTGTTTTTGAGACAGGGTTTTACTATGTAACCTTGGCTATCCTGGAACTCACTTTGTAGACCTAATGACCTAGACTGGCCTCACGTTCACAGAGATCTGCCTGTATCTGCCTTCCCAGTGCTGGGATTAAGTGCTACCACCACCCAGTTAAAACACTTGAATAGGAAGTTAAAATCATTTGTTAAACTTGAACCTTAATTCTCTTATCTATAAAATACATATATTGCATTATTCATTTCACGAGATTGTAATGAGGACAAAATGAAATAATACACATAAAGCATTTACCGTTGTTTGGAATGTGTTAACACATTCTGCTCTTGTTATTTGCATTTCTGGGATTATTCCAATTCATTACTGTTGATTTTCTTGGACTCTTGTGATTTGAATGTATGGCGAGGGTCCTTTTTAGTAGAGGGACATTAGAACTACTCTGGAGAAACCAACCATTTTATAATTGGGCCTTATTTTCCTCAAAGTACCTTTTGTTTCCATATATTTGTGCCATACTCTTTTAATTGAAGAAGTATACAGTTTATAGAACATGCTGTCTTCCAACTCTGTAGCAAGTGTTATTTTCCTTTCTCTACTTTGTTATAAAAATATCATTTTTTTCAGTGTTTTTCTTTTTTTACTTTATTATTTTTTTTTACTTTACATGTCGATTCCAGTTCCTCTCCCTCCCTCTTACACTCTCTCCCCCCTCACATGCAACCTGACCACCCTCCCCTCCCATCCCCCTACCCCTATTCCACATGTAGGGCTATGCTATCCAGGTGGGGTCATGTAAATCTGTCAAGTCATTTGAAGTAGGGACTAGGACTTCTCTAGGTTAAGGCAGTTATCCCTCCATGGGGGATGTGTCCACAAGGTCCTTTTGTGCACCAGGAATACATCCTGGCTCCACTGTCTGAGGTCCCTTAGACTGCTCAGTCCTTCTGGCTGAGACCCATATTCAGGGGGTCCTGAGTCAGTCCCATGCTGGATTCCCAGCTATCAGTCTGGGAACCCGTTAGCTCCTCTGTGTTCAGGCCCGCTGTCTCTATGTGTTTCTGCGACCTGGTCTTGTCCTCTCCCTCTGCATCTGGATTCTATTTCGACTCAGTGTTTAGTTATGGGTGTTTGCTCCATGATGGTGTAAATGTCAGTTGTTGATCTCAATATCCGGGAAGGGCATTTATGGTAGCCTTTCCACAGTTGCTCAAATTGTTAGTTGGCAGCACTCTTGTAGATCTCTAGACCTTTCTTTAGGTTCAGTTTTCTCTTCAAACCAATAATGGCTTCCTCTTTTATGTTTGTTCTCTTTCTCTCTCTCTTCTGTCTTCTATTCCTACCCTGACTCAATCTTCCTAGTTGCATGTGCTTTCCTCTCCTCCCCTTCTCTTTCTCCTACTTCTCTCTAATTCACCGCCTCCCCCAATTCCCTATGTGCTCTGGAGGACTTGTCCCTTCCCCCTTTTGTGAGGGACCTTATATGAATCTCTTACAATACTCAGTGTTTTTCTTTACAAATAACCCTTTTATAAAATCAGAGTAACAGGGAATGAATATTGTTAATACTGTGAGCACTGAAGAAAACACTTTGACCTTTAAATTTTATTAACTTATAAAATTAGTGTCTCTTTTTCTTCTGGGAACACAAATAATTCCTTAAGAAAAAAAAATGTCCCTTGAGGTGATACTAATGTAAAGAATTCTGGTTATCACCAGAATTTTGTAGCTGGTACAAAATTGGAAATTTCCCTCCTTAACAAAAGAAGCATTAATTACACTGCTGTTGCTCTTAAGTTCTTTAGGGTTGTTTGTTTGTTTTTTGTGTTTTTGTTTTTTACTTTGGTTTTGGTTTTTTGTTTGATTTTTGTTTGTTTGTTTACAAATTCTGAGCTTGATTGTGCCTTTAGTGAAATAAGCAGTGAGCTATATATAGTTCATTTAGAAAGTAAAAGTTGGATCAGGGTTTTAGGTATAAATTTACACTATAATTTTTCCTTATTTAAAAAACCAAGTTAAGACCTGTGAAATGGCTCACCAAATCTGGCGATGTGGGTTCAATCCTTAGGACTTATATGGAGTAAGGAGAGTACTTACTCTCATCAGTTGTCCAATGACCTCCACATGCACACTGTAGCACATGTATGTGTACTCTTGCATACACCTACAGTGAATAAATAAATAAATAAATGATAAAAACCAGAGTCATCTATAGTAGAATTTATTAAAACTGAGAGGACTTCTTTCAGTTTTGTCTGATGTATTGAAAGTAACCTTTAATTTTTACTAAATTCTGATTCAGTTTTAGTCAGAGCCTTTATTGCTTTTCAGGGATTGAAATTTATGGTGGATGGAACAGTGTGAAAAATGAAAAGTTCTATGTGGCATTGTTGAATAGTGAAAATGAAAGTAGAGTGCATAGTTCAAAATTCCATTTAATGCCAATGTATAAGAAGATTGATAGTAACTTGAATATAGTATTTAGCAAAGTGAATAGTTACCAATATATAACTTAATGATAATCTTTCTGTTTTATTTTATTGCACTCAGATGGCTCTAGTAGTTACAGGTGTTCTTTCTGTAGTTCTGTTTGCTGGTAACTTTATTGGTTACTTTTTAAATAGTTACTATTTAATTTTTACCTGTGTCCCAGTTTCTTTTAGTTGTTTGTTTGCTTTTGAAAAGATTTTGTTAATTTTGCCCAAATTGGCTTGCCTATGTGGCCCAGACTGTCCTTGAACTTCTGGCAATCCTCCTACCTCACCTTCCTGAACCTTAAGATTACAGACATGTGGCAACAACCAATTTTTTCTTCATTTTTCTGGTCCATATACAGACACATTAGAGCACATTTACTTAGAGCTTTGTCATCAGCATTCTTAATGCTAAGTGCAAAGCTTGGTGAACTTCACATAAAAACAGCTTTTCCCCTCCCATATGTGGTGCTTTGGATCAAGCATAGAACGACATGCTTGTTGGATAATCACTCTATCACTGAGATATACATATGCATACTCCAGACCCAAATCAAGTAAAGCTCAAAGCCTTCAGTCTCTTAGTTCATATTCATTTCAACTTCCCTTCTTTATACGTTGTGAGATTTGGTAGAAAAAAAATTGGTTTTAAATTATTTTAGATAATACTTTTCATATAGTATCAGTTTTAGAAGACATGTGTATGTACCAACTACAAAAATAAATGAAAATAACCTCTATAAAAAATACTTGCAGGTCTGGAGAGTTGGCTCAGCAGTTAAGAGCACTGGTTGCTCTTCAAGGGGTCCTAATTTCAATTCCCTGCACCCTAATAGTGGCTCATAGCCTCATTAGAACCCATGGGATCTAATGTCCTCTTGTGGTGTGAACACATGCAGACAAAAACACCCATATACAAAAAAATACATATCTAAATAAATCTAAAATAATTAAAAACAAGCTGAAACTATTTTGTGGGTCCTGGAAACTGAGTCCTGTTCTTATGCAAGAACGGGTGCTGTTAACCACTGAGCTGTGTCCTGTTTCCTTGGTTTTCTCTGAGGTCCTTCTCTTGGATCTTGGAATTATTCTTCAGTTGGCTGTTGATTGTTATCTTAGTTCACCTGCTATTACTGTGATAAAGCACCATAACCAAAGCAACTTTGAGGGAAAAGGTTTTATTTCAATGTACAGTTTATCATTATGATGGGAAGTCAGGGCAGAAACTCAAGGCAGGAATCTGGAGGCAGGAATTGAAGACCTTGGAGGAATGCTGCTTATGGGCCTTTTCCTCCTAGCCTGCTCAGTTTGCTTTCTCATACACAGCAGGAACACCTGCCCTGGCATGGCACTATCCATAAGCTTCCTTAAAGGTCTTTTTGGTGTGGACATTTTCTCAATTGTGGTTCCCTCTTGTCAGGTTACTCTAGCTTATGTCAAGTTGACCAAAAAAAAAAAAAAAAAAAAAAAGGAAGAAAGAAAAGACCTGAGCCCTGTTCTCCATTTTTTATTTCTCTTGAGATTCTGTGAACTTTGAGAGCTCCTGGGCCTTCTTTAAAGGAGTTGTTAAGGACCAATAAAATGGCTCAGGTAGTAAAAGGGGGCTTCCATTTAAGTCTGGCAACCAGAATTTGATACTTGGGATGTACATAAAGTTTAGAAGGAGAGAGATCATGCCACAAAAGTATCATCTGATGTGCACATGCACACCATAGCACATGCACCACCTCCTACCCACAAAATAAATACACAAAATTGTCTAAAGTAAATTTTAAAAACTTTATAGCTATTTAACAATAAAGTCGCATATATGCTGTCATGCTCTGAAACTTGGGCTTTCTTTCTAGTCACTTTATCAATGGAAATCAAGATATGATTGGGTTAGAGGCTTTTCAAGTATAAATTTAGCCTTTTACCTTAAAAGGATTTTTTTTTTTCATTCTGGTTTCTAGTCTCCTGTATTATGATATATCCTACTTCTGTTGATTCATTGAGCTTAAGGCATTAATAAGAAATTACATGTGTATATGCATTCAGATTGTGTGTATACCTATTCATCTATGTATACATTCTTAGCTGTCATGAATGTGGACATTAAGGATAGAGACAAAATTTTATCTCTGAAAATGAGATTAACTCTGTGATCAGCCTAAGGCAAGAGAACTAATATACTCATTCATTCATTCAAGTAACTTACCTATAACAGAAATTGTTAGAAGGAATACTAGGGAAGACAATTGAACAACCTACCTCTGTAGGAATTGGTGCCTATCAAGGGAACAATCAGTTCAGGGTCTTAACAAAGTAAAACTTTACTTTTGATCAGGAAAAGGATATTCACAAAAATGGAATAGCTGGCACACTAGGACAGCAAATTCACTTGGTCTTTATTCTAATGTGGGTGGTGACTGTGTCTTTTTCCCATTGCTTGGGATTGAACCTCATAATCTTTTGTAAATGGCTTATTTAAATGAAGTTTAATTAAATGAGTTGTAACTCAGCAAACAAAAGTTTTACTCAGTCAGGTTGGGTAAAACATTCGTATAAAGGTTTTACAAAATGGGTGAGATAAAATGACTGCAACTCTTTAATGGTAAACAAAGGTTTTACAGTGTTTTCAGAAGAAGCTATTATTTAATGTTTTATAGTAATGAATACTGTCAAAGTTCATATAATATGATATAGGAGCAAATAGCAAGGAATTTGTTTTAAAATGGGTTGGAGAATTTAAAAAAGTATAGGACTTAGATAATCAATGAAATTTCCAGTGGTGCTTCATTTATGAAAAGAATATATTATATTCTTCTAAATATATGCTCATGTAACATGTGGTGTGTGTTTTCAATTGTTGGATATACTAAATGCTACTTTATACGATAATAAGATTTTTCAAGTGTCTTTTACAATAATATTTTGGTTCAACCTCTTTTACAGTATACACTTTGGAATTTCCTCCCAAAGAATTTGTTTGAACAGTTTAGAAGAATTGCGAATTTTTATTTTCTCATCATTTTTCTTGTACAGGTAAGAACTCCATGAACTACTACTTCAACATGGAGAAATTTAGTTGTTTCAATTCATAATTTTAAGTTGTTTTGTGACTGAAAAATGTGATTATTATTTTTAAGTAGAAATGTAAATGAACTTAAAGAATTTAGTGATGTTTTAGGTCTCTAAAGTTATATTAGAAATGAGATTTTTATTTTATTGTTTGATTTTTCATGAATTTCATCTCTATCTTAAATATATATTGTATAACAACTTAATGATTTGGTATATACCAAAATTAAAAATAGTTTAACAGTTTTACTTTGTTAAACACCAGGGGTTTTTTTGTATGTGTGTGTTAGGGTAGGGTAGTGTTTATTCATCTTATACTTTCACTATTCATTCATGAAGGAAGTCAAGACAGGAACTCAAAAAGCACAGAAGCCAGGAGGCAGAAACTGATGCACTGGTCAGGGAGGAATGCTGACTACTGACTTGCTTCCCCCTGGCTTGTTCAGCCTGCTTTCTTATAGAACACAGAATCACAAGTCCAGGAATGGCACCACATACAAAGGTCTGGGCCTTCTCCCATCAATCACTAATCAAGAAAATGCCTTACATCTGGATCTTAGGAGACATTTTTCTCAATAGAGGTTTTCTCCTATCTGATGACTCTTAACTTGTATCAAGTTGACATAAAACCACCCTGTACCCTGTCTCAAAAATTCAGTGTATAGTCCCAAATTATGGGAACTAATAGTTATAGCTCATTACTTACCAGCCCTTCCATGTTTTCTTCCTGAATGTCTTCAGTGCTTCTTTCTACATCTCTTACTTCTACCCTAATCCAAGCCATCATCTTTCACTTGGAATACAGCAGTAGCCTCCCAAGTAGACTGCTGTCCTCCATTCTAACCCTTACAAAGCATTGAGAATGAATTTTCATGTTGCTTTCCCTATGTAAACTGTTCAAAGAGTCCCCACTGTGGTAGAATGAATAATCAAAAGTCAACAGCTTTCCCTGCACAGTTTGACTATGCCTGCCTCTCCAGTACTACCTGACAACACACTCTTTTGGAACTGTTTTTTGTTTTGCTTTGTTTTATTTCTTGTAAATGTGTCACTTTCCCTTTTAGATGAGAGACTTTGTGTATATTGTCTATTGTTCCTGAAAACCTCCTTTGAGATAGTTAACTCCTAACTGCCCCATAGATCCTCAGTGTCTATACACTGGTTTTAATGTATTATTTTCCTTGTAATCTTTAAGCTATATGAAGTCCAAGACTTTTCTGTCTCTTTAAGCAAGATTTCTAATGGCTATATGGTAACAGTATAGGGGCTGGCAGAATGATTTTCAGCTGTTACCTTTTAAACCAATGCACATTTCAATAAAGGAAATGATCTAGTAATCTAGTAAGATATGAAAATTAGTGCTGAATTTTCTTAAATTACCTGTTATATGGTTTTTGTTGTAAGTAAAGTTAGTGTTCATCTCAATAATGTATTTTGTTTGAAATATTTGTAACATATAAATGCTACATATGAGTTTTATTTTCAATTTAATTTCTTTACCTAGGTCACAGTGGACACACCAACCAGCCCAATTACTAGTGGACTTCCACTTTTCTTTGTTATAACTGTTACAGCAATCAAACAGGTAAATTTCTTAGTTAAACTATACCTGTCCTTTAATGCAAACTGGTTTTAATTTTCTTGTCCATTTTCTAACTTATTTATTCTTTTCCTTCTCAATATCTGTGTGTATGTGCTATAAACATAATACAAAGAAAAACTAGAAAATTCAACTCAGTTTGGAAATGGGAAGTAGGCTTTTACTGTTCATTAATTATTCTAGTGTGATTATGTCAAATTTCTAATACCAAATGAATTGTTGTTGCTCTTGCCTATAGCACAGAACTCAATAACACACATACTTGAATATCATTATCATCAGTAATACTGTTGAGGGGAGTGATGGATAGGGGAGACGTTCTTGTCAGAGCTGGTAAGCTGCCACAGATTATGATGTGATTGTCTCTAAAGTATTTTGAACGTTTTATGTGTTGGTACCTTTAAAATTGTTCAAATGAGATTGAAGAAACAAGGTTACCTTTCCTCCTGGAGTTATCTGATCTTTTCTCTTGCCTATCAGGAATTATACAAACAGTTTTATCATGTCTTTCATTACTAAATAAAGACTTGGAATGTTCTTTCCCTTTGGCTATCTGGACACTTTTCTTACTATCATAAATTTTTAGTTCTAAGAATAACATGCGTGGTTTTCAAAGGACCTTACTGATTCATTCTACCCCCTGTCTAGTTCATGTTATGTCCTTCCTTTCTTCATCAGCATCAGAGAGTGTGCCCTTTGAAATAATAGCCTAATGTTTTCATAAAGAGAAGCAGAATAGGAATGAGGAGAGAAGGGGGAAAGGAGAGAGAAAGCAATCAGATTATTTTTCCAACAGATCTTTTTAAAAGACACAGATATTACAATAAAGGAAAATATTGGCTATAAATAGAGGAGGTCATGTACAAATGAATACCCTGATTCCTTAGCTCTGTTAGCTTCAATCTATTCCACACAAAAAGCCCAAAGGAAAATGAACCATTAAATCTCTCTGATTATTTTTTAATTCTAAAAACAAACACCAATTTCTATTTTGTTTAATCATTAAGTCAGTGGAGAATTTTAATTGTTATCTCTACAATATGTAAATTCTCTGGCAAAACAATTTCAAATTTTCCTATTTTCTGCATGAGAAGAATTCCATTTCTAAGTGATTAGTTTTATCATAAAATTAAATGTCAGAAAAATAATTTTTTTCAAAGGAAAAGTAGAAACATCTGCTGGAGAGATAACTCATTATTTAAGAGTACTGGCTTCTTTTCCAGAGGACCCAGTTTCTATTCCCAGCACCCATGTAGCAACCACACAACCATCTATAACTCTAGTTCCAGGGCATCTGACACCCGCTTCTTGCCTCCCCAGTCACTGCACACACATGGTGCACAAGTAAAATGCCAATACACATAAAATGAACAAATCTTCCCAACAAAATAGAAGTAGTAATGTTTCTTAATTTGTCACACATACGTTAAAGACAATATAGACATTCATTTGAGCACTACAGGAATAAATCATAGATTTTTCACAATGAAGAACATTAAGGCTCTAATACCTGTTTTGTCTTTAATATATATCTTTAATATATATCTGAAAAATTAAGGAACCCTATCACACAATAAAACTATTTACCTAAGGCGTATGTTTAAAGTGAGCCTCATATTTTCTTTTTTCCCCCTTTCTTCCTTTTTTTCTCCTCCTCCTCCCCCCGTCCCCTTCCCCTACCCTCCTCCTCCACCTTGATAGGGCTTCTCTGTATTGCTTTGGAGCCTGTCCTGGAACTCGCTGCTCTTTAGATGGAATCTGTCTGCCTCTGCCTCCCAAGTGCTGGAATTAAAGGCATGCAGCAATATATTCATCATTGTATCTGTGGCATTCCGTATTGAAATTAACATTATAAAGTTATAAACATAATTTTTCTTACCTTTATAGGGATATGAAGATTGGCTTAGACACAGAGCTGATAATGAAGTTAACAAAAGCACTGTTTACATTATTGAAAATGCAAAACGAGTGAGAAAAGAAAGTGAAAAAATAAAGGTACTGTTTTACTAGAAAACTCCTTTCAAAGCAATTCTTAATGGTGTATGCATGTGCAGGAGCATTCTTACATGCCATATAGAACGTGTGTAGAGTGTGGAGTCCAGAGGACAAATTTCTGGAGTCAGTTCCCTCCTTCTGACATGAGTTCTGTGGTTCAGAATCAAGTCATCATGCTTACACTCCAAGCACTCTTACACTGTAAACCATCTCCCTGGCACTCACTTATGATAACTGCAGTCTTTTGTGATAAAATTATACATTTGAAAGTATACAAATCAGGGTAGTAGTTGTGCAGTCCTTTAATCCTAATATTCAGGAGGCACAGGCAGGCAGATCTCTGAGTTTAAGGCCATCCTGGTCTACATACTGAGTTCTGGGACAGCCAGGGGTACCCAGAGAAACCCTGAGTCAAAAAAGCAAAGAAAAGAAAGTATATGAGTCAGTATCATTTATTTATCTTCACAGTGTTGTATAACCATCATCACTATTTATATCACCAGAAAAGGAAACTCCATAATCATTACACATTATTTCTTACGCCCACGTCCTGTCAACACTAACCTTTCTTGATGAATTTACAGTTTTAATATTTTACAGGAATGAAATAAGCCACTACATGAACTTTGTGTTTTCTATCTTTCAGAATACTTTAAAAATCCATTTGTGTTGTAGCATATATCAATAATTCATTTCTTTTCATGGTTGGATGATATTATATGTGTATATATAATTCTTACTCTATGTGTATAGCACATTTTCTTTATTCGCTAGCTAATGTTTCTGTTGGGGTCAGCTATAGCTATTGCTGCTCTGAACGTTAAAGGACAAGTTTTTGTTTGAATATCAGTTTTCCATTCTTTTGAGTATGTGCCTGGGTTGACAATTGGTAGTATTATGGTAATTTTAATGAACTTCAGAACTGTTTTTGCACAAAGGGTGTACTGTTTGTATTTTCAGAGCAAGGTGATATTCATATTTTATTCAAATTAATCATTGTTTGCTTCCTCTACAAAATAAGATCCCTGCCAGATGACAGTTAGATTTTACCACATCACATGTTTTTTGCTGCCAATAGATTTTTTTTAAATCATAAGCTTTGCTATTTAGAGCAGGTTTATGTTCACGGCAAAATGTAACAAAGTATAGCTGTATAGCCAATGCTCTTCCACACAAGCACCCTTTTGTATTATAAACATCAGTAAACCACCCTTGGCACATAAAATTTAGGTTGCATCAATGTTTACTCTTTGTGCTATACATTCTATGAGGTTTGACAGATAATGTGACATGTATTTAACATTGTAAAATTATATAGGATAATGTCACTGTCTCTAAAAATCTGTGTTTTGCCTCATTATTTATTCTTCCTTTTCCCTTAATCTATCAAGTCACTGGTCCTTTTACTATTAAATGTTTTTGCATTTTCCAGAACATTATATTATAGAAACTATACCAAAACCATTCCATCTATAGACTTTTTTTTTTTAAATATTGACTTCTTCCTTCTTAACGTGGGTGCCAGTTAGGAGGCCTGGGCAGTCTATGGGACCTCTGACAGTGGAACCAGTGTTTTTCCCTAGTGCACACATGGACTCTGGGAGCCCATTCCCCATGGAGGGTTACTATCTCAGCCTAGATATACAGAAGAGGGTCTGGACCCTCGCCCAAATGATACGACAAACTTTGATGACCCACCATGGAAGTCCTCACCCTTCCTGGGAGATGGATGAGGGGTCGTGGGGGGGGGATTGGGAGGGAGACCAAACTGGGATTGATAAATAAAGTAAAATTGATTTTAAATTTAAAAAGTCTCAAAAAAATTCTGATTTCTTGAACTTAGTATACATTAAATTTTCCTTCATGTCTTTTTGTGGCTTGATGGCTTATTTCTTTGTGATATGAAATATTAATTTTTCTGAATATACCAGTTTATTTACTTGATTATCTACCCTGTAGAGGAGGAATATATTTTATTCCTAACAAATTTTGACAGTTGTGAATAAAGTTGCCTCAAACACTCAAATCTAGATTTTTATGTGGATATAAGTTTTCACCTCATTAGCTGAAATAATTTCATATGGAGATTAGTGGTATATGCTTTCTGAAATGGGCCTGCTCTGCTTCCATCACACCTTTAGTGTTTGGTATTTGGGTCATTCTAGTCAGGAATTAGGTTGCCATTGTTTCTTTTATTCTCTTTATTGTTATCTTAATTCACTACTGGGTTTTACAAACTTTTGAAAGATTGATTGCAGTTATCCTGAGCTTTGTGTTGGACCTGGGGTGCTGGAGTGTTTTTCCTAATGTTACTTTTCCACCATCTTCCTTTAGGATATCCCAGATGGTCTGACTAACAGTAGATGCCTTTGTGTTGCCTTTCTTATCTCTCAAAACAGTAAACTTTTGTTGCTTATTTGTTACTCAATATGAAACTCCAGATAAGAGCAGAGTAATTTCTTGGTTCTCCTGTACCAATCTCAACCTTGGCCACACACTAAACACCTGAGTTTTATATAGCATAGTAGTTTCTAGTCTTACAGTCCCATCTCTCATGGTGGTCAGGTCCTTAGTATAAAATTGGCTTCTTATCTTATCTCATGCAGAAGCTTGCTTGCATTTTCTTTCTTCCGCCTCTTCCTTACTTTTGCCCTAAAGTAAGCTTTTTGCTTCCTATATGAGAGGGGTCCATGACACTGGCATGCCTTGTGCCTGCCTGGCTCCTCATAGCGGTTAATCACTCCTGTGGCAGATCAGTAAAGAGGGTACTGTTAAGTCCTCATGTTTTCTCATGAGCACAGTGGGAGCCTGTGGAAAAGAGCTGGGAAATGGTCCAAGCTTGTGGACATTTGAAACTGTCATAGTAGCTTATACCTAGCCTTTAAGTATTGTTTAAAGGAGATGGCCAATTGAGGTTACATGTCCACTATTGTTAGGAGTCTTAGCTGGGGTCATCCTTGTAGATTTGTGGAAGTTTCCCTTATACCAGGTTTCTACCTGACCCCAAAATGCCCCTCCCCATAACACAAATTGTCATCAGAGAGTTTTGTTCTATAAGTAATGGAAGCAGATGCGAAGATCCACAGCCAAGCACTGACTGGGCTGAGCTCTGGGAATCCTTGAGCCAGGGAGTTAGGGGATCAATGTCATTACAAGGGAACCCACAGAGACAACTAACCTGGACTCATAAGAGCTCACAGACACTGGACTGACAGCTAAGAAGCCCACATGGGACTGACCTATGCCCTCTACAAATGTGAGACAGTTGTATAGCTTGGTCTACTTGTGGGACTCCTAGCAGTCTGAGTGTAGCCTTTCCCTGACACTTTGTCCCATTCTGGCTTGCCTCGTCCAGGCTTTATGCAGAGGGAGGAGCTTAGTCCTACCTCAACTTGATATGTATGCCATGATTTGTTGACTCCCATGAGAAGCCTTCCCCTTTCTGAATGGGAACAGAGAAGGAATTTATTGGGAGAAGGGAATGGGAGCAGAGGAATGTAGGCAAAATTTTTTGTCCCATCTTCATATCCCAAATAACCATACAGAAAGTTATTATTAATTACAATTGTTTGGCCGAAAGCTCAGTTTGTTATTAAGTAGCTCTTATAACTTAAATTAACCCATATATCTTATCTACACTCTGCCCTGTTGCTTGGTGCCTTTTCTTAGTATGCCAAGTTCATGTCCTGCTTTCTCTGCCTCTCCTCATGACTCCCCAGACTCTGCCTTTCTCCTCCCCAGCATTTTCTCTGCCCTGAGAAGCCTAGTCATTTAGCTTTTTTGTTAAACCAATCACAGTGACATATAATTCATACAGTTTAAAGGAATACTCCACACAGGAGGAAGGGGAACTGTGCCCTGGATGTAAAATAAATGAATAAATTTAATTAATTGAAAAATAATTTATTGAACAGCCAGTGAGATGGCTATGTGAATAAAGGCATGTGCTACCATGTTTGAGGACCTGAGTTCAGTTCCAAGGATCCACATGGCAGCAGAGGAGATCTGACTCCCTAAAGTTTTCATCTGATCTCCAAGTATTAACTGTGGTACATGTGCCCACACACATCATATACACACAATAAGTTAATTAAAATAGAAAAAAAATTAATTTAAAAAAATTGTTGTTGGTCCCAGTGTCAGAGAATTATAATCCAACTACTTGGGAGGCTGGGGCAGAGACCTCACATGTTTAAGTCCTCCCTACCCTACACAGACCAAGGTCAAGACAACTTGATCAACTTATTGATCCCTTAATGTCTGTACTTATAGTGCTCATAGTTTAGTTGTAGAGAACTTGCCCATCATACATAAAGACCTAGTGAATATGCTATTTCTACTGCTCTACTTTGTTTATTTTTCTTATTAAACACTTTTATGATAGTCAGTTTTGTGGTGATAAATGGTTTATGATCTAGTAAAGTCACTGAAGATCAGAATGCATTACCAGCCACACTAGTCAGCCATAGAGGCCAGGCTCAGAAGACAGAGGCAGATGGATCTCTGTGAGTTCAAGTCAACCCAGGTCTACATGAGAGTGAGTCAGTCTAAAAGAGAAACAGAGCTCATGCCTCTAATCTCAACAGTAGTCAGGTATATTAGGAAAGAGCAGGGTCTGAGAGCTGACATTCATTCTCCAGTCACATTGGGGGCAGGAAGGCAATTAGTCTCACTGAGGTCAGGATCATCCCAGCTTTAGTAAAGATATCTCACTAATGACTGACTACTTTGCTTTTGTGATCTTCAGCTTGAACCCCAATATCTGTCTCTAGGTTTTTGTTATTTGAGTTACACATTTTTTCCTCATGTGTTCCCTTGGTGTTATAAAACAGGTCATCTGGGGTAGAGATGGTTAAGGGTACTGGTTCTTCCAGAGGACCCTGGTTTGGTCCTCAGCATTCACATGGTGGCACACAACCATCTATTACTCCAATCTCAGGGGATCTAATGCCCCATTCTGGCTTGTGTCCACTGCACATGTGCTTCACATTGGAGCATTACTCAGGAGTCAGATTGGTGTTATAGCCTGAAAGATCAGCGAAGCAGGGAAGCCACTAGTCCTCCCTACCTGCCCCATTCCTTCTTCCAAACAAAGAGCCAGATACCTTTCCATCTTGCCTTATTAATTTTGGTCAGCTAGTGGCTAATCTGCCCTCTGACTCCAAGCAAGCTTTATTTGTAGAACACTATAAAAATATCACACACCACTACATAGCCAACAGTGCAGGCAAAACATATAGTATCTGTAGTATGAGAAATATATATTATCTGAGGACTGAATATGCAAGGCAAAGGATAATAAGACACTTGGAAGGGATACAGAGCAGGAAATCTGTTCTATTATTTTTTATGTATGTTACTTATTTATGTGCATGTGTATGTGGTATATATGCATGTATACTGTGGTGTTCATGTAAGGAGATCTAAGGAAAAATTGTGGGAGTCAGTTCTCTCCTACCATGTGGCTTCTGGGTATTGAACTGGGGTCATCACATTTGATAATAAGTGTCTTTGCATGTTGAGCTATCTTAACAGCTCCCTTTAAAAATGATGGAAGGATTGGGAGAGATGGCTCAGAGGTTAAGAACTACAGCTACTCTTGCAGAGGACCTGGGATCAGTCCCTAGCTCCCACATAGCTCCTCACAACTATCCTTAACTCTACTTCACAGATTCTGACACCCTCTTCTGATCTCTGCAATCACAAGGCATGCATACAGTGTGTTTACATATATGTATGCAAAACACAGATACACATTTATTTAAATGGTAAAATAGAAACAAACTATGAGTTGATTGAGCCTTTCTCTTTCCTTAGAGTTACCTTTTCCTTTGGCTCCAGGGTGAAGCCTAAATTCCTTAGCCTGCCTGTCCTGTCCTATTGTGGTATTTCTTCTGTATATTTAAGGATAGCTATTGTTGTATCATAATATAAGCACTTGTGGAACCATGAAAGGAAACATTTGAAAAGTAAAGTAATATTTAAAAATCAATTTAATTATAATTGTTAATTCTGGCACTCTTGGATATTTGTTTATATTAACAAAGAAAATAAATTTTCCATTTGAATAGGCCTAAAATCCTCACCTTAATATCCCAAATCAAACTACAAAAATAAAAGAATTTCATGTATTAGTTGAGCATTCACAATCAGTGTATCCAGGTCAATGTGACAGGCTTTGACTTCTATGAATGTGACTTTCATTCTTTACCTCACCTGTATATTAAGCCCTCTGTGAACTTAAAAATATTGTTTTGTGGATTGTAGTATATTTATGATTAGTGGTAATAGTCTTGTGGATTTTGAAGGTTTTTTTTTAAAAGTTTTGTTTTTAGGGCTTTTAAAAAAACAGGGTCATTTTCTCTATAGTGTGTCATAGAAATTGTTGGGAAGTGTTATCTGAAATATACTCTGGTATTATCAATTTGCATTAATAAGTATTATTGATACCCATCAGATAGTTAATGTGTACACATTACTTAATGTTTTGCTTCTTTTATCATTTCAAACATTACTCTTCTGCAATCACTGGAATCATTTAAGACGTTTACCTGAGGTTATATTATGTAGTAACAAAGCTAGGACATGAACTCAGGTTAAAAGTCTTCACTTTTATGCTTTGTTCTCTACATCATTGAATTGTTCAAGATGTCATCTCTTAAGTTTTTCTTCTACTTGGGTTCAGGATGCATGCTGATAAGAGAGTGTTGTTGCTGTATTAACTGGTTCTTTAATGGATGAATTCTTGGAAAACTGACCCAAGAGCCCCCTCTCCCCGCCAATTAATGAGGAAAATTGATACTTTGCTCAATTAGCTGAGGTATTCTGAACACTAAAGAAGGAACCCAATAATCATAACTACAGACAAAATATGCTGAAATATATGTAGTTCGAAATGAAAATGTGGAGGGCTCTGGTCATGAAGTAACTAACCTTAAACCTATAGATTTTCTTGCTTCAATCTTGAAATGACAGTAGAAGTTCTTACATACCAGTTTCAGGAATATCAGAGAACACAGAACACATGGATGTCAGAATTACTTATTACACAACAGTGCTAAGTTATTCTGAAAGCACCCTAAGCCCTTATGACCTTAAATGGGATTCTAAATGTTCAGTAATAGTCTTTCATTTCATTGCATGTGGCGTAGAATGCTAAAATACCCCAAAGTGTCAAATCTGAATATGTTTCTTAATAAGGTTTTAGTGTTAATGAGTGTTATACAGAATAATTTGTTTAGAATTTAAAAATCTTTATTCTGTTATTTTAGGTTGGTGATGTAGTAGAAGTACAGGCAGATGAAACCTTTCCCTGTGATCTTATTCTTCTGTCATCCTGCACAACTGATGGAACCTGTTATGTCACTACAGCCAGTCTTGATGGTGAATCTAATTGCAAGGTAATGAGACTAAGCCTGACCCGTACTTTATTCTCAGAATGGTTAATGAGACAGTTGTATTTCCTAATACTCTTTAATCCCTTATCTTATTTTTACTGTTCATGTGAGTATGTTTATATTTGTAGACAGCGGTTATGTAATTATATTCAAGCTTGTAAGTAAACACCCATCTTGGAGAATAAGTTTACATTGTGGGGTGTAGGGGAGAACCATCCCCTGACCAAAAGCCATCACAATTTTTATAGCACCATTCAAATCTAATGTTGATAAAATCCAATTAACATGTTGTTTAGGTTTTGTTGTTGTTGTTGTACTTAGAACTGAATTCTTGGCTCATAAATGCACAGTAGAGCTACCACTGAGCTATATTTCACCCTAGACTTTTGTAAGTAACAATACTTGTGAGCTAAAAACTACATAACTACAAAAACAACTTTAAGTATTGTAACTTTATAATTCATCTATTTTTATTTTTAGAGGGTTGCATATTATTGTTTAAAAGATTTTTCTGGGTCTGGAGAAATAGTGCTATAGTAAAGAGCACTGACTGCTCTTCTAGAGGAAATGGGTTCTATTCCTAGAACCTGGCTCACAGCCAGCTGCCAGTACCAAGGAATTTGACTCCCTGACCTGATTCAGCATGCCCTGATCTGCTCAGACACACTAGGCACAATATAATTCTTCTTGTGACATGGCTAGTCTAATGTTTGTTTGTTTTGTTTTTCGAGACAGGGCTTCTCCATATTGCTTTGGAGGTTGTCCTGGAACTCACAGAGGTGGCCTCGAACTTACAGAGATCCATCCGCTTGCCTCTGCCTCCTGAGTGCTGGGATTAAAGGCATGCACCCCCAACACCTGGTTGATTACATGTTTTAATACTTTAGGTTATAGTTTAATAAATGTGTTCCTTATTGTAACTAGGAGGAATTTTAATTATGGTATAGTCAACTTAATCAAAATAGATGATAATTTTACTTTGCTGGTACTTTTGACAAAGCCAGTTTTTGGATGTTATGATCCAGTGTTCCACAGGTCATAAAGACTTATCCTTTCTGTGCTGCCTTTAAGGAGTTATTCTGTTTCTGTGTGGTGCACATGCCTTTAATTCCAGGACTTGAGAGGCAGATACAGATGAATCTCTGGGTTTGAGTCCAGCATGATCTACATAGGGGATGCTGGACCAGCCAATGCTGCATGGAGATATCCTGTTTAAAAGAAAGAAAATAGTAATACTAATGAGCTCACATCTGGGCATATCTGTGGGGAGGTCTGCTATTTTTTCTTTCCCTGTGGAGTTAAGGAATAGGTCTCAGAATGTGAAATAAAAACTTTACTTGTTACTGTTTACTGACTTTGTGTTCAAAGCACATGGCACCAAATAACTAATGTCTTAGCTGTTCAAAAACAGAGTTATTTTTTAGAGATTATCAAGATAGAAAAATCTACCTAAAGATTCTCTAACACTGAAACTATTGTTTAGAGGAAGAAATTTTTCAATGTTCTTTTATTAAGTGGCAGTAAGTCAGAAGTCAGGTAGTAGTTTTAAATGTAAAGCAACTAGTTCTATAATATCCCTGAAGACTATGTCAACAGCTTTCCCTTGTGCATAAGTAGTGTTAATCTTCATTAACCTTTGTTCACAGTACATAAATAGGCTCATTGGTGCTTGTCTTGCATTTTGGATGGAGTAAGATTATGGTACACATATGTAGACTATTGTAACCATTGAATATAAGATATTATCTTCCTGTTCCTATATTCATATTGAACAGTTTCAAAATCATTAAACTGTTTATGTAATGAAACCATTAATGCTTCATTTTAAATCTTGGTTTTATAAATTAAAATCTTCATAGGGATGGGGATTTCAGTTAATTATATGCAACTACAAATGTAATATACACTCCAGTGTCAGTGCAAAGGATTGTTTTTATTTTTCTTTTACCTTTTGAAATCCTTTTGGAGTAGGGTTACCTAGTTATTTGTAATGTATTTTAATAATGGGATCCTGCGATTCATTTGGTATAGAATATCCATCAACATTTGTAATGCTCTGCTTAACACTCTAAAATGTGCTGTTTCTGAAATCAGTTGGCTATACAGTTATAAAAAAGAAATACTTTATATTTGATTACTTTGTGCTTTCATATAGACACATTATGCAGTACGAGATACCATTGCACTGTGTACAGCTGAATCCATTGATAACCTCCGAGCAGCAATTGAATGTGAACAGCCTCAACCTGACCTCTACAAGTAAGCACCTTGTTTCACTTTATTGCTATCTCTTGGCTCTTCTTCTTTTTTGCCACCAGTATAGCAAAGAAACACCCAGTACTTACCAATCTACGCTTGCTTATATTTTTATGAGCTGTTCTTCCTCCTGGAAAGGAAATGAATCAAATCAGTGTTGCTCACTACCAGCCAAGATAATTCATTATGGGCCCAGGCATCCCATGATTTCTTTTCTTTTTGTTACTTGTAAACATGGCTATCAGTTTTTTAGAATGTTACCCAAGCCTCATCTATTAGACTAATGGAATTCCCAGAGTTAATTAAAACAAAAATAAATCTTTTGCATCTTATGCAACATGAAACAAACAAGAGGCTATGGGATAATGCAATAGTAGGCACAGCATCCTTTCTTGTTATTGATTATGATGAACTGAAGATTGCGAGTAGGCCATTTAATGTTCACAATAAGCCATTAAGTTCAAGGACAATTAAAATGGTGTGTTTTCTTCTGATTAACATATATTGTGGATTGTCAAGAACTTGTCATTAGCTTCTAGGACTGGTTAGTTTAATTAGGGTATGGTACTGTTGAGAGTGTAGTAATAGTTATTGATTAATTTCATCTATACCACTGTTGCAGGGAGCATCCACTATACAGGCAAGCCATCATGTTAATTCCTGTTGTTGGTCATAATGAAAGACAAATGGTGTTTTCTACTCAAATATGGAACAGTAGAGAAATACACCCTACTATGTGAATGTTGGCCGCAGGCACGAGAGCGCGCGAGCACACACACACACACACACACACACACACACACAACACACATTTCATCCCTTTTTTCCTCGTTCTCTTTTTTATGTTCACCTTGATACTAAGAACTAGAGCCACAAAAAAAAAAAAAAAAAAAAAAAAAAACTTTCCACCTTCAAGGAACTCAATGAACAAAGAATAACAATCAATAAAGCTAAGCTTGCAAGACATTAATAAAGATGTATGCAAAGTCCATGTAATCAAAGAAAAGGGAATGGCTTATTCTACTTGAAATTATGTCTATATTACACATACATATATATTTGCATATTTATAAGGGAAAATCCCAGAATTTACATTTGCCTTTAGGGTAGGCAAGGTTATCCTAATTTACCTAAGCTGAATTCCTACAGTGTGACTTCGGAGTACCAAGTATTACTACTACTCTGATTACTTGTACTATATTTTTCAAATTTACTTATCTTTCCTAAGGTAAATAATATGTCTTTTTAGTTTATTGTATCTTCAGCATCTATCTAGTTTAGTACTTTCACAAGAGTTAATGGGTAGAGCTTCCTATCTTGTATATAAATATGTTTAAACTGAGGCACTACAGAGACAACTCAGTGATTAAGCTCATGCATCACACACATACACACACAAACAACTTGTTATAACCACTTATAGTTCCAAGGGATCTGAAGCCTCTGTCTACTTTGTGCACATTCATTCACATGCACAAGCACAAAGATATACTTAGGTTCATCAATTAAAAAGAAATACGTTTTTAAAAGAAAGCATGAATTTTAAGTGATAGGGATATGGATAGGGGGAGGTTACAGTGGTGGATATTATCAAAATACATACAATGCATTATATAAAATTCTCAAACAATTAAAATATATTGAAAATCAAAATGTTTAAGAGTATTTGAAGTGTATAACATATTTCAGTAAAACTATTTTCTATAAAGAAAACACTATAATGCAAATTACAAAGAAGTCTACTTTGCAAATATGTAGGTTACATTGTGTCTGGCCATAATAAGTGCTTGGATAAGATCAATTACCAGATACAAACATTTTCAATGTGATGTAGTCAAGTGTTCTTGTCATTAATTCCCAAAAGTTGTACCTGAGATTAGCCATACCAGTATCAATTGAGAATATGACACAGAAGCTTAAGGATAGGACCCAGAAGTCTGCTTTTAAAGCTTCTTTCCACACCTGTAATTCATAATCAGGCTCGTGTGTAAAATTCACTGAACTCATCATTTTGAAAATTGTATATAGTATCAGAAACCATTCTTGACATGTATCTAAATTAAAAGCCATATTATTTATAAAAAGGTATCAAATAAGGTACTGTGTATATACCAAATAGAACTTCAGTTAATTTTAAACCTTTTTTATACTCTTATAATTTCTAATATTATTTAAAGGTTATATTTACATGTTATATAATTTATAGTTTCAATGGAACTTTTTTCCAGAAGCATCATAGAATTTTATATCCATTCATTCTTTTTTTTTTTCATTATTTGTAGTCTGAATCATGTTCAATTACTGGTATTTGGATTTTTAAACTTGGTATTATGTTTTGTTTTTGTTTTTAACAGGTTTGTTGGGCGAATCAGTATCTATAGTAATAGTGTTGAGGCTGTTGCCAGGTTAGTTTGTTATTCCTTTTATCTATCCTTTTGGAAGGAGGGATATTTCTCTTGTAAACCCACTAAAATGTCAAATGCCTTTTCTTAAATTAAGTGAAAAGAAGATAACTACGTAACCCTGTGATTAGTCTGGTTGTGGTGGTAGGGTCTCTTTTCTATTGGGTAGGAGATTAATATTGAAATAATGTATAGACTTTCCAAAAGAACAGAGCTCCATGGTGTATCACGAAAATAAAAACCCAGAGCTTGGTAAGGGTTTATGGTGAAGATCAGAGAAGCAAAACAGCTAGCAACTAGATCTTACCTCTACTAAGCTTAAATGCCAATCCTGTCTCCACCAAGCCTCAGACTGCAATCCCAGACTGCCTCTCCTCAATGTGGCCAGATACAAGTGTCTCTCTGGAGATACTTTCCTTTTATACCTCTCAAATCCTGGGATTAAAGGAGTGGGGTCCCAAGTGCTAAGATCTCCTTTGTTAAATAATATATCACCACACCAGGGGACCAGCCAAATGTTCAACCAATAAAGACACTTGACACAAAAGCAACTTTAAAGGAGAAAGATCTGACTCCATAAAATTATCCTGTGCTCACTACACATACAAACTCTGTGGCATATGGACCACATAAACAATATTTATGTTTGTATGTATGTGTTTTAGTTTAAAACAAGAGAGCAGAGCTGTGTATTTATTGGCTGATTTTCCAAACCTGTTCTAGACTTTACATATATTTTCCTTTGTTATATAGTGGCTAACAAGGTTAAAAATAAAGCTGAAAAATAGTGGTCTATGTGAAAGTAATTGAGGGTCTAGGCAGTAAGGAAAATGCTAGAATTATGTGGACCTAAATAAGATTTCAGGTTAATCATTTATGAGGCAACTCATACAAACAGAATGCTTTCTTTCCTCTTTTATCATGTAGTTAAATGTCTCACCTTTTCCACTTTGTCTTGATCTTCCAAAAGTCAGGTTTATTCACTACAAAGATACCATTGTGTTTTTGCAGTTTTGCATTGCCTTCCCAGTCTTTTATCTGTGAACCCTCTATTTCTCAATTCTCTTGCCTTGCTATGTATAAGTCATAATTTTTGGTGTTCTGTGCATTTCTTTACCTCTGCATGTTGCTGGCTGCTCCTGTACTGCGCTTCCATCTGGCTTTACCCTCTAGTCACTTCAGATGGAGGGATCATTCTGCTTATCCTAGGGAGTAAGCATATGGTAGAAATAGATACATTCTGAACCCCTTGGAGATAGATGTATGTCAGGGCAAAATCTGTCCCCAGTATTGATGACATTGTACATTACTTCAATAAACTGCTTGTTTTTCATTTAGGTCTTTGGGACCTGAAAATCTTTTGCTGAAAGGAGCTACACTTAAAAATACCAAGAAGATATATGGTGAACAACTTTAAAAATATGCTGTTAAAGTGTGTTTCATAAAGCCTATGAATAAATAGTGCATGTCTAAAAGTGAATATGGCAGATATATCCCTTTTATTATCAATGTATATTTATGTGCTGATAATTTACCAGATAATAAACTAACATGTATATGATACTTTATAAAATTTAAATTTTAATATGAGTGATAATCAGCTAATATACAGAAAGATTTAGAATTCTTACCCTTATAGACTGTGAAGAATTTACAGAACCAAACAGGTAGGCGGTTGGCTAACAAATTTACCTATAACCAGGATATTATTTTATTCTACTATTCTTTAGGAGTTGCTGTTTACACTGGGATGGAAACCAAAATGGCTTTGAACTACCAAGGGAAATCTCAGAAACGTTCTGCTGTCGAAAAGTTAGTATGTGCCACAATTTTAAGTCATTGTTCATTGAAATAGTTACTTCTTCAATAACTGCAAATAGCAATACAGAAACTCCTCATCCACAATAATAGCAACTACCATTTTAAGCGCTTGTTTTTGTTCCTGAAATAGTCCTCACTTATTTGTTTGATTTGATTCAATCCTTTGAATAATTCTATGACAAAATTTATGTTAGACTTTTTCAACTATACAGATAAAAAGTTTTCCAAGATAATAAATGAGTTAATTAAGCTTGTGTGTGTATAAATGATACCATTTACCTAAACTATAAATTCATTTCCTTGTGTTACTGAATTTGGGGTTCTTTTGTTGGTATGTGCAAGTTGGTTTTACAGTATTGTTCTAGTAGATCATGGAGTTGTACCTTGAGGATCATTAAGGCAGATGGCACTACCAGGGTTTCTCTATATTAATTTAATTTCATTTTTATGTGGTTATTTATGTGTGTGTGACAGAATCTTAAACAACCCAAGCTGGTTTTTTTTTTTTTTTTTTTTTTTTTTTTTAGCATTTTTTTTTTTTACATATCAATCCCAGTTCTCTCTCCCTTTCTTCCTCTCTCTCTCCCTTCCTCCCTTGCTGCCTTCCTCTCTCCCTCTTTCACACTCTCCCCCCTCACATGCCCGACCACCCTCACCTCCCCCCCCCCATTCCACGTGTAGGGTGATGCCAACAAGGAGGGTCATCTAAATCTGTCAAGTCATTTGAAGTAGGGACTAGGACTTCTCTCCTGTTTCTAGGTTGAGGGAGTATCCCTCCATGGGGGATGTATCCCGAAGGTCCTTTTGTGCACCAAGAATACATCCAGGTTCCACTGTCTGAGGTCCCTTAGACTGCTCAGGCCTTCTATCTGAGACCCATGTTCAGGGGGTCTGAGTCAGTCCAATGCTGGATTCCCAGCTATCAGTCTGGGCCGTTAGCTCCTCCTTGTTCACGTCCACTGTCTCTACTTGTTTCTGCAACGTGTCCTCCATCTCTATATCTGGATTCTAGTTCAGCTCAGTATTTAGCTGTGGGTGTTTGCTTCTGTTTCCAACAGGTACTAGATGAGGGCTCCATGATGGTGGATAAGTTAGTCGTTGATCTCATTATCAGGGAAGGGCATTTATGGTAGCCTTTCCATTGCTGCTCAAATTGCTAGTCTTGTAAGTCTCTGAACATTTCTTTAGGCTTTTTCAGCATCTAGGGAGTTGATCATGTAGTTTTTCTTTTTCAGTTTGTTTATGTGGTGGGTCATGTTGTGTATGTTAAACCATCCCTGCAACCTAGGAATGAAGCCTACTTGGTCACGGTGGATGATTTCCCTGATGTATTCTTGGATTCAGTTTGCCAGTATTTTATTGAGTATTTTTGCATCAATGTTCATCGGGGATATTGGTCTGTAGTTTTCTTTCTTAGTTGTGGCATTGTGTGGCTTGGGTACCAAGGTGATTGTGGCCTCGTAAAAAGAGTCTGTTAATGAACATTCTGTTTCTATTGTGTGGAACAATTTGAAGAGTATTGGTGTTAGATCTTCCTTGAATTTCTGGTAGAATTCTGCACTGAAGCCATCTGGCCCTGGGCTTTTTTAGTTGGAAGGCTTTCGATGATTGCTTCCATTTCATTAGGGGTTATAGGCCTATTTAAGTTGTCTCTCTTGATTTAACTTTGGTAAGTGATAGTTATCCAGAAATTTGTCCATTTCCTTTGAATTTTCAAATTTTGTGGAGTACAGGTTTTCAAAGTATGACCTGAAAATTGTCTGGATTTCCTCTGTGTCCATTGTTATGTCCCCCATTTCCTTTCTGATTTTGTTAATTTGCATGTTCTCTCTCTGCTTTTTCATTAGTTTAGATAAAAGTTTGTCTATCTTGTTGAGTTTCTCAAAAAACCAACTCTTTGTTACATTGATTTTTTTTTTTTTGTATTGTTTTCCTGGTTTCTATTTTATTGATTTCAGCTCTCAAATTGATTATTTCCTGGAGTCTACTCCTCCGGGGTGAGTTTGCTTCTTTTTGTTCTAAGGCTTTCATTTGTGCTGTTAATTCTCTAATGTAACTATCCTCTGTTTTCTTCATATGGGCACTTAGTGCAATGAACTTCCCTTGTAACACTGCTTTCAAGGTGTCCCATAAGTTCAGGTATTTTGTGTTCTCATTCTCCTTGAATTTTAGGAAGTCCTTAATTTCTTTCTTTATTTCTTCTTTAACCCAGATATGGTGTAATGCGTGTTGTTCAGTTTCCATGAGTTTGTGAGGTTTCTGCGATTTGTGTTGTTGAATTCCAATTTTAAAGCATGGTGGTCTGATAAGATACAGGGGACTATTCCATTTTTTTGTATCTGTTGAAGGTTTGTTATGTCGCCTAGTATGTGGTCGATTTTAGAGAAGGTTCCATGTGGAGCAGAGAAGAAGGTGTATTCTTTTGTGTTTGGATGGAATGTTCTATAGATGTCTGTTAAACCAAGTTGAGACATAACTTCTGTTAGTTCTTTTGTTTTTTTTTTTTTTTTTTTTTTTTTTTTTTTGAGTTTCTGATTTGTTGTCCTGTCTAGTGGTTAGAGTGGTGTGTTGAAGTCTCCCACTATAAGTATGTGTGGTTTTATGTGAGCTTTGAGTTTTAGTAGCATTTCTTTTACGAATGTGGATGCCTTTGTATTTGGGGCATAGGTGTTCAGAATTGTGACTTTGAGCTAAGGATTTCTCCTGTGATGAATATGAAATGACCATCTTCATGTCTTTTGAATTTTGGTTTGAAGTCTAACTTGTTAGATAGTAGGATAGCCATACCTGCTTGCTTCTTGGGTCCATTTGAGTGGAAGATCTTTTCCCAGCCCTTTACCTGAGGTAATGTCTATCTTTGAAGCTTAGATGTGTTTCTTGTATGCAGCAGAAGGATGGATTCTGTCTTCTTATCCATTCTGTTAGCCTGTATCTTTATATAGGCAAATTAAGACCATTAATATTGAGGGTGAGTAAGGACCATTGATTGTTAATGCTTGTTTGTTTTAGATTTGTTGTTGGCAGTGGTATTGTGAATATATTTGCCCTGCTTTATCCTTGATTTCTGGTAAAGTAGGATTATCTATTGCCTATGTCTTTGCGAGCATAGTTAACTACGTTGAGTCAGAGTTTTCCTTCCAGAACTTACTGTAGAGCTGGATTTGTAGATGCGTATTGTGAAAACCTGGCTTTGTCATTAAATATCTTGTTTTCTCTGTCTATAGTGATTTAGAGTTTTGCTGGGTATAGTAGCCTGGGCTAGTGTCCGTGGTCTCTTAGTGATTGAGAGTTTTGCTGGTTATTGTAGCATGGGCTGACATCTGTGAAATCTTACTACTTGTGGAATATCTATCCAGGACCTTCTGGCCTTGAGAGTTTCCATGGAGAAATCGGGTGTAATTTTGATAGGTCTGCCCTTATATTTTACCTGTGCTTTTTCCTTCACTGCTGTTAATATTCTTTCTTTATTCTATATGTTAGGTGTTTTGAATATTATGTATCGAAGGGTCTTTTTTCTTTGGTCCAATCTATTTGGTGTTCAGTATGCTTCTTGTACTTTCATGGGCATGTCCTTCTTCAGATTGGGAAAGTTTTCCTCAGTGATTTTGTTGAATATATTTTCTGCACCTTTGAGCTGGATAGGCAGGTCTAGTGTGCTCAGATTTGTAGATACATATTGTGAAAATCTGGCTTTGTCATATTTTCCCCGAAGTTCCCTGAAGGTGGCGGGATTGTTGGCTCTACCCTCTGTCCCAGTGCTCAACCAGAGCAGTGAGACAATGGGCAGGGTAGGGCACAGGGTGGGGGGAGGGCAGGCTCTTGGTGGGGGGTGGGGGGTGTATCAGAGTACCAGGAGCACTCTCGATGGGGACAGCACACAAGGGGAGCAAGATCCAGGGCCAGTCCAGGGAGTTCCAAGGAGGGGGGGATTCCATCCAAATTGTTCCCAGACTCACCTCTAGCAGAGGCCTGACGATGGGGGTCAAAGACTCCCACGCTGGTTTTAAACATAAACTGAGAATGATCTTGATTTTATAATCCTTCGTCTGCCTCCCAACTACTGGGATCATAGGTACTATAAGCCAGACACTCTTCTTTATTTATAGGCAAGGATATGAATGAGTGTGCCTTATCCAGAACTCTACTTTAAAATAATGCTAACAGGATATATGCTGAGGTTCACATTTGCTATTCTACCTTGAGTTTGAAATATTTAGTCTTTTGGGGAGAAGATACAAACTACCATACTAACCATAGAGGTTAACCAGGTACTAGTACATATAGATATGTCTGTTTCTACTTATTTTAAAAAGGTGTGTTTGATAAGGTAGACATTGTACCTTGGGGAACATTAGTGATCAATAAACATTTCAGGGCTAGATTTTCAATTTTGCCATTTAACAGTGATTCTTTAGCTGTAATAATAAGGTTGTTGTGTACAATTTGTGATATAATTACTATAATATACACGGGAGAATCTTAAATTAGTTAAGACTAAACTAAAAATTAAACTATTTATATTTTTATGCCTTAAATAATTAGACATACTATCTTATTTTTCAGATCTATTAATGCCTTCTTGATTGTTTATTTATTTATCTTACTGACCAAAGCTGCAGTATGCACAACTCTAAAGTATGTTTGGCAAAGTACCCCTTACAATGATGAACCTTGGTATAACCAAAAGACTCAAAAGGAACGGGAAACTTTTAAGGTAATTAATTTGCTATGAGAAGTGTCAACTCTTTTGTAATTACCCTAGTTTTTTTTTTTTTTTTTTTTTGTTACTGAACCACTGCTCAGAAAAAGTGATCTTTTGATTTAGATTTAATTTTACTCTTTACTTTATATATATATCTATGCTTGTTTTTAACTCTTCCATTCAAAGACTGGAAAAAATAATGTGCTTTCAGGCATTTTAATTCAGTATGAAATTGTGCAGTATCTACATATAAACTTTAACTATTCCTATCTATAGCTGAGAGGAACTTAGGACTTAATCGGGTGAAACAATATTAAAGTGGAAAGTACATACACCGAAAATACAAATAAAATTCAGTATTCTAAAATGTTCTTTGTTTGTTTTGAGACATGGTTTCTCTATATAACAGTCCTGACTGTCTAGAACTTGCTCTGTTTACCAGGCCAGCCTAGAACGCAGAGATCTACCTGCCTCTGCCTCCTGATGGCTGAGATTAAACGCATGCACCACTACTACCCAACCTAAAATATTAATATTAATAATTTTTACTATAATCATATAATATCATTAGGAAGTTTCTTTATATTATTAATTTTATGTTAAGCATTGGAACTGAAAGAAAGCCATTTTATATTGTATTCATCTGAAGAGGATGTCTGTGAATCAAATTAACATGAACCATCTCTTTTTTAGGTTTTGAAAATGTTCACTGACTTTTTATCATTCATGGTTCTCTTCAACTTTATTATTCCTGTCTCCATGTATGTCACAGTAGAAATGCAGAAATTCTTAGGCTCATTTTTTATTTCATGGGATAAAGACTTTTTTGATGAAGAAATTAATGAAGGAGCTTTGGTTAACACATCAGACCTTAATGAAGAACTTGGTCAGGTAAGAACACAGCTTTTGCTGAAATTAAATTGATACAGTAAAAATCTTTTCTAGTCTGGAATACCAATATACTTAACTATCTTAGTTAGGGTTTCTATAGTGTAAAGAGACACTATAATCACTGCAATTCTTACACAGGAAAACATTTAATTGGGGCGACTTACAGTCTCAGAAGTTTAGTCTGTTATCTTCATGGCAGGAAACATGGACATGATGCTAGAAAAGGAGTTGTGAATTCTACATCTTGATCAGCAGGCAGCAGAAGTCAATGCTACACTAAGGCTTGCTTGAGCATATGTGACTGCAAAGTGTTGCCCCACAGTGACACACTGCCTCCAACATTTCCACACCAACTCCCATCAAGGTTTTACCTCCTAATAATGCTACTACCTATGGACCAATGGGGGTCATTTTTATTCAAACCATCACAGTCCATGTCCCCATAGGCTTGGAGCCATATCACAGTGCAAAATGCATTTAGTCCAACTTCAAAAGTCCCCATAGTCTATCAGTCTTAACAATGTTTAAAATCTGAACTTCAAAGTCTTTCTGAGATGCATTCAATCTCATAACTGTAATCTCCCATAAAATAATAATGAAAAGCAGATTATATATTTCCAACATATACCATGGCACAGGATATACATTACCATTTTTAAAGGTGGGAAAGGGAGCGTGTTGGGGCAATGTTCGCCCAAAGTGGAACCACAAACTGGCATGGCAGGTCAACCTCCAAACTCTTCATCTCCATGTCTGATGCCAAAGCCCTCTTCTGATCTCCAATTCTTTTCAACGTTATTGACTGTAACATAATTCTCATGGAATATTTCCACTCCCTTATAGAATTCTTTGGCAGGTACAGATGGACTTTCTTTTGGACTGCCAGCTCCCAAATAATGACAGAGACTTTGTATTAACCATGAAAGTTGGACCTTAGCTTAGGCTTGTTTCCAACTAGCTCTTAAAGCTTTACAGGTTTATATTAATCTATGCACTGACCCTTGGCTTGTTACTTCTCCTCCTCAGTGTAGTATGACCCATTTCTTGCATGTCTGGTTGGTGAATCCCTGTCTCTCAGATTCTTCTCCTGAGCTCCTCTCTCTCCCCATGTTAGGCCAGTCTATCCTATTCTGACTACCTACTGGTCATTCAGCTCTTTATTAAACATTTAGAAGATGCCTTGGCAGATACACATCTTCACAGTGTAAAAAAAGATCATCCTACAACATTTTCTCCTTTTTGTGTAAAAAAAAAAAAGGAAAGGACCTAACTCTAAGTAAAACTGTATACAGTAAGAACAATTATCAGGTAAGAATTAAATTCACAATGTCCAATCCATCTGTATTTGGCAAATTCAGAGAAAGTACTGTATTATCTCTCTTATCTTGGTGACTCCAAAGTTTTATACCTAAAACACTTTCTATACCTAATCAGCCTAAAAATATCCTTTTAGACCTTAAAACATTTTCTTAGGTATAGAACTTAAGCTTTTATGTCTCTCATCCTTTATTAGCCTACATCTCTTTAGTGAGTTTCTTTTTTGAATTTGATAACAAAAACATAGTAAAACTCAGCTGCAACACTTGGGAGAGCAGGCCCTGCACCTTACATGGGCAGCACATTAGAGACAACCACATTGCCTGAGGTCTGAGTGAGGCAGCCCTGAAGTTGTCAGCATGGGAGAGTTGCCCCTATTACCCATATGTCATGTGTGGAGGCATGGGTAGGGGAGAGATGCCTTCTGCCTGTCCCATCAATGCCTAAGGCAGGTCAGAGAGCTAGCCCTGACCCTCATCAGCTGTAGCAATCAGGAACATGGCCCGCCATGCCATGCCTGGGCAACACAGCAGAGCTGTTCCTGAAGGTGTAGGAATGGGAGATCTGATACTGATGAGGACATGAAAGCAGGAGGACTGGCCCTGCCCCTTGCTCATTGCTACAAGGGGTGACTGCAGCAGTACAATGCAGGAGAGCTCTCTGTAGTGGTAAGAACAATGAAAGCTGGTAAACTGGACAATCCTGCAGCAACCCAGGCCTAAAATCAGGGTTATGTGTTGGCCCACTCCAATATCCGCATCTATGATCTGGTGGAACACGTAGATCCTGTAGACCCAAAGCTGCAGGATTTCCACAATACAATTCAACAGCAAGATAACCAAGAGGAGTTCTGGTCTCCGAATGGAGGCGTGGGTTCGTATCCCACTTCTGACACCAGATACTGATGTTTACTAAGGATCAGGAGAAACAAATAGGCCAAATAGATGTTTATTCATAGAGAAATAACTCACAACATAGACAGATGAACACCAGCAGGTTCCTGGTCCCAAGGATGCCTCCTGATGTGCTCCTGTCCCTGTGCTGCCAGCAAGAGAGAGCTCTCCGAGCCCCCTCCTCAGCTTTAGTTCCCCCAGGTCACATCCGAACCTGTCTCCACCCCCCCAATGGGCGTGGTCTATGCCACAGGTGTGGACAAGGTGAATATCTCACTACACACCAGGTTTCTCCCTAAGCCCATAATAGTTCTATTAAGATATCTCTTTCCTTGTTCTTCCACTGCATCCTTTCCCACCTTAGCCATCTCATTCCCTCCTGTTCTCATGCCCCCTCCCCATTACCACCTTCCACCCCAAGCTTAACTGTAGATATCATCTATTTTACCTTCCCAGGGTAATCCATGTCCCTCTTAGGGTCCTCCTTTTAATCTAGCTTATCTGGAGCTATGGATTGTAGTCTGGTCATCCTTGCTTTACATCTACTATCCATATATGAGTGAATATGTATCGTGTTTGTCTTTTTGAGTCTGGGTTACCTCACTCAGGATGTTTTTTTTCTAGTTACATCCATTTGACTGAAAATTTGCTAAGGTTATGTTTTTTGGGTTTTTTTGTTTGTTTGTTTGTTTGTTTGTTTGTTTTTGTTTTTGTTTTTTTCACAGCTGAGTAGCACTCCATTGTGGAAATGCACCACATTTCCTTTATCATTCTTTGGTTGAGTCATCTAGGTTGTTGTCTGGTTCTGGCTATTATGGATAGTGCTGCTGTGAACATTGTTGAGCAAATGTCCTTGTGATATGATTTGAGTGTTCTTTGGTTAAATGCACAAGAGAGATAATACTGGGTCTTAAGGTAGATTGATTCCCATTTTCTTAGAAACTGCCATACTGATTTCCAAAGTGGCTGAATAAGTTTGCACTCCCACCAGCAGTAGAGAAGTATTTCCCTCACTCTGTCCAACATAAGCTGTAGTCAGTATTTTTTTTTTTTATCTTAGCCATTCTGACAGGTGTAAGATGGTATCCCAGAGTCATTTTGATATGCATTTCCCTGATGATTACAGATATTGAGCACTTCCTTAAATGTCTTTTGGCTATTTGAGATTCTTCTGGTGATAATTCTTTGTTTAGCTCTGTTCCCTATTTTTCAATTGGGTTATTTTGTATTTTGATGTCTAGTTTCTTGAGTTCTTTATAAATTTTGGAGATCAGCCTTCTGTCAGATGTAGGGTTCAGAAAGATCTTTTTCCATTCTTTAGGCAGTCATTTTATGTTAGTGACAGTATACCTTGCTTACAGAAGTTTTCCACTTTCAGGAGGTCACATTTATTGATTGTTCCTTTCAGTGTCTGTGCTACTGGTGTTATATTTAGGATTAGAGTTACAAATGGCTGTAAACTGACACATGGTTGTTGGGAATTGAACCTGGGTTCCCTGAAAGACCAGTCAGTGTTCTTTGTTAACCATAGTTGTCCTGTATTGACATTTTCTAGAAAACATTTCTTACCACATTGAAAATAGACCTAGGAAGCTACTACTGAGTCCTATCTCCAGCCTCTATTTCCACACTTGACACAGCCTTTGCCTAAACCAAAGTACAATTTCACAACTGTAATTGGAAGGGCAAAATGACTTTACATATACTATTCTTTTTAGAAATGACTTCAGGATACTGGTAGCTCAGACCTGGGGGTCTACCTTCCTAATAGATTCTGTAAATACTGAAACAGTGCAAGAAATAAGTGGATCAGTTTTATTTTCCTTAGACATTTCCAGAAAAGTATTTCATTAATCCAGCTGTCACAGTTGATACTAGCCTTTTTAAGCTTCTCTTTTGCACATAGGGCCCAGGTTAAATAGAGTCTCTTTAATGCTAATGAAAGGTACCAGTCCTACCAGCTTTTGAAATCAGAAAACATTTGAATGCACAAGCTACCAGCTCATTCTTGATGCCAAATAAATGTTGTCATGTTTTTGCCTGGTTACAGAGATTTTTCTACCCAAAAGCAGAAGACTAGGCCTCAACAACTAATGCAGATATAATAGATATCATTGTATAGTTGAAACTTAATGGATCTTGGAGGCATACAGAATGCACAGGCCAGGTTCCACTCTCATTCTTTCAAATCTCCTCTTCAGTAGTATCTGTGTTACCTATAGGAATAGTCTAGTCTGGCTCTTATTACCTAGATCGTATTAATATGGCAAGAAGCAAAGTAGGGCTTTGGGTAATGATCTGGTAAATTTGATCAGTGGAAAGAAACTACTGCTTTTGTTTCAATTACCATTCAGTTCCCCAGCCAAACTCAGCATTTCTGGATATGGTTATTATTTCTTCAAATCACAAAGTTAATGGTAGATCACCACTTCAATTAGTATGATGCCTAAACAACTTGGAATCATTATTAGCTTGTAAGTGTAGAATGAAAATGCAAAGAATTCTTAACATAGTTTTTTATGCCATTTGACAGTCAATGGACTGTTACACAAAACAATAAGTGTTACCAATTTCCTCTTTTATGAGCCATAATTCAAGCTGTAGAGCTTTGTATGTTACTAAAGATAAGATCAGTTCATTGCCATCGAGGCCATTATAAATAGTTGCTTTAGTGACCCAATGGTATTAAAAAGTATAGAAAGGTATATATTGGGACAGTGATTGGTATAAGAACCAAAACATGGATTGCTTAATTTAATTAGAAGGTTATAAGATATTTTTGACAAAGTATAAGTCTCATAAAACTGAATGGTTTTAATGACTCTTGAAAAGGTTGTGGAACTAGCCTCCTCCTTTATGTCCCCCAATCTTGTGGATATATCTAATTATATGACATCATTCTTTATTTTTTAGCTTTTCAATACAAGGTTTCTCAGTATGTAGCCCTGGCTGTCCTGAAACTTACTCCGTAAACCAAGTTGGCCCCAAATTCTGGGTTAAAGGCCTCTGCCTCCCAAATACTGGGTTAAAGGCATGTGCCACCACTGCCCGGCAACATTATCATTCTTAAATATAAATTCTGATTCCATTAATTCAATATACCTGTTGTTTTGAGGTCCTAACATGTGCCTGGGATGTGTTATATGTATAGAAGTTACTATTATGAAGTTAAAAACAAACTCAAATTATACACTACCTGCTTGGGCAGACATATTAGCCCTAACTATATAAATATGGTTATAATTAATCAGAAATTTTAGATGATAAGGGACAGTAGAAAGAATCTTAAGACTAATTTTGGTCAGGTGAGTCACAGTATTAATCAACATATATGTAGTCAATAGGACATAGTTTAGTCATCATCAAGTATTTTACTTTAAAGACAAATAAGATTTTTCTCAAGATTTATGAGTGATAAAGCCAGGCCTCTGAAGTGTTCCTTTAGGTTAAACCATTTGTTATTTGTTTTGTTTAATCAATTTTTACTTACAAAATAGGTGACTTCATGCGTTTCATCTAGTTTAAGTGTGCTTTTTAACCTCTGTGTAGCAACCAGTGTCACCAAAAGAGCAGAAAAAATTTCTCCTTTACTACTTTCAGAGTAATTCAACAAACACATTCATGATATGTGGAGGTAGAGAGTATTTACACACGTATAACAAGTGAAATTCTCTAGTGAGCTGCAGTTCTGACACTGTTAACCTGAAGATACAAATTGAAGGCTATGTCCCACAATACTAGCATCACTCAAATACCAGTGATTCTGACCATCTAGTTGTAAATCAAAATTTACATAGTCTTCTGATTGAATTTCATTAATTTGACAGCATGACCTAAAACCTCAGGGAAACATAATATTTACTGATTATTTTATTTAAATGGTTAGGAAGAGTTATAGAAGAGTAGCCAGATGACAGCCAAGAAGGTTCATGGGAAGGAGTGCAGCCCTCCCATGCCATCTCCAGTATGCCAGCCTTCAGGAAATCTTCACATGATCAGCTATCTGAAACATGGTCTTGTCTTATTTTGAGGGTTAAATAGAAATAACAAGATATAATATAACTGATTAAATCTTTGGCATTTGGTGATAATTTAACCTTCAGCTCTTTTATCCTATCCCCCAGGGATTGTGAGATGGAGGTAAAAGTTCCACCCATCAAATTAATACCTTTATTTCTCCAGTATGTAGGGCCACCACATCTCATTAGCACGTAGAAGGTACATCTCTTTCTGGCGATTACCAGAGGGTTTTTAAGTTATATTCAGGAGACAGAGATTAATAATACTGGATATTTTATAATAATCTTTCCCCATTTTCAGATACCCATCCCTTTACATTGAGGGCATAAAGACTCAAATGGTAATGACACATTACTAGAATCATACTCAATCACTAATAATTACCCTAGTTCATTATCTAGAATGTCTCCAAGGGTGAGAATATTGAGAAATATAGGCTTCATCCAAAACTTGTCCAATTCTAAAATTAGTAATAGCAAGCTTTTATTTTATTCTACTAGGAGACACTGTCATCTCTTTCTATGAGCCCCTTTTAAGTTATTAAATAGCATTAGATTGCCCTCATTGTGAAATCCCATTTATTCATTTGTGACCTACAACTGTGATTCCTACTTTTCTTTATATCCAAACTTTCTCACTTTGGAAAGGATGATTAAGATTTTCTACTGTGCTTATATAGGCATATGAGAATGGTTTTACACGTATTCTGACTCCAGAGCCAACAGAATCAACATTGTCTAGGGATTGAAAATTTTAAAGAAGACGCATGTTTTAGTTTATAGTTTGTTGGCCTATACCTTTGAGATTTGGTGTTTGCAGATCTTTACTGTCCATTTTGTTCCACAGAGACAAAAGAATTGTACATTTTATTTTGAAGTTACCACCTTTAGCACTAATGCCTAAAGATTCTGAAAGGGGCCTAGAAAAATAGCTCAGTCAGTGAAGTGTTTTCTTTAGAAGCAAAGGGTATAAGATTTATACTAGAGAACCGTTTAGAAAAGGCCCAGCATAGTGGCATGCACATTAATTAGCCCAAGTACCGGGAAGATGGAGATAAGATCCTGAGGCTCAATGACTGCCTAGCCTAGCTTCTTTAGGGAATGCCAGGTCAGTAAGAGACCCTGGCTGAAAAGAGAAATGGACAGGTCCTGGGGAACCTAAAGTGACTCTGAATGTGCTAATACTAATCCAAATGTGTGATGTGAAACAGCCAATGAAAGTGAATATTTTGATCAAGAATTTCAGTTTACTTAGAAAAATCTAAATGATACACAAGTAACACAACTAGGATCATTGTGAAAAGAGAATTCAAAGTTAGACTAATATAATAGCGAAAAAAGAAGATTAGAAAGCTTTATTTGTGTCAGTGCTGCTACCATGAAAAGCTTTGAAAAATAGTTAAAAAGCAAATACTGCTAGAATTCATCTCTTTCCCTTACGTTATAAAAACCTTAATCTTGTGCTTATACTTGTTCTTGTCAGCCCATAATTTTAACTATTTAAGCATGCATTACCAAAAAGCAGGCTAAAATTGTGGGCTTCTAAAAGCCAGATGTTATAAATAGAATAGATAAAAACTGAGATAAAATGTTAAGTGCTCAAAATGATTTATTATAATGGAAATTTTATTTCATTAGCATATTTCCATTATTTGTAAAAAATATACATAAATACTATATTTTAAACTATTAATTGCTTTTTAAAATTTAGAAACATTTTTGGGAGTATTTGAGAAAATAGGCATGGAAAACTTTTAATTTTTCATCACCCTTTATTTGTTGTATCTCCTAACTGGATAACTGTCAACAATCCTCTTCTATTTGTTCTATAATTGTAATGCTATTTACTTCAATGCAGTATTTTTTATTAGACATTCTTTTTATTTATTCTTTGTGTCTTTCGCACATTTCGATACCATCCTTTCATGTCTACCTTCTGCCCTTGCATCCCCCCCTCCAAAATTAAAACAAATTTAAGAAAAAGGAGGACAAATCTGTTTTTGGAAGCTGCAGTGTGACACAGTAAGTCACACAGTAAACTCTTTATCTATAGATCTTTACTTGCAAATATTCATTGCAAAGAGTTATTGGTCTGGTTCTAGGCCTCTGGTTTCTGCTACACTACCTATTCTGGGCCCTCACTGGGATTCCTCTTGGATATCCTGTTGTTGACCTGTGTCATGGAGATCCTGCAGATTTGGGTCTCCAGGACTAAACCCTTTCCTTGCTCCAGCAGATGGATGGATGTTGGGGTAGGCCAACTCATAACTCTGGTTCTGAGCCTAGGTAGCTGCAAGGTTGGTAAACCTAACAGCTCTCTCTTCACCACCAGGGTGAGTATCAGTGAACCAGTTCTCCTGCTTTCATGTGTTCAGGGTTGGCTCTCCTGAACCTACACTTTCAGGGCCAGCTCTACTGTGCTGCCTAGGCGAGGTACAGGGGCCAGGTTCCTGAGTGCTGAAGTTGGTAAGGGGGAGGGTCAGCTCCCTTGCCACCACAGGTGTCAGGACAGGGGGGGGGAGAGCATCTTTCCCTCACCAACACATGGCAGACAAGGGGGATGTGGCCAACTATCCCAATCTTGCACCTTCAGGGCCAGCTCATCCACGCCTCTGTCAACATGGTCAGCTCTGCTGTGCTGCCCAGGCAAGGAGCAGGGCTTACTTTCCTGAGTTCTTCAGCTACTAAGGGGGAGGACTAGCTTCCTCATCTGTTGCAGGTGGCCAGAGGAAAAGGGGGGGCTTCTCTTCTTGTCCACACTGCCATCAATGCAGTATTTTTATTGATAATTGTCTTGAGAAGATAGTTCCCCAGGAAAAGGTGCTTTTCAACAAGCCTGTTGACCTAAGGTGGATCTCTGGATTCTACATGATGGAAGGAGACAACTGTCTTCTACAAGTTGTCCTCCAACCTCTATCTGTGTATTGGCATGCATGTTCTATTATGGCATGCACACATATACCCAGTGAATTTGTAATGAAATTTTAATTAAGATTTTCAAGGAGGAAAATACCTTATCAGGTTTTCTTTTATTGTATGCCAGGTACATTTCTTCCTCCCACCCCCCAACATTGAATTATATACATGCCAGTGAGGGGGGGTGTTCACTATGTTGTTTTCTTCCTTAGAAATTGACTTTTTACTACTTCCATATTAAAACATTAAAGGATTAAATGAAAGGTGTTTAGCTTAATAAAATAGTCATGGTTTTTCTGTCTGATTAGTCTTCTACATTTAAGTAAGTTTCAGTGTCTATGAAAAGGCTCGCAGCTTTCTCATTCATTTGATAACACTGCATTTGTAATTCCAACATTTGACAAGTCTTAGAAGAGGTGATTGTTGCTAAAAAATAACCATATTAAAGAACATGTGTGTGTTTATTTCCTTGTTTTTAGGTGGATTATGTATTTACAGATAAGACTGGAACACTCACTGAAAACAGCATGGAATTCATTGAATGCTGCATTGATGGGCACAAATATAAAAGCACATCTCAGGAAGATAATGGATTATCTCAAACTGATGGGCCCTTAACCTATCTTGATAAAGCAGATAAGGTGACATTTTTCCCAATTAATATTTTACTTGAGAAATCAATCTTTGTAGACATACTTTATCCTTACATAATAGAAATACAGAATTTTCCAGTAGGTACATGGTATAGACCTTTGAATAATCATTTGTTCTTGTGACTACACCTTTCTTTTATTAACACCTTTACCATTTATAAACAACTAGAACTTACAAGTAGAATTATAGGAAATGACATTTGAACAAAACATTAGTTTGGCTATATGTAGATTTACATTTAAAAAAAAATATTAGCTCCTCTAAGAATGTTGCCTCCAAATCATTAAAGTTCTGGTTTTTGCATGTTAAACTAATCAAGGTCTTCTTACACATGAACAATTGCCAGATTGTGACTTAGATACCTCACTACTTCTTAGGCGATGAAGAAGTTACCACCTTAGGTATAGGTGGTAAAACACTGACTGACCAGGATGAGTTAATACATATTCCAAGGATAAAGAGTAGGAACTAGTAATTCTATTAGTTTCTAGATAATTGTTTGAGTATTAGGAATTTATAAATTTTCTTTAATTTAGATAACATTCTGTCACATTAATTCATTTGTTCACTGTTTACCTAGTGAAAATATAAAAATAATAGTCATTTTTTTTTTGGTTTCTGTTCCATAGAACCGTGAAGAGCTATTTCTGCGTGCCCTTTGTTTATGCCACACTGTAGAAATTAAAACAAATGATGCTGTTGATGGACCTACAGAAGCAGCTGAATTCACCTATATCTCCTCCTCACCAGATGAAATAGCTTTGGTGAAAGGAGCAAAAAAGTAAGCATTTCTTACACATCTGAGAAAATACAGCCACAGGAGGGTAGGAGTTCATTTGTGTCAGGAACTCTGTCATGTGCCTTTCCTATTATGTAAGTTCGAAAAGAAAATAGTAATGCGTTGATTTCCTTGTCTTATTTGTGCACCCTAGTCAGCAATCTAAATCGTCATATTATTTTGTAAGTCATGTAACTGTGGCAGCTTTTGTACAACATGTTATTTCTGAGTGTTGCCAGCCATTTTGATGTCATTTGGTAACTGACAATCCAGTTTACCCATGGGATTCAGATGACTAAGTACCTAAAAGGTTACGTACTGTGTTTGATGTAAAATTGGAATTACAAATTGTCTTCCTCTTGCATACAGTAGTAGCCAGTCATTGGCTTACTCTTTGTTGTCACTCATCTTGAAAACAGGAATGCAATTGGAGATTGAGATCATGTAATAGAAGAAAGGAATTTATAAGGATAGGTAATGACAGTGGAAGAGGAAATTAATTGTTTCTTGAAAATAAACAAGTTTTTTTTTTTTTGATAGGTTTGGGTTCACATTTTTGGGAAATTGGAATGGACATATAAGAGTAGAGAACCAAAGAAAAGAAATAGAAGAGTAAGTAGCTACGTGTTGTGATGTTCGTCTTTTCTTAACCCAATTGTGAACATTAAATGGATTCAGAAAGGAAAGAAAACTTATGTACCTATAAATATTGAACTTTATTCTCCCATCTCATAGTTTTATATAAAAATAGTTGGAATAGGAAAAGCTATTTTTCATTGAACATCAAAAAATGAGAATTTCAATATAAGTTCCTAGTTTGGTTTACATGTTGTCTAGTAGTCAGGATGAGTCTTGCTGAATTATTTGAAATGTAGATGAATACATTTACTTACAAGTTCCTTCTTAATTCTTCTGTATGATTTAATCTAATTAATAGTTCATACATAGACAACTCTAAGCCATCTCATCATGTTATTTTATACCCTTTAAACCCTTCTATGGCTCTTACAGTGTTGGGATAAAATGTCACATGTCTGAAACGGCACCAAAGTTCTCAGTTCTCAGCCCTTGCTTACTTGAGTACTTCATTTCTTGCTTTTCTGTCATTGAGTTTTCCAGAGATCGCAAACTCTTCATGAAGCATGTGCTGCCATGCGTGCTTTCACACATTTTCTCCCCTCTGCTCTCAAAGTCAGCCCCATTTCCTTATCATGCCATTCTTTTCTAATCCAGCATATACTCTTTTCCAGGAAACATTCTTTCAATTGGCCTTTTTTTTTTCTGTGCTCAAGTTCCCCTTTTGAGTATTTTTGATTGAAGTATTTCATAGACATGGAATGTAGTTATGTTTCATTATCATTCATCTCCTTTATAATATGGTAAGTTCTTGGAGAGATAAGTCTTTGGCAGATTCGTCTCAATTCCACAGAACCTGGCACATTGGCTAACCCCATAGTAGGCCCTCCAAAATTACAATCACATTATACACCCTCCAGATCTCGCTGGGTGAGCCAGTTCTTTTGTTTTCCATTCCTACATAGTCACTCTCTTTATAAGTTGTACAGCTTGGTGAAGAGATGGTTCAGTGGTTAAGAACATTAGCTGATCTTCTAGGGAACCCAGGCTCAATTCCCAGTACCTACATGGCAGCTTACAACTGTCTGTAACTCCAGTTCCAGGGGATCTGACACAGTCACACAGACATACATGCAGACAGAACACCAATCAGTGCTCATAAAATAAAAATAAATGAATTACTAAAAATAATTTATACAGTGAGAAAATAAAAATTACTGCTATTATCAGCATGCTCTACATGCAGAGAAATTCCAAAGAAAAGTGAAAGAACCAGTTGTATACAAAACTAGCTCTCTACGTCCAACAAGAAAAGCTTTGTGTTCATTCAGTATAGTTGAGCTATTTCACTTTGTCTTTCCTTTCCTAAAGGTATGAACTTCTCCACACCTTAAATTTTGATTCTGTCCGCCGACGTATGAGTGTAATTGTAAAGACCCAAGGAGGTATGCATCTTTAAAATTTGACTTATTTATCTTTTTCTAATTGTAAGGTTTGGTTATCAACTTTTTGAGGAAAGGAAACATGGTATGTAGTTTAGGATTAAGTAGTCTTGCAGATTTTACTGAAACAGCGCCTCTATATCACTGCATGGTCTGGAATTGTCAATTATAAAGGTCAAGTTCAGAGAGTAGCTGGTTTTCAATCCTTCTCTGACCTCTCTTATTTTACTGCTTTACACTCCTTGGAAGTGAGTAGAGATGCATGATTAACCCAAGTTTCTGGGAAAGGGCAATTTTGTTTCATTCTGGAGCTAAGAACTCTGAAAGAATAAAACTTGCTTTTCAAAGAAATGGGTACCATCATCTGTAGGCTCTTCAATGTCTTTGAACGGCACTATGATAAGTTTGCCTTCTGTTCAGATTCTGGAAGACCCATGAGAGAGTACTCGTGCTTTATTCTCAAGCTCTCAGATGTATGTATGTGTGTATATATGTATTTCTTTGTCCTAAAAGATTTATTTTCAAAATATCCTTGATTTATCTTAGTAGTACATCTGTTACAAATTCTCTAATGAGTAAAATAGGAGAATGGAGACAAATCCATGGTGAAACATGGTTCACTTTACTCATGCTTTTGAGATGGCTGCAAAGTCATGAGATTACTTTTAGTATGTTTCCATAAAATTTGTTTATCTTAGACACTCTTCAGATGTGTGATTAGAAATGAAACATTTAGCATTTAAATACTTACTGCTTTTATGTGTACACATCTATACCTATATCCTTCTGCAAATGGTAAAATGCATGCAGAAATGATATGCAAAGGGCAGTGGTCCCAGAGCTACACTTTTTAATTTGCTCAGCTATTTGCCTCATAAAGATAAAGTGCCTTATAATGCTCAACAGTACATATTCTAAAACTGTACTAATAATATCAGCATTCTACAAAAATATTCTCAAGTTCTCATTACAGCCCATCAAGCAAGTGTTCTTCTAGTTTATCCAAAATGAATTCAAGCTGTTGCAGCTTTAGTTTGGTCTTTGTCTCTAGGTCTTGTGCTACATTTTCAAAGATAAGTCACCTGGAGTTCTTTGACACAGCCTATTAGTTTATGATTTACTGGGAGGAACTATAACAGGGGTGCATGTAGTAGTATCTGGTTTATTTATTGTATATCTATAATGTTCTGAAGAGATGGTGATTGTTCTTCTGACAAACTAAACCTCTAGATATTTCATTCCATTTGATTGAAAATTGCAAGACAGATTCAAAATAGATAGCAGCTGCATGAGAGACACCATCTTAACTAAGTCCTCTCTTCTTAAAACCCTAATACCAGTCTACAAATTCTAAGTTGATTATTTTGGTTCTTTATTTTAGGAGATATACTACTTTTTTGTAAAGGAGCAGATTCATCACTTTTTCCCAGGGTGCATAACCATGAAATTGAGTTAACCAAAGCCCATGTGGAACGTAATGCAATGGTGAGTCTATGACTGTCCCTTTGATAAGTAAATGGAAAAATGCTGGCTGTAACAATGTTTATGTTTTTTAAATAAGTTAGTTAAAATTAATTTTAGTTTATTTTGTGATCTATATCTTGTACTTGGAAATGTGGCTATCTTCCTATATTCAGTTTTTAACAAAAACTATTATTCTAGACCACTATTGTGGCCAGACCTAGTATTTGGTAAAGATGTTTCAAGTATCTCACCTGGATGTTTCAAGGATCTTTTCAAAAGACCTACTAGTTATCTAGAACTTGACTGAATGTTAACTTTATAGTTGCATTCAGTTCATTTTTAAAAATTAAATGTGTCAGAATTTCTCTTGTACAGATAGGTAAAGCAAATCCATTTAAAGAATATGGCTGGGGCTAGGGGGCTTAGCAGTTAAGAGTATACACTGGTCTTGCAGAAACCTTAGTTTGGTTCTCAATAACCACAGTGGGTAGCTCATAACTACCTGTAAGTCCAGCTCAAGGGCATCTCATGCCTCTGGCCTCCACAGTTACCTGCACTCATGTGTACATGGCTATACACAGATATACACTGACACACACTCAACACATAATTAAAAATAAATCTTTAGAAAGAGTATGACATTCATTCAGCCATTACAGAGGTAACTGTAGTCCTTCTGCTTTGCTTCTAGGATGGGTATCGGACTCTTTGTGTAGCCTTCAAAGAAATTGCTCCAGATGATTTTGAAAGAATTAATACACAACTAATAGAGGCAAAAATGGCCTTACAAGATAGAGAAGAAAAATTGGAAAAGATTTTTGATGAGATTGAGACAAATATGAATTTAATTGGAGCCACTGCTGTGGAAGACAAGTAACTAGATATTCTTGCTATTTTTCTTTTTGAGGTTATAATATAATTATATCCTTTCCCACTTCCCTTTCCTCCCATGTCCAACTCTACTTGGTTCTCTTTCATATTCATAGCCTATTTTCCTTTAATTGGCATCTTGTGTGTATGTTCCTAAATATATAGTGTTACATGTATGTTTGTTTTCAGGACTGACCATCTGGTTATTGAATAACCAATTGGTGTGCACTTCCCCTGGGGGGCACTATTTCCCCTTCCTCAGTCAGCATTCCTTAATTATTTGTAGTTCTTTATCGCTTCCTGAGCTTTCCCTGGGCCACATTAGCATATCTATTGTCTTTGTTCAGGTCTACTCTTGTTATTTTAATAACCAGTCATTTAGGGAAGTATGACCCAGATTGGTAATTTATTTACATATTTTGAAATATCTCATTTAGCATTCTCATTTGTGTAAACCTAAAGATTAGTTTATTATACCAAGTATACCAAATATAGCATATTTTGAACTCTAGAAATATTTTTAAATTAAATACATGTATCTTATAAAAAATGACTCCATTATCAATGTAGTTTTTTGAATATTTACTAAATCATCATGTAACTTTTATTTAAAAAAAAAAAAGCCTTACCATGCATAAAGGCATAAAGCAGGATTCTAGAGCCATTGTTTGAGCGGTTGCCTAGAAGAATGGTAAGAAATTCATAGTAAACTGCACAAGAATTTAACCTGGTTCAACCATCCAAAATATATTTTTGAATACTTTAAGATTAAGACTTAAATATATAAGCTGAGCTCTGTCAGATATTGTAAGACTTGGTCAGTGATATTCTTGAAATCATATTTTAATTTCTGAGTATTTTACAAGTTTTCAAAGAGTTATAAATTATGAGAAAGGAACTAGAGAGATGGCTCCATGGTTTTAGCATACTGGTTGCTCATCCAGAGAACCTGGGATCAATTCCCAGCATCCACATGGTATCAATAATCATCTGTAACTCCAATTCCAAGAGATATGATGCCTATTTCTGCCATCCTTGGGTACCAGGCATGCACATAGTGTACAAATATATATGCAGAGAAAAACAGCCATGCACATACATTAATTAAATGTTTTAATTATAAAAAGTTACAGATATTCAACCAATTGAAAGTATTAAAGTTTTAATTATTTTTATTTTGTTAGTATTTATTTTTGTTTGACACTTTCATACACGTATTTAATGTAATTTACTTACTTCATCCCGGTTAACCGCTCTCATACTAGTCCTACCCCCATTGACCCCCTTCTTAAGAACAAGGTTTCCTCCTATTTTCATGTGTGTTCCCTTCTCTGTCTGTCTATCTGGCTTTGTGATTGGTTGGTTGGTGATTGATTGATTGGTTGATTGATTGATTGACTGATTGATTGATTTTGTTTTTTGCAACCCACTGAGTTCAGTTAGGGTTGCTTGCATGAACATGAATGGTATGGTCATTTACCTGAGTAAGGGCAACATATTGGTAGCCATGCCACTAAAGACGATGACTATCCTACCCGAGCAACCATTAATTCCCAATAGCTTCTCAGAGAGTAACTATGCACTCCTTCACCACCCATGATGGAATCATTGGTAGGTCCAATCTTGTACAGGTAAACCCAGCTGTTGTGAATGCAGGAGTGCAGTGTCATGCCAAATCCGGAAGATACAGTTCAAAGGTCCTTCTTCTGGACCTTATATTCTTCCCAAGCCCTCTTTCATGATGTTCCCTAAACCATGAAGTAATAATATAAAATGCTCATTTAAGTCTAAGCTGTGAACTGTCACTTATTTTCAACACTTAACACCAGTTATGAATTACTTCATTAATTATCACCCATTGTAAAGGGAATCTTCTCTAACCAAGATTGAGAGCAGCACCAGTCTATGAGTATAAATATAAATATTTAAAAGACAGCTTGAGACAATTTCCATTTAGAAAAAAAAGTGGGTTATCTCTTAGGACTTAGAACCTCCCCAGCTGCATACTTTTGACATGAGTTCCCTTCCATGGAATGGGCCTCAAGTAGTGTTTTTTTTTTTGTTTTGGTTTGGTTTGGTTTGGTTTGGTTTGGTTTGGTTTGGTTTTTCGAGGCAGGGTTTCTATGTATTCCTTTGGACCCTGTCCTGTACCTAGCTTTGTAGACCAGGCTGGCCTCAAACTCACAGAGATCCGCCTGCCTCTGCCTTGCGAGTGCTGGAATTAAAGGCATGCACCACCAACAGCCAGGTCTCAAATACAATTTTTAAAATTTATTTTGAAGATGAAGGCCTCACCCTCCCTGGGGAGTAGAAAGGGGATGGTATAGGCAGTTAATGGTGGGCAGGGAAGAGGGGAGGGAGAGGGAACTGGGATTGACATGTAAAAAAAAGCTGGTTTCTAATTTAAATAAAAAATATTTTATTTGTATGGGTGTTTTGCCTACACATGTGTCAGTAACTGGAGTTAATGACAATTGAGAGCTGCCATGTGGGTACTGGTAATTGAACCCAGGTCCTCTGCAAGAGTAGCCATCTCTCCAGCTCCCTCAAATACAACAACTGTAAAAATACAGTTGGTTACTCCTATTTATCATATTCATACTATTTTGCATTAATGGATACATCCTACCTGGCAATGTGGTATTGTAACTCAAAGAGTTCATGGGTGCATAAGACTCCTGATAGCATTTCTCTCTCTTAGCAGCCTACATAACACCTTCAAGCACACTGAAAGCTAGCAAGCAGGGAGGAAGCTTGCAACTCAGTTCTAGCTTTGATTTCTCTATCCTGCCAGCATTGTATGTGGTATCTTCAGCAATAGGGTCTTACCATCTAGTCCTCATGAGCAACCAAGAATCATGGCAAGAGCTTGTTTTGTTTTGGGGGACCTCTGGGACTTCACATTCACAAGGAAGAACCCACAGATATGGCTCATCAGTTCAGAGTACAGCTGTTCTTCCAGAGGACCTGAGTGCCAGTTCCAGGGATTCCAGCATTCTTTTCTGGCCTCCTCAGACCCTGTATGCCTGTGGTGCACAATCGTATATGCACACAAAACACCAATACACATATAATATGATATAATGTAATATGTATAGTTTTTAAAGCTTACAGGGTGGCATTTGGCACTTGGAGTTTCATTCAATAGCCTATGGCTTGTAGAAGCAGCATTATTCATCCATTCCAACCCATTTTAATCATCACTTAAAAAAAACATGCAAATAAAAATACCATGAGGTATATTGAAGTACTCAAATAAGTACTTGCCAAAACCTAACGTCTACACATTTCAGTGAACTTCTATGTGTTTTTCTTGTTATATTTTATTACTTAGCTTATAAACTACCAAGTTTCAATATGACCTTTTCCAAACACCCCTTTTTCATTTACCCTCTTGCCAAATCTCCTTTTTTTTTTTTTCTTCCTTCTCATCCTCCCCTTAAACCTTTCCATCTTCAATTCTGTCCAGAATTTTTTTTTTAAAGATTCATCTTATTTTTATTTTTGAGTAAGTGTGTGTGTGTGTGTGTGTGTGTGTGTGTGTGTGTGTGTGTGTGTGTGTGTGTAATGGGGGCTGAAATGCCATGTATGGGGAATATCCATGAGGACAGACATCTGATCTCTTTTAGCTGGAGCCAAAGGCAGTTGGGACCCACCTGATACATGTGCTGCCAATCAAATTAGAGTCCTCAGGAAGAGTAATACATACTTTGAATCCCTAACCATCTCTCCAGTCCCCTCATGCATAATTCGTTAACATATATTACAAAAAGTTAAGAAGTTTCATGTGACATTCCCATACATGCATATATCTTAATCATAGTATCTGCTCTTGTTGCTCTTTCCTACCTCTGTGGCTGCCCTTTTCTTTCCTCCTCTTAACAAAAATTCTTTTGTAATATTTCATTGCTGTTCTGGTGGCTGAAAGGAACCCAAAAAATGTATGATTCTTCTGTCCTTTACCTTTTAGATTGTTTCTTAAATTCTCATTGAAAATTATTATTTCATTTATTTATGTATTTACTTACTTAATTACTTTTCTTTTTATGAGACAGGATCTCAACTGTGCATCCCTGGCTTACCGGGAACACAGTATAGAGACCATGTTGGCATCAAACACCCAGATCTACCTGCATCTGCCTCCCATGTACTGAGATTAAAAACAAGTTACCATACTGAGCAGCTTCCTAATCTTAAAAAAATTTCCTCAGAGATAGCAATTTACTAGTCCCAATATCTAATTAGAATGGAACATGTTAAGAATTGGTGTGGTTCACCAGGCACGGTGGTACACGCCTTTAAACCCAGCACTTAGAAGGCAGAGGAAGAGATCTCTGTGAGTTCAATGCTAACCTGGTCCACATAGTAAGTTCCAGAACAGCTGGAGCTACATATTAAGACCCTGTCTCAAAAGAGAAAAAAAATGTGTGGTGAGATGTCATAAAAAATGCAGTTAAAGCGACACCAAATACGGACATTTGGTGAGTTTCTGGATATTTTTGCTTACAGTTTCAATTCTTATTCTGCCACTAGTTGTTACCAATTATCTCAAGAAATGTGAAACTTTCTGAACTTCATTGTTTGCAATTCAATTTCATAAGAAAAGCTTTGCCAGATTCAGTACAACTGTGATAAGGAGTCAGGAGTCTAGAATTGCATTGCTACTGAGCTGTAAGAATGTTTGTTTCATCAGACCTTCTTCTGTCATGAATTTTAGAGGTTAACAAGGCTTCTTTGTGTTTGTAGGCTGCAAGATCAGGCAGCAGAGACCATTGAAGCTCTGCATGCAGCTGGCTTGAAAGTCTGGGTGCTTACTGGAGACAAGATGGAAACAGCAAAATCTACCTGCTATGCCTGCCGCCTTTTTCAAACCAATACTGAGCTCTTAGAACTGACCACAAAAACCATTGAAGAAAGTGAAAGGAAAGAAGATCGATTACATGAATTGTTAATAGAATATCGTAAGAAGTTGCTGCATGAATTTCCTAAAAGCACTAGAAACCTTAAAAAGTAAGAAAGTACATCTATTTCTTTTTTTTCTACTTCTTATTTATACATTGATACAAATGTAAATAACAGATGCGTTTGTAGAATGTTCTATTTGCTGTAATTTATCATTCCCTGTTGTAAGTTAAAACTTTCCCCAGAGGACTTGATTAATGGTCCATTTAAGATCATTTGTCACTTTATACCTCTCAATGTAAAAGAAATTTAGATTTCTCAAGATTTAGTGTGAAAGCTCTTTTTTGGGGGTGTGGGGATTGGTAGTGCTATAAATTGAACCTAAGGCCTCACACATACTAGGCAAGTGCTCTACCACTGAATTATCTCCAGTACTCAGTTTTTTTAATGAATTTATAATTCACATGTATAAAAACCATAAAATTATCCATCCTAATAAGTTAATATATTTTGATGCATGCATACACTGTATAATGTTTAACTTAAAGATAAACATACTTTTTCACAAAGCACTTTTCTTTATAGTAAAAACTTCCAGAATCATTCCTTCTTAACATTTTGAAATTTACATAAATTAGTGTTGCTTATAGTCACCCTACTCTACAGGTGATATACCAAAATTTCTTCATCCTTTCTAAATATCACTTAATGTAAATGGAATTCTTAATTGGTCTAACTAATAAAAACCCAGAGTCAGATATAGAAGAAAATGATGAGAGATCAGGGAGAAGGAGCAAGCCAGCACCACACCTTACCTACTTATCTCAGGAGATAAGAAAGTAAGTTCCTGTTTCTCCCTGCTATATCCTGTTTCCACCCACCTATCTCACTTCCTGTCTGCCTGTATAGACCTCCAGACCTCTATGGTTAACTAATGGCAAACTCCATTCTCTGACCCTCAGAGAGGCTTTATTTGTACAAGTAAGATGTCACTACAACTTCATACCCTTTGATCAATTTTTCCCCATCTTTATATCCAGCCTTTGGTAACCACCCTTGTATTCTCAACTTCCATGAGATCAATGCTTTGAGATTCATATGAATAAGATCTTTTTGTGCCTGTATTATTTTACTTGCTTATACTATACTGAACTCCAGGACATCCATGTTATTACAAATGAATTACAAAGAATTTCATTTCTTTGTAGCTGAATAGTATTCTGTTATGTATGTCCCATATTTTTTTTTCATCTATTTAGTAGTTGATAGATACTTAGGTTGTTTCCATCTTTAAGCTCTTGTGGATAGTGCTGAAATAAACACTAAAGTGTGTTAGAGTAGGGTTTTTTCCCTGTCAGCCTGGTCCCAGAGCCGCACCAGCCACAAATAACAAGCAAAGACACTGTATTTGATATAATTCTGTTGGCCAGTTACTAGTTTCTTATTGGCTAGCTCTGTCTTAAATATTAACCCATTTCTATTAATCTAAGTACTTCCACATGGTCTTATCTTACTGGAGAGAGAAACCAGCATACTACCCTGTAGGTTCTCCATCTTGAATCTCCTCCCTCCTACTTCCTCTCTCCTCCTTGTCTCCTAGTCCCACCTATCTTGCTTTCCTAATGGCCATCTGTGCTTTATTCATTAACCAATGTGAGAAACATATTTACAGAATGACATCTCCCATCATCTCCTCTTTTCTGTCTAAATGAAAAAAAGGGTTTTAACCTTAACATAGCAAAATATGTAACAAAACAGTTATCAAATAAGAACCACGGTTAACAATATTTAGTTCATTAACATTTAACAAGATTTAAAGAAAATAGTCCATCAACTCTTCTATCTTTGTGAGTCTAAAGTCATATATGTAATTTTAATCATAACTAAGGAAAACTATAACCATGACTATCTGTCTTCAACTCCATCAAAGACCACAGAAGGATAATATATAAACTCTAGAAATGACAGAGTCATCTTGCTACCTGATTAGTCACCTGAAGTTCTTCTGTAATGTTCCATCTTTAGCCTGTAACCCATAGTGTATCTGGCAGGCAGACTACTCAGCAAAGCAGGAAACTTCAAACTGTTTACCTGTATTGGCAGTTTGTCAGTCACTTTTCTCTGTGTCCTGTAGACTGTCTTCCATGAAGCAGAAATCCTCTAGCAATGTCCATCTTGTATCAGCAGTCACTTTTCTGTGGGTCCTGCATGTCCATTTTATACAGCATAAAGTCAAACAGTCTAGACAAATGTAGTATCTTGCCTAAATGGCTAGTTTTACCATATTGGAAATTAACTCCATAACACGTTTCTTCAATGTTCATCTTCCTTTCTAATGCAGGTAGTATTGTCAAGAGCAATTATGTCTCATTGTCAAGAAAAACCCTAAACCATTTTAAATGCCATATTTTGTAGGTCTTTAACAGGTTTGAAGAATGCCTATCCATCTCAGATACATCTCTATATATCTAGAAACCCTAACTTATCTAACTATAAGTTTTAACTATTATAAGTAACTATCTATAATCTGTACTAAATTATACATTACATTTTTAATGAGCTATATAAACACAATACCTAAACAAGAGAATTATACATATCACAAAATTGACCTTATTGTATCAAATTGTATCAAATGAAAATCCATTCCAAGGCAAAGTATTCATATCTATACCATAATCCCCTTTTTACTTTTAAAAAAAATTGGTTGTGGTCATTAACTATTTATAACCAACCCCATATAAATGAAAACAAACATTTATAAACAATATTTGGGAATTTGGGCATCATTCTTTCCAAACTACTTCCTGCTGGTAGGGGGCACTGTCCATGGGGATCCTAAGAAGACTCAGAAATCCTGGCTGTAGTCTGCAAGGCTACCTTGTCTAAGCTGTTTTGAATGTTGGATCACCTGGGATACTGTTTCAGGGGTTCTGACTTAATCAAACCATGTTAGTCTGGAAGTAATCCACAGCTTCTCATTTTCTGTGGAAACAAAAATAGAAATCTTTTCCCAGTAACCTGTCCTTGGACTTAAATTTTGAAGTTAAAGCATTTTTAAAGTATATAAATTGAATTAATCCAGCTATAGCCCATCTTAAAACTACTGTTGTTCCTGTACCTAATAATGAGATTGCATATTCATATTAGTTGTCTATGAGAAATTTTTCCTTTCTTTCTTTAGTCAGATAACATATATTGTTAGTCCAAATTATAATGCATGTTTCTTGTTAGTTTTTTCTGGGTTTACTTATGCTGCTGTAGCAACATAATAGACAGTGAATAGGTATAGTTCTCACAGTTCTAGAGGCCAAAAGTTTGATCAGAGTGCCATGGTTTGGTGAATACTTTCAGATGACAGGTTATTTAGATGAATCTTCTTCAAATGAAAGCAATTATCCCAACATATGCACCTAGTTAATCTTAATTCTAAAGACCTTGTCTCCTAATAACATCACATTTGTGGTTGTATTTCAGAATTTTGAGAGCAAAATTAAGTTCATAACTGGCACAAATCCCATTGTGAAGATCCTACTCTGATCTTATCTAAACTTAATCAACTTTCAAAAACCCCAACTTCTAACACCATCACAGTGAGGATAGGCCTTTAACACATTTTAAAAAGAAATGAGTCAGTCCATAACACTGTGTAGTACTCAATTTGAATAAGCCAGGCATTATGGAAAACTTACCTCATGTTTTTCCTCTGTTTCTGGTTATGTGTTTAGAATCAGGCATACTCTTTTCCCAAATTAATAGGCTTCAGATCCAGAATCCCTTTGCCAGCTTTTTTCCTTTTCTTTTTCCAATTCACATTATCCATCAACCCTTAGCCATGCTTCAATTACCACTGATATTTCAGATCATATACCTAGCATCATATACATTCAAAGCCTTAAGCCCCTCTGCCAGATAAGGTCTTTAAATATAGCGCTGTCTATATCACAACTTTACGCCCAAACCTTTGGTAATTCTCCATTAACCTCAAATACTCAGGTTATACCAAAGGCCTGAAGTGGAATTAATTTGCTTTCTAGTGTGCCCAACATACATTTTCTCCTTTCACTTCTTCTCCACCTTAAATGTGACTTCCAAGTATCTTACCTCACAAAGAAATTATCTCCTGTGTAGATTCATTGTCCCAGTAACTTAGTGTGTACCATTTATTACCTTGGTTGGTTGTATATGTTCCCTTATATGTACTTCTGTCATTCTGTGGAGATTTCTGTATCCCAAGGAAAAATTAGACAATAATTCTTTTTAATTTTACTGTGGATATTGAACCTAGAGCCACTTACCTACTATGCAAATACTCTTCTGAACTATAGTGCCAACCCTCCCTCCCTCCCTCTCTCTCTCTCTCTCTCTCTCTCACACACACACACAACACACACACACACACACATGAGAGAGAGAGAAAGACCAAATTCAATCAATTTTCTATTGCAACGAGGGGGGTAAAACAGCATCCATTTAATTTCTGCTCAAACAATTTTGGGTGCCCTTTGAGAATCACTCCTATAGAAGCAGTAAGTACAGGAAAATTTCATAGTTATAGATTGAGTTGTCTACTTTAATGCTACTCAATGTTTACTGTGCAGAAGTGTTACTTGGGTATGTTATTAAAGTGTACATTCTGACTCCATAAGTCTTGGAGAGATCTTAAATTCTGCATTTTAATCATCTCCCCACATGCTTGTATAAAACCAAACTTTGAATAGCAAAAACTTTAATACACTCATTTTTCCTGTATTTCTTTGTATTTATACAATATTTTATTTTATAATTTTGTAAGCACACTTATTACTTAAAGGACCATCAAGTGATTAAGAAACTCAAAGATCAAGCAGGTGTGGTGGTGCACAGGACTTAAGAAGGGGAGATAGGAGGATCAGGGGGTTAAAAGCTGTCTTCAGTATGTTAATTCTAAGTATGTGTGGATTCAAACACATTTTTAAATCTTTTGCAGAGCATGGACAGAACATCAGGAATATGGATTAATCATTGACGGCTCCACATTGTCACTCATACTAAATTCTAGTCAAGACTCTAGTGCAAACAACTATAAAAGCATTTTCCTACAGATCTGTATGAAATGTACTGCAGTGCTCTGCTGCCGGATGGCACCATTACAAAAAGCCCAGGTAACTGGATATTAGTGAATTTTCTTTCCGTGATGGATCTTCTTTACACAGCTCATTTCTCTCCCTGGCTTTTCCTTCTTTGTGAACAAACTCTGCAGTCTCTTCCAAATTATTTTAAACCTCTACTGTACCATGTACCCTCAAACTTGCTGACCAGTTCTTTACCTTCTAGTACTTAGTTCCTACTACCCCTGCCTGTGGTTGATTCCTCCTCGTGGCTATATTAGCCGTATGTATCCTGTTCTTTCTTCTCTTACTACTCTGCTGATTTGGTTACAAATGAGCCTGGCCCTTGTCAGAATGTGGTGGTGCACTCCTTTAGTTCCAGCACTCGGGAGGCAGAGGCAGGTGGATCTCTGTGAGTTCCAGACCAGCCTGGTCTACAAGAGCTAGTTCGAGGACAGGCTCTAAAGCCACAGAGAAACCCTGTCTCGAAAAATCAAAACAAAGAAACAAATGAACCTGGCCCAATTCCTTAAGCAATATTCTTTCCCTTGCTTCTTTACTACAGTTGGCATTTATATTTTCTTCAAAATCTTCTTTTATTGCTGTGCCGGCTCAGAATGCTGACGTGTTCCCCCCTCTTTGGATTATCTTTTCATGCTTTTATCCTGTATTTTTACATTTGTACCTTATTTTTATGTGTGGGAATCTTTTGCCTACGTGTATATCTCTGCACCACTTGCATTCCTGGTGTCTGCAGAGGTCAGACAAGAGCATCAGAACCCCTGGAACTGGAATTACAAACATCTGTGAGCTGCTATGTTGCTACTGACAAATGAACCTGAGTCTTCTGAAATAACTGCCAGTTCTCTTTACTACTGAGTCATCTCTCTGGCCCATTATCCTGTATTTTCGTAATAGTTTTTCTTTCCTATGATAAAGTTTTGCTTTGATTTCCACTTTATGGGTTATTTCTCTCTGGATTAACTCTTCCGTTTCTCTGCCTTTCATTGATGTAGCTCTAAGTCCTAACTTTTCCTTAAGATTATGTATCCTGTTTCTAGCTGTGTGCTAGACATCTCCATTTAGATTCCCTACCTATCACATTAAATTCTAGTATCTTAAGAGAGATCTTACAGTTTTCTTGAACAGTTTGTTTCTTGTCTTACTTTATTTCGGTTACTATGGCCATTTTTCTTTGTTCCCTAAGTCTCACATTATAGTCTGTTTATTCTACATATTTTTGTCATTGCTGTCATTTTCATGAAACCTTTTGATGTTGCTCATATTTTTTTTCTCCTACCCAGAACAAGGGTTTCTTGTGGTTCAGGCCTCAGTGTATTTTACCTTTGTCACTATAGTTGCTTTTTCTAGACAAATACATCACTTGTGTCTATATAGGTGATGTTTAACTCATTACCTTCTGTCCAAATCTTTGGTATTCTATTGTAAACCCATGTTCTTGATTGTCCTTATTGCCCAATCTGCCTTCTCTGCAGCTTAACATTCATTTTCCTTGGCATCTATTATTTCTATAACCAAGCATAGTATAGTTTCAACTTTCTAAACCCAAAACATTATTGATTTTCCTCGTCATTTATTATTCTTTTACGTGGCTTTAGCTATCAAAGTATGTTTTGCTACTTGTTTTTTTTTTTTTTTTTTAGCTGATTGTTTCTTCTTTCCAAAGCCAGACATTGGGTAGCTATTAAACTTTATTTGTAACCTGCTAGCTTCCCTTTTTTTCTCTTCATTTTGTTTTCTACCAGAGCCTTCTGTACTCTGCTACTTCTACTAAATCTCCTTCCATGTTGATCTGAATCCATGATCCATATGTGAAAATTCATTGATCTAGTAACACCAGACTTATTTTCTGTTTTTCTGTGATTACTATTCTTAATTCCCTTGTGTATCTTTTGAATATCATTTCTTTTCTCTGGGAATATCCTCTCCTTTCCATAAACACAGAAATTTTATTAATATTTCATTATTTAATGATTTCCTCTGTAAAATAATGCCTAATTGGCAAATACTTTCCACATCTTTGATATCATCAGCTTTCTTGCTTGGAATTTCTTGTTGCATTTATTTCTTTGTTTGTTTATTGTGAAGTACATGTACCTTGGTACACACATGAATATAAGAAAACAACTTGAAGAAGTCTGTTCTTACCCTCCTCCATGTGGCTATCAGTGACCAAACTTGAGTCGTCAGACTTGGTAGTAGATGTCTTTACCTACTGAGACATCACAACCAGCTTTTCTATGGATAATTGGATAATTTAAAGTACTCTTGTACAGATACCATATTTTTATTATTTATCTTTATTATTTACATTCTGATCTAATATATTTTATTTAAAACTAATCTCTGGTTCATTTGCATGCTTTTCAATAACCATACCTCTTCTTTTTTGATACTAGTATATTGTTTTGAATGGTATATTGCATAAATTTAAACTTGTTGAAAAAGCTTTTTGAAACACCTTGGTATTGGCACAAAAATAGACAGGTAGACCAGTGGAATTGAATTTAAAATCCTGATATTAAGCCACACACCTACGAACAGCTAAAAGTATATACTAGAAGGAGGAAAGCATCTTTAACAAATGGTGTTGGCACAACTGGATGATGGTGTGTAGAAGACTGCAGAAAGACCCTTGTCTGTCGCCATACACAAAACTCAAGTCCAAATGGATAAAGGACCTCAACATAAATCCAGCCATACTGAACCTCTTAGAAGAGAAAGTAGGAGGTACCCTTGAACAAATCGGTACAGGAGACCGCTTCCTGAACATAACTCCTGTAGCACAGACACTGAGATGGACAACTAATAAATGGGACCTCCTCAAACTTAGAAGTTTCTTTAAGGCAAAGGACAGAGTGGACAAGACCAAACAGCAGCCCACAGACTGGGAAAATATCTTCACCAGCCCTACATCTGACAGAGGGCTGATCTCCAAAATAAACAAAGAACTCAAGAAAGTGGTCACCGAAACACCAGATAAAATATGGGGAACAAAACTGAATAAAGAATTCTCAATAGAGGAAATCAAAAAGGCTGAAAACACTTAAGAAAGTGCTCAACATCCTTAGCTATCAGGGAAATGCAAATCAAAACAACTTTGAGATACCATCTTACTCCTGCCAGAATGGCTAAAATTATAAGCACCAATGACAACTCATGCTGGAGAGGATGTGGAGAAAGGGGAACACTCCTCCACTGCTGGTGGTAGTGCAAACTCATACAGCCATTTAGGAGATCAATGTGGCGGTTCCTCAGGAAAATGGGAATCAGTTTACCACAGGACCCAGCAACCTGCCTGTTAGGCATATACCCAAATGATCCACATCCATACAATAATGACATCTGTTCAACTATGTTTGTAGCAGCATTATTTGTAATAGCAAGAACTTGAAAGCAACCTAGATGCCCTTCAACTGAAGAATTGATAAAGAAAATTTGGCACATTTACCAATGAAATACTACTCTGCAGGCGAAAAAAGAAAACAATGGATTCTTGAAATTCACAGGGAAATGGATGAAACTTGAAGAAACCATCCTGAATGAGGTAACCCAGTCACAAAAAGAGGAACATGGTATATACTCATATATGGATTTTAGACATAGAGCAAAGGATCACCAGCCTATAATTCACAGGGCCAGAGAAACTCAGATACAGGGAGGAGTCTAAGAGATTCATACAAGGTCCCTCACAAAAGGGGAAAGGACAAGGTTTCCTGAGCATATTGGGAGTGGGGGTGCAGTGAGTGGAGTGGGAGTTGGGAGGAATAGATGAGAGAATAAAAGAGAAAGAGAGACCATACAAGAGGGAGCCATTATAGGTTTGAAGAGAAAACTGACTATAGAGAAATGTCCAGAGACCTACAAGGATGACCCCAACTAACAATCTGAGCAACAGTGGAAAGGCTACCTTAAATGCCTTTCCCTGTTAATGAGATTGATAACTAACTTATCCACCATCATGCAGACCTCATCTAGTAGCTGATGGAAACAGAAGCAGACACCCGTAGCTGAACATTGAGCTGAACTGGAATCCAGATGCAGAGAGGGAAGACAAGACCAGGCTACAGATCCCACAGAGACAGCTGACCTGAACAAGGAGGAACTACTGGGCCCCCACACTGATAGCTGGGAAACCAGCATTGGACCAACTCATACTCCCTGAACATGGGTCTCAGTTAGAAGGCCCAGGCACACTATGGCACCTCGGACAGTGGAACCAGGATGTATCCCTGGAGCGCGGAAGGACTTTGGGAGCACATTCGCCTTGGAGTGATACTCCCTTAGCCTCCAGGAAGGCACCAAGCTCCCTGTGGAGTTGGGGGGAATGGGATGGGAGGGTGGCCATGGGGTATGGGAAGGAGGGAGAGGGAACTGGGATCGATATGTAAAATAAGAAAAATAAATATTTTAAAAAAGGAAAAAGCTGTTTTTAGCTAAATTACCTCCTTTTTCTTGAAAGTTACCTACAGTTTGGAGAAAAACTCTTAATATGGGTAACTTGAAGAGATTGGCTGGGGGAATCTACATGTTTACCTTACCAAATCTTCATGACTTTATTATCAGTAACCATAATTGTTTTTTTCTATAATGACAAATTATAATCTTTCAACCTAACCTGTATTTTTCTTGCAAAGGTTGTCACCTTAGTAATTATGTTGCCTTCCAGGCTGCAATTTTTAAGCCTTGAGGTACAAATTATTCCTGCACATAGTATACTAAGTACAAATTAGTTAACAGTTAATATAGCCCATCAAAACTGAATTGAGTTTAGATTCTTTAGCTTTGGACTTAGTTCTTTCACTTACATAAATAAGAGATTATTTCTGATAATCTTTTGTATACTTCTTAATAGGAGCCAAATTAAGAGGAACAATCCTTCAAAAGCTAACATTTTACTTCATTTTTTGTGTTGAATGAAATTGGACATGTAGGTTTTTTTTTTTAAAGTAATTTTAAGACAACTAAAACCTTAATGAGTCTTATTTAAAGAAACACCATGTTGTGCCTTACTTGCATAAATTATTTGTAATCACTTTATTTCTGTTGAAAATGAATTTTATTCATGCTAACCAGCTAGAGAAACCAGGGGGAAAAACTTTTGAAAATCATTATTTAGCAGCTGAAACGTATATGTCATGTTAAGGCTTCTCAATCCCAAGAAGTCTTGATAGTAGATGGCAAACAATAACTTTCTCAAACAGAGTGGAAAGACGGATTTGACCCAAGTATTTTCCCCAAGTGACTTTCCTAGGAGGTTTTGGAGACCCCTAAAGCAGAAGTCATTAACAACACCATAAGTGAACATTTTTTTTTATTTAGTATTCGCCCTACCCTGAACGCTGCATTGAACCACACTGCATTGTTTTTACATTTGGATGAGATACTATTTGGAAAGTGATGAAATTAGTAGCTTTTTTTTTCCCTGTATAAGATTAACATACGTTCCATAATTACCATTGGGGTATTACAGTGTTCTTCCTGCATGTATCCCTGCAGGCCAGAATAGGGCACCAGATCTCATTACAGGTGGTTGTGAGCCACCATGTGGGTGCTAGGAATTGAATTCAGCCAGTGCTCTTAACCTCTGAACCTCTTCAGCCCCCCATTGGGGTATTCTTAAGGGAGATAAAATGTCTTTAGAAAGGAGGGGTTAAGAGGTAACCAAAATATTGTTCTAATTTTTCCATTCTTATTCTGGTGGCTTTGTACATTTTACCTGAAATCCAATTTATAGCCTTCACTCTCACACAACATAATATAAAGAGAGCATGTGAAAAGATAGCAAAAGAAGGAAACATGCCAACATTTAGTAAGCATGGCAGGAAAGGTTTTGAGTATTTATGCAGGTACAAACCTAGAAACAGGATGCTAGAATTGCATTTTAAATGTTACTTTGCACCTGACTACTTAAGACTAACACACAAATATATGCAAACTACCTTTCTGTCTGTAAATCCTCCAGTTACACTTGTAAATGACAATAAACCCCAGTGAGTTTACATGTTCTGTTTTTGACTTTTCTGTCTCTTTTGTATTTTATGTTTAGATTGTCAGAATGGTGAAGAATTTGAAAGGCACCCCCATAACACTGTCAATAGGTGATGGTGCCAATGATGTCAGTATGATTTTGGAATCCCATGTGGGGATAGGTAAGAAACATTTAATATGATGGCCTCTATAAGGTATCATCATCAGTATTACTTTCTAGGTTGAATCAGTCTTAATCTAGATTGCTTGGGTTACTCATCTGGGATTGGAACTTGAAAATAATTGTTAATTTAACAAATAATTTCTTCTAATATTTACCATTCCAAGGTCTTACCCATAGTAGTTGGAGGGTATTTATATTTGCCAAACAAAATAGATTTTTTTCTTTTGTTTGTTTTTCTTTTAATTTTTTATTTTGTTTTTGAGACAGGGTTTCTCTGTGTATCCCTGGCTATCCTGGAATTCACTCTGTAGACCAGGATGGCCTCAAACACATAGAGATCCACCTGCCTCTACCTCCAGAATGCTGTTATTAAAGGCATGCACCACCACTGCCTGACTACAAAATGGATTTTTCAAACCTTCTTGTGTCACAATTAATTGAGTAGCTCTTATTTTGACATCATGCATGATATTTTATTAAATTTTTACACATCTGGCCATGTTGTCTGTTCTATTACTATTCTGTCTTTTGAGATTGTTAACTGTTAGAGGTTAATAAATTATCACTGGCTGGTTCATTTTCCACACAGTGTTATTTATTTGTTCAATGGGCTATGGTGTTGAAGCCTTATGTTGACATACAACAACAGTTTTTCTAGCACCTACACAAAGTTTTTCACACATCTGATTGCTATTAAGCACCCAGCTTAACACTGCAGCAACATTGGGCAATGCATTGGGAACACATACAGAATGAATATCTTGCAAATTATTAAAGGGAAGTTTAGATTCCCAAATTCCTTCCCCCATTCCAAAGTAGAATGATTTACCTTGGAATTCTAAGTTTTGCTCATTGATTACCTAATGTGGAAATGGCCTATGGCTCATGAAATTCATGAAAGCTATTTAGTTTCATACAGTGAAAGGATTTCACTGTCTTCTCATTGATTTCCTTTATCACAAAGCCAGACCTCTGTTGCCGTAATATAACATTTAGTTTAGTGTTGTGCACAATTAAGCATATACTAACTGCCCTGAATAATTTTCAAGTGTATTTTCCCCCTTCGAATAATTTTTGCTTTGTAATGGTTGAAATACTGGTTGTACATCATTGTTTTATATTGTACTAACAAACAGCTAATCATCAATTTAACATATCTTATTTGGTAAGTTTAAATATCACTGCTAATGCCACTTTTTATTTTAAAAGAAGTAAATCTAAGCTATGCACTCAATTTGTAACATTTAAACAGCTTAAAATATAAAAATAGATGAGGTGTTTTCACATACTATAAAGTTATCACCATACAGAGATATTCTCTTTTTAGGTATTAAAGGAAAAGAAGGTCGCCAAGCAGCTAGGAATAGTGATTATTCTGTTCCAAAATTTAAACATTTAAAGAAATTGCTATTGGCTCATGGACATCTATATTATGTGAGAATAGCACATCTTGTACAATATTTCTTCTATAAGGTATGTGATCAAATGTTTATAATTTAGCTGTTTTGCAGTGCCTAGATTTGAATCAATTTGGTGTTGTTTGTTTTTGCTTTTCAAAACAGGGTTTCTATGTGTAACAGTCTGGCTGTCATTGAACTCACTATGTAGACCAGGCTGGCCTCAAACTCACAGAGATCTGCCTACCTCTAGCCTCGCAAGTGTTGGGAGTAACAGAATTAAATTTGTTATGTAACTGATGCTAACACAGTGCTGAGCTCTGCAGTTTAATTTCTGTGAATCAAAACCAAGGCACTTACTGGGGATATTAAATTTTGAAATTAATTTTGAAGTCAAATTGATTAATCATAATATTGTTTTATCCATTAAGAGTGTATAGATCCAGCCAAAGAGATGTTTTATTTAGCTAACGGTTTATGGGTGTTTCTTATCCTTTCAAAGAATCAAGTGCTCACATTTTCATTATCCATTCATCAGTTGAAGGACATTTAGGTTAGGTTGTTCTGTTTCTTAGCTATTGTGAATAGAGCAGCAATAAACATGGCTAAGTACCTGTAGAATAGGTTTTCACATCCTTTAGCTATATATGCCAAGGAATGGTATAGCAGCTCATATGGTAATTTTATTTTTAGCTCTTTGTGATTTCTCCACACTGACTTCATATTGGCTTCACCTGTTTACAATGCCACGAACATTAAATAAGTGTTATTAAAAATATGGAATGCTATAAATTTGCATATCATCCTTGTACAGGGGCCATCCTAATTTTTCTTTTTCCTTCCAATTTTAGTGTATTTGCTGCTGAAGTGAGCACTTCTCAGTTCATAGCCCTAGCTAGCCTGAAACTCCCTTTGCAGACCAGACTGGCCTCAGACTCACAGAGATCCACCTTCCTCTGCCTCCCAAGTACTGGGATTAAAAAAGTGTAAATGTGTATGTTACTGCACCTGATCATTTCAATAATTTCTAACTTTACATTATTTTTTAGTATGTCTTTGGAATTCAGATTATACTTAGTTTTCCAAAGCCCTAAGGTATATTCTGAGTTATTTGAAAGCTCTGATTTTCCCTTCTTTGGAAAGGTCTCATGTATCTCAGTCTGGGCTTGAACTAACTGAATAGCTGAGGATGACCTTGAACTTGTGATCCTTTGCTCTCTAATTCCTAGGTACTATGATTACAGGTATATGCCTTCATGCTGAGTTTATGTGCTATTGGTGATTAAACATAGGGCTTTACACATGCTGAGCATGCACCCTACCAAATGAGCTAAATACCCAGCCCCATCTGATGTTTACAATGCAGATACTTAACGGTATACATTTCACTCTCAGGACTACTTAGCCTCCAAGTTTTGGTATATTGTATTTTCATTTTCATTCACTTCTCTGATTTTTTTATTCCCTCCTTAACTGATTTTCAGTGATCCATTCATCATTCCACAGAGTATTTTCCTTTCTTTTTTTTTAATTTTTGTTTTGTTTCATTTTGATTTTTGAGACAGGGTCACACTATGTGGTTCTAGCTGGCCTGGAGACAGGGTCACACTATGTGGTTCTAGCTGGCCTGGAATTTACTGTCTAGCTCTGGCTGGCTTGAGACTCAGAGATTGGCCTTCTTCTGCCTCTCTGTCTCCCCAGTGCTGGTATTAAAGGTGTGTGCTGCCACACCTGGCTTGGAGAATGTTTTTTAATGTCTGTGATTTTTGTATGTGTTCTATAGTTTTCGCTTGCTATTGGTTTCTAGTAATCTATTTTTGTCAAGAAATTTCTTTAATTTTACTACATGCATTAAGTCTTACTTTGAACTAGGTGGTGGTACATTCCTTTAATCCCAGCACTTGGGAGACAGAGGCGGGCAGATCGTTGTGAATTCAGTGCCATCCTGGCCTATAAAATGAGTTCCAGGGCTGAAACCCTGCCTCGGGTAGGGGAACCTACTTTGTGTCCTATTGTTACTGAATATTCTGTTTTAGAGAAAGGTCCTTGGGCTGCTGAGAAGACTACGTTCTGCTGTGTTTGGATAGAATTTCTATAGAAAACTGTTAAATTCATTTGATCTGTGATGTTATTTAACCCGCCATTTCTCACCACCCAACGCACACCTTTTTAAATAAGGATAATTATTTGTTTGTGAGTAGAATATTAAAGGCACCTGTTATTGTTGTTTGGGTATTGTTGCTTTTTTCCCCCTAATTCCATTTGCTTGCAATACCTTTTTCCATCCTTACACCCTAAGATTGTATCTGTCTTGGATGCTGAGATGTATTCCTTCAAGGCAACAATCTCCTTATCTGTTGTTTGGGGAATTGAGACATTAGTAGTTACTATTGAAATGTTAATTCCTGTTATTTCTAGTTCTGGTTTGCTTAACTATTGCTTTTCTGTAGCCGGGTGGCCTGTTTTTTTCTCTCTTCAGGCCAAAAGATTTCTTCATGTGTCTTTGGTGTAGATGGTTAAGTAGTTATGAATTCTTTTATCCTGTTTTTATCACAATTGACTTTTCTTTCTGCTTCAATTATGACAGTTTTGTTGGCAGCAATAGTCTTGGTTGATTGTTGTCTTTCAGGGCTTGAAATGCATCATTTTAGAAGATTGCCTGACCTTTAAAGTTTTTGTTTAGAAACCTTATATTATTCAAATAAACCTGCCTTTATAGGTGATTTTGTGTTCCTTCTTGCAGTTGTGTGTATATATATATATATATATATATATATACACTCATACACAAGTGTTAAAAAAGTTACTTCTTTTCCTTTACCATGTAGGTCCTGGGTATCGAACTCAGGTTGCTAGACTTGACAGTAGATGCCCTTACTCACTGAGCCATCTCTCTGTCTTCATATTAATTTATCTTTGTCATTGTCCTGTGTTTCAGTTCCTTCTAATGATAGTCTTTCCTTCCTTTGATCTACTCTATTGGTAAGACTTTTTAAGTAGCTTTTCATTTGACTTATTGAATGTTTTGTTTCCAGTCTTTCAATTTGTTCTTTTACTTTAGCATTTCAAACTTGTTGGATTGTGTTTTCATGTATACTGTTTACTTATTTTGTTTAGTTGTTTGTGTATCTTGAGTATTCTGCATTGCAACCTTTGTCTGTATTCACAGTCTGACCAGGTTTCTACCTCGCTGGGTACTAAGAAGTTTTGATGCAATGTTTCCTCACCATAGTGTAGAGATACTCTGCTGCCTTATGGTTCTGTAATACTTACTCTCAGTTTCTAGGGGGTGCAGATCATGTATTGTTTGGAGCCTGCAAAGCCATCAAATTACTCGGCAGGGGTCTTTTAAACTGATGTGCTACAACTTTCCAGTTCATTGCCAAGGAAAAGGTTTGCACCCCCCAACCATGGAAACGTTTTTCTCTGCAGCCACCATGCGTAACTTCTGTCTCCTTTCTTCCATCTTTTCTATTATAAATGTCTTTTATTAGGAGTATTTTGCCAATTTTTAAGGCACTCTGTCTGAAGTTTTAGTGAATACTATAACAGAGATAGATGAGAGTTCCCTGGACTATGCTATTCCTTCAGGTCAGACTGTAGTTTTCTGTTCTGATTTCCAAGGCTTTCTATTTTACTTTGAACTAGACTACATATTTTGTGGCCATCACCCATCTCTTCTGATAGCTGTTAACTAGATTCCCCCCCAGATTATTCTCTAGATAATCTATGGACCAAGCCTACATGATGACCACCATCTTGTCTATCATCTCCTGTTTCACTTCTTCATTCATTTTGTCATCTATGGCCTATCAAATGAGTCATCATCAGTGATCCCTCTTGCTATATATAGCACCAGATGCTGAGGCTCCTATATATGCACTTGTTAAGTAAAAAATTAAAAAATGAATCAAGCACAGGTGCACGCCTTTAATCCCAGTACCTAGGAAGCAGAGACAGACAGATCATTTGTGAGTTTGAAATCAGTCTGGTTAATATGAGTTTGTGAACAGCCAGTGTTACATAAGAAGACCTTGCCCTTAAAAATTAAAAATAAAAGTAAAGACAAGAAAGGAATGTTTATGGAAACGTGTGTGTGCATGTATATGGCAAAGTATATAAATATATAGAGAATATGCATCTATATATATAGTGATATAGAATATATATATAAATAAAATATCACTGATCCTAGGTTTCCCTGATTTGCTAAAATCCCTGGTTGCTAGCCTGTATTATTTGGGTCAAACATTGAAGAAGGAAAAGTATAATTATGATGTTTATTGAACTCAATGTATGTATAATAGTTTGTTGTTTGACAGAAACACTTCATTTCTTAATTAATTCTCACAATCCTCCTATGAGGCAAGTTTTAGTATCTCAATTTTAAATATATAAAAAAGATAACTCAGGTAAATTTTATCTTGGTTCTTAGTTGTACAGCTAGGAAATAATGAGAGCTGTATTCCCACAGTAAGTTAAATATAGGAAACTGCATCAGAATAAAGGTCTGTTAGGCTTGACATCACTTATTATTATTTTTGACTTTCCCCTGATAGAAGGTCCGCATGAAGATTTGTCTGGCTATCTGATTCCCCCCCCCCCAAAAAAAAAAAAAAAAAAAGCTTGGTTTGCCTCAGTTGGATTTTGCCCTGCAATTCAAGCATCTGCCAGCAGATGGAATGAATTGTTTGCTAAAAGAACAAAACAAGCCTTAACTTACCAAATGTTGACTAGTAGTCAAAAATTGTTACGACCCCATTCACAACAAAGGATATCAGAGATTATTTATGTATGTGATGCCTTCTGTGTTCATTATCATCTACATTACTGACTCAACACTTCTCCTACATACAGCTGTCCTTTGTCCAAAAAGATTTCTAATCTTTTTTTTATTTTATTTTACATGTCGCTCCCAGTTCCCTTTCTCTCCCTCCCTCCCTCTCTTCCACCCTCCCATGCCTCCTGACCACCCTCCAATCCAAAACTCCCCTACACTCCACATGTACGGTGATGCCTTCCTGGAGGAGTTATCTAAATCTGTCAAATCATTTAGAATAGGGACTAGGCCCTCCCTCCTGCCTCTAGGTTAAGGGAGTATCCCTCCATGGGAAATGTGCTCCCAAAGTCCTTTTGTGCACCAGAGATACATCCTGGTTCCACTGTCAGAGGTCCCTCAGACTGCCCAGGTGTTCTAACAGAGACCCATGTAACCGGATTCCAGGAGTTCAGTTAAGTGTTTATCTGTGAATCTCTGCTTCTACTTCCATCAGCTACTGGATGAAGGCTCTAGGATGGCATATAAGATAGTCATCAATCTCATAGGGGAAGGACATTCAAGGTAGCCTCTCTATGATTGCTTAGATTGTTAGTTGGGTTCATCCGCGTAGATCACTGGGCATTTCCCTAGTGCCAGATTTCTCAATAAATTTATAATGGCTCCCACTATTATGGTATTTCTTTTCTTCCCCTTACTCAATCTACCTGTTCCCTCATGTTAAATTAAATAAAATATACACATTGGGTCTTTATAAGTCTATGGTGATTCTATAAATCCAGTTGGAATTTAAGGGACAATACATTATGTGTTCATGTCAGATGAACACAATTTTCCCTGTAACAAGAATATAGAATGGCAACTCATTGTAATCCCAGAACATGGGAGACTGAAGCAGGAGGAAACCTATGAGTTTGAGACCAGATAGGAGTACATAGAGAGTTCCAGGTTATCTTGAACTATAGTGTGAGACCCTGTCTTCAATAGGAAAACAAAGAAGAAATTAGAAAATAGCAAGAGTCTCTTTTGCTTATGTAGGGGCAAAAGTTACTCTTAGTATGAATTAATCATTTGATTTCAATTACTTGTTTGAAACTAACTTCTTTACATCTTCAAAACAGAGAGTTGTTGCATTCTAACATTAGAAGGAATTAGGAATGACTTTTTACAGTGTCCTGTTTTAGTTTTTAAAGTTGATTAAGTGAAATTACTAATCTTGGTCTCAATATTTTCCAGAACCTTTGTTTCATTTTACCACAGTTTTTGTACCAATTCTTCTGTGGATTCTCACAACAGGTATGTGTCTTTTTTAGTAGAAGTATAACAGATACAAGAACTATAATGATGACTGAGTCAAAACTTTGATTAATCTAGAAGCAATTTAATGATGTTAACAAGCTGGATAACCACATTGTCACAGGTGACTGAATTTCCAAATGTTAAAAATGCTTTGAAAAAGTTTTATTTCTCTTGATTGTAATTGCTAGGAGGCAATGTTTTTCTAAAGATAATTACATTGATCCAATCAAAGGTCTTGTCATTTTAAAACTTGAAAGATAGTAATAGGAAGGAGGCAGACAAATATGTGATGTAGGATACTCTATTGGTGCTCTGATGAAAAACAATGAAGTGTAATAAAAATATAAATTATTAACAAAAGGATATACTGTGACAAGATGAGAGGATACTATTTTAATAGGGCTATCAGGAACAATCTCTCTAATAAGTCAGCACTAAAACAAAGACCTGAGTACCCTAGGAAAAAGTTAAGCAGACGTCTTTAAAATGTAAAAGGTAAATAGATGGTCTCTGAGGAGGTAGCATGGCAAATCTTTACTTTTTACTTTGGACTTGTGTTAGTGCTGGTGGCAGCATGCTTTATATTGTGTTTTTAAAATACATAATGGGCTGCAGGGCAGTGGTGTTGCACGCCTTTAATCCCAGCACTCTGGAGACAGAAGCAGGCGGATCTCTGTGAGTTTGAGACCAGCCTGGTCCACAAGAGCTAGTTCCAAGACAGCCTCTAAAACCACAGAGAAACCCTGTGTGGAAAAACCAAAAAAAAAAAAGAAAAAGAAATACATATGGGCTGTATTTTTCAATCCATAGACTCATTAGCTACTCTTTGGAATTCGGAGAGTGAGCTATGAAAATGTAGAAATGGAATCACATTACTTAAACAAAAACCTCCTTTTCCTTAGTAAAACTAGGATATTACTTGTCTGTTTTTCCTTGAGAATGATACATTTGTTACAGGTTTAACAAGATGACACTATTATCAACTAAACCTTGTTTGTAGGACATTCTGTCACAACCTCTAATTATGCATCCAAGAATTACAATTAACTCTCATATAACCTTAAAGTTCCATCCTGAAGCAAAGGTAGATTGATGCTTCTTTTGTTTGAAGTAAATTCAAGACTAAATTATACACCAGTCAATCTTGGAGTTGCTCTTTTAATTTACTCATTAGTGAAAATGTAGTTTCCAAAGCAAATAACTTTCATTTGGAAATTAGAATAAGTATAGCACAATTTTGTGCTTTTTATTTCAATGAAATATTATTTTGGCTTTTCTTAAATCTTTGTTCGTAGAAACTATATGAAAAATGTCTCCATATTTTATGCAGAACCATCCTTTTAACTTTTTTGGGAATGTTTAAGGTACTATATCTCATGCTTTTTCTCTGTTGAAACCAAAGAATGTGGTCCCCTCCTGTGTCTACCAGCTCCCTGTATACCCTAATTCTTCTCTCTGTCTTGAATTTTAACTTCTTGGTGAATATGAGGATAAATCATGTTTGCCCTCAGTGCTTGGTGTTCTCTATTAATGCTTTGAAGCCCACTAGTGAATAAAGTAAAAAAAAAATTGTTCAAGTTTTTTTCCAGCCTTTCACATCACTTTTCATTGTAATTATGTATTTACTTCACTGGTTGAAAATATGTATACGTAGTTGTATTGAAGACTGTCACATTTAAATGAATTCTACTAGTCAGAGGACATTTAACGTGTGTGTGTGTGTGTGTGTGTGTGTGTGTGTGTGTGTGTGTGTAGGATGCCTTTAATCAGACAACCCAAATGGTTATATGATGATACCTAACAGTGTCTAGATACACTGAACTCAATACTTTCACTTGAATGAAGATCATAAAAAACTTAAAATTTCTTTCAAAAGATGTTTTGTGGGCTAGAGAGATGGCATAGGGTTAGATAGCTAGATGTTAGATGGCTCAGGTTGGATAGCTCAAAACCATCTGTAACTCTAGCTCTTTAGGGAGTCTTACACCCTCTCTGGCCTCCTTGGATACATGCAATGCACATAACCTTACCCATAACACAGTCTTACAATCTTTAGCAATATTTTTTTCAAAATTTTATAATTCCAGATTGATCCTTTACAAATGTGGTGTGACTTCTGTGTTCACTTGTCCATTGTTTACTAAATGATTTTAGGATTCTATCCTCTGGGAAGCTCAGTACTGTTAAAGTATTCACGACAAAGATCACTACGCTCATACTTACAGTTGATCAAATTCAGTTTATTAGGCCTTAGGGAATAAGAACACACACTAGAGGATCTCTCAGGAAGAGGGTGCTAGAAATGGCTTGAGCTTTTTCATAGGTTTTAGGTTTATAAAATATTAGCCAAAAATACATAAAGTTTTAACCAGAAAAGATCTGCAACATAGGTTAGCTGCTCCCTATGGTTTAGTTTCTGTAAGGGCTCCTGGCTTGTACTTCTTTGGTCTTTTCTAAAATAGATACTAGGGCTGGAGAGATGGAGAGATGGACTTCCTTTCTAGCTATATTCTGCCTGGCCATTGACAAATACAGCTTTATTCATCAACCAATAAAAGCAACACATATTTACATCATACAGAAGGACTTGCTACATCATATCCCCTTTTCTAATTAAAATGAAAGTTTTTAACGTTAACATAGTAAAATCGTATATAACAAAATAATTATCAAACAAATTAATTGACACTATTTAGTCTATTTGCATTTGACAAAATTAAAGAAAATATTCTATCATCTATTGTCTTTGTGAGTCTATACATTTGTGGGTTAACGCTTCAGATACAGGTTTTTACAAATACATAATCAGATCATAGATGAATGACTGCAAACATTATTTTTCTGTTTGTCTTTTCAGCCACTCTATGATGCTGCTTACCTCACAATGTACAATATTTGTTTCACATCCCTGCCCATCCTGGCCTACAGTCTAATAGAACAGCACATCAATATTGATGCTCTGACCTCAGACCCTCGATTGTACATGTAAGTTGAAAACATAGTTCAGACAATTTCCCACTTTATAATACAAGTCTGTCTGGAACTTCACTGTGTAGTTAGTTCATGCTTGAATTTGTGAAATCCTCTTGTGTCTGTTCTGGTATTGCCGGTATAAGTCACCATACTGAGTTTTAAGTAGTGGGTTTCATTTAATCTACAAATAGGAAGGACACAGAATTGATCACTTGGTTCATTAAGTGGTTCTGTTATGATTTTTCAGCTAAAACAGATCTTTCACCAGGAGAAAGGTATACTTTCCTAGATATCAGTTCTGTACTTAAATGTGTATACTTGTGCTGCATGTGTCAGCCATAAATTATTTTAAAGTCTTTCATAAAGATGAAAAATAAAGGCTATGACATAGGTAAAACCAAGCCTAAAGTACAACTTACCTTCCTAACATTGTGAGCAATAGGCACCTGCTTTGTTCAACCTTGATCTTAGCTTGTTCCTGGACAACAGATTATTGTTCTCTGACAACTTCTTTATAAACATGAAGTCCTGAACTGTGTACATGGACCTCTACAGTGTCCTACTGAATTTTAGCAGTGATATTATACATTATACCTTTAGAACTTAATCATTCACATTTTGAAAAATACTGATGTGAAGCATTTGGTTATTTTCATAATCTTAATAAAAATTGGAAAACTGAACTAATCCTTTTGTTAAGAGAGTGGGTACCTGACTTCTTGAGCTTCAAACAACAAAAAGAAAAGGTTCTAACACCTGCTGCATGTAATATAGAGGTACTCAGCTTTTCTCTAGATCCTTATTCTTGTCTTAATGCTTTCCTTCATGTTGGGTAACCCATTTTGAGTTTCTAACAGTTCCTTAAGTGTGGCTAAAAAGTCTGACTGGGAATTCAGTATACCGTGATATTGGGACCATTGTTTTCCCATAGATTTTTACATGGACAGGAATCACTTTCTGCTTTTGCCTCCTTTGCTCCAGTCTAAGTCAAAGTGACTAGAAAAGCCACATTGGCTAGCAGTTGGTAGGCATTCACTCTAAGGATCTTCAGAGAGGTTCTTTTCCTGTTTCTGAGAAGTAGCCACATCTTCATCTTTTGTTTACAGTCTCCCCATAACTTCAGATTTGCTCCTAAAAGTCCTATAGGATAAAAAGTTGTGTGACTTATCATGTTTCATTCTCTGTACCAAGTAAGTAAAGAACCATTGCATTTATGCTATAACTGTGATAATATAGCCCAATGACGTTCTCTAGTGTTATCATTAGGTGTGCTGTTAGTAGTGATTAGACACACCTGGATACATGGTACAGGAAATTTCAAATGGATGCAAAAAAGATACCTATACAAACCCATCTTCTTTGTGCAGATCTTCTTTATTAGATGGAGTAACCTTATTTCATTTCACATTCTGACATTGAGATGATTGTGCCATTTATCAGGACATCATTGTGTAGCCTCTATCGTGTGATTTGATTTGATGGAAAACTAAGACCTACTTAAAATAGGTTACATTTCCATTAAGAAATTGAAAGACATATATAAACAGATATAGATAGAAAGCTTTGTCTCATTGTTGAGAATATATGGAGTTTTTGTTGTTTGTTTGTTTGTTTGTTTAAGACAGGGTTTCACTGTGTATCTCTTGCTGTCCTAAAACACATTATGTAGACCACACAGGCCTCAGAGATCTGCCTGCTTTTGCTAGGATTAAAGTTATAAGACCCAACTAAGAGAACATATGTTTGAAATTAATTCAGTGCAGGATTGTATATATTAGCTCTGTCTCTTACTGAGTGAATTTCTGTACATTAGAGTGACTTGAAGAAGAGGGAGAAGCCAAGAGAGAATGCAAAAACTAGCAGTCATTACTCTCACTTGCAAATAATAAATCTCAAAAAGGTATAACATGTTTCCCAAACTCCGCACTTAATTAACCAAGGAATCCTTCAAAGCTAGTAATGTACAATTACTATTATAATTAAAATTAATGATTAAAATACCCTGATGTTCATATTATACATTATGCCAGTAAAATCAGAATGTGGATATAAGTCAGCCATAAGCATATATTAACATAATATTTTCAATTATATAATATAGTATTGTATTTTAATACATGTTTACAATGTGTAATGATAAAACTCAGAGCAATTATCATTTTTGTCTTCTCAGATACCATCATTTCTCTGTGACGACAACCTTCAAACTCTTATGCTTATCTTGAAGTGTCTTAACTATTGTAAACTGTAGTTACCTTACTGTGCTAAATCACATTAGAACTACCTCTCATTCTTTTTTTAAACTTCTTTATTGAACCTTTGGGGGTTTCATATCAAGAACCCCAATTCTGTTTACCTCCCAGTCCCCCATGTACCCCTTAACCCTGTTGCATCTCCCCACAAAAGAAAACAAAACAAAGTAAGCAAGCAAGTGCAAACAAAAGCAAGAACAAAAAAAAAAGAAAGAAAGAAAGAAAGAAAAGGAAAAAGCCATTAAACCAAAACAGAACAAGAAAACCACACCCAAAACAGTAAAATCTCTGCTACTCCTTCTCTCCTGCCTCTCCATCACCTATTCATCCATCCTGATGCCATTTGGAGGCTTCAGTGTGTCATATAGCATCCCTGTGTCCCCTAAGCTTGATTGACAACTGTCCATTGCAGTGAGTCATTGGTCTGTTTCAAGGCCAATGTTTTTTGGTACTGGATCCTCACCAAAGCTCTTCTGGGGTATCCTGTGTCTTGGAGACCTTTCAGGTATCATCTAGGTCCTGATGGAGTACATGCTAGGGTGTTACCTCTCATTCTTTAACAGTATTTCAGTAACCACCCTTCACCTTCTCATTATCCTCCCTACCTTCCTTGTCTCTAGTAGCTTCCATGCAATTCAGTTCTATGTGGTCAGCTCTTTACCTTCTATAAATGAGTGGGAAAATACAGTATTTGTCTTTTATCCATTACTAGCTTTGAAAGATTCCAGGTTAATTAAGTGTGGAGTTTGGGAACCATTATGTTATACCTTTCTGAGATTTATTTGCAGATGAGAATAACAATACCTAGGTTTTGCACTCTCTGCCCCACATCTGTTTGTGTTTACTAACTATAATTATATAGACATGTATAAAGTTACAGGTAGGCAGGTGGATGTATGGACAAAGGGATGGATGATCAATCTTAACTCATTTTATAAATAACTGTTAAATTGTATATAATTATTATTGATAATATTCTGTTATGTTGTTTGACCAAAATTTTAGAAATATATTACAGTTTACTTCAATGTCTTGGTTAGGTAGTGATTACATGAAGATGTAACTTTGGTTATTTAGTCCCTTTATCAAAAAAAAAAAAAAAAAAGCTTTCTGTTCATCAGGGCAGCCCCTTCATTGTAGCAAGGACAGATTAATGGTGTTTCCTTGTATCTTTAACTTAACAGCATACAGAGATTCATTGATATTTTTTCTTCCATTTCTTCGTAGGAAAATTACTGGCAATGCTATGTTACAGTTGGGGCCCTTCTTATACTGGACATTTCTGGCTGCCTTTGAAGGGACAGTATTCTTCTTTGGAACTTACTTCCTTTTTCAGGCTACATCCTTAGAAGACAATGGAAAGGTAAGAAGAGCATATATTTTTCCCATAGGCATTACATTTGTCACACAGGTTTATGGTAATCATTTTTCAAATTATTTTTCTTAATGCTAGGTCTTTGACATAAGGAAGTACTGGAGTAATAAATCATGTGTGTGTGTGTGTGTGTGTGTGTGTGTGTGTGTGTGTGTGTGTGTGTGTGTTTAGGAAGACAGGAAACCCTCTAGAATCTTATTTTGTCTGTTGATTTTTAGAACTGAAGAGAGTTCATGGGACTTTAGACTTTGTACCTGTGTGTTGTGATAGGAAAAAAGCTTTAGCCCATGTTAGTGCCCAGCATGGCCCGCTGCATTTCTAATGCATAGTTAGTAGCCTTCCATGTTTGGAGTTGAAGGGGATAGCTACTGTGTCTTGTAATGTTAGACGAGTATATAAAGAGGGAAGTCTTTATTTTCAAAGTGGGAGTTTAGGGTTCTTTTAAAAATGCTGTGTTGGTTCTGCTAGTGCCTTCTGAAAAAGTGATGATGTCAGTGAGCAGCTGCACTGGGATGATTTTGGCCTACCCATATTCTAGGAGAGAAATATTGATATGGGAGAAGGGAAGAGGCCATCCTGCAGCCATACACTGGGAAACTGAAACTTCTGCCTTGCATGTTGCTTCCATTATGTTCTCCTTTGCTGTGCTTGGTACTCTTCTTTTATGGCCATTTTAGTTACCATAAATATGAAGCAAAAAGCTGTTTCAAAAATAATTTACTGCACATAATGTGTCTGAAATCTGCACAACTAAAATCTCTTACAAAAGTGTAAACTCAATTAATTTGAATGATACTTTGGAAATTATAGTCCTAATTTGGACTAACAAGTTAGTTTGGTATGGATCCTATCTAATTATTAATCATAATGTAACTATTAGAATAATATATATTGACCTTAGAATACATACACCTAGCACTTGCCACAGAAGGTCCTGCTAAATCTTGGATATCCTTGGGAAAGTCACATTAACTTTCCAAGTCAACTTTTGTCTCCTAGTAAGTATAGATGCAATTTTATGGTTTCTCAGATCCTTCATTTATGAGTAGTTCTATAACTTTTACTTTGTAATTTTTGACACAAAAATTGTACATAACTGGCTAGTGCTTAAAAAAATGCTTCAGCGTGGTGGTGGTTACCCACACCTTTAATCCCAGCACTCAGGAGGTACAGGCAGGAGGATGTCTGAGTTCTAGGCCAGCCCCATCTACAAAGTGAGTTCCGGGGCAGCCAAGGATTGTTACAAAGAAAACTTCTGTGGAAAAACAAAACAAATTTTGCTTCAAATTTGCTTTATGTTGACATTCATGGGCTTAGCAAACATTCCAGGTGGTATATAAGAACCATTGGCCCAGCCCTTTTCAGATTCATTATGCATTTTGAGTTCATGAAGTCTAAATTAAGATTTTATTGTATATGTTATAATCCTTTTTAAGTGTTTGCTAAAATTACATAAGCGTAAGCATTTTTATCAGCAGCTAAACCCATGTATGATTTGGTTGAATCCTTTTTCCTTCTAGTAACCTTATTTTGTTTTTATTTTTTTAAAGTTTTACATCTCATTTTCTGTTTCAATGTTATGCATTCAGATCTTGACAGCGTTTGGTAAGCATATGTGCCATTCATTGCCATTGTTTGGATTTATAAGTGGTACTGCTTCTCTTTGGTGTGCACATGCTAACAGATTTAATAATAATTAGACTCACTTTTTAAAATGTGAGTCCACTTGTTTTTATATCAGAACTTCCTTTATATTCTAGGACAAAAACATATCAAACTCATTACTGACATGAGTCATACGGATGACTTATTTTGATGAGTGGTGCTTCTAGTGGAATAGTATTTTTCCCTCTTCCTGTTTGATGCTGCATGGTAATGAAACCAGCGAACCACAGGTGTGGTGTATCTATATCCATGAAAGTCTAGCTTTATGATTTAATCTTATTGCCCAGCTATTTTCCTAAATAATTCATAAAAAGATCTTTGGCAGTTACATGCAGGATTGAACCTGATTTTCTTTTTCTTCAGCAAGCTTCTGTATTTATGACATGTGTAATCGTTAAATGTTTTTCAGATATATGGAAACTGGACGTTTGGAACCATTGTTTTTACAGTCTTAGTGTTCACTGTAACTCTAAAGGTTAGATGTATATTTTTCAAATATATCTTTGTGCTACTATATGTTATCCAAGCCATTGTCTGACTACTTACTAAAACGTATATGATACTAAGTGTTTTAACATTGTATACTGTTTATCATTTTTTCTAGTATATGTTCTATGCTATTTTGTTTTGGTATTAAGAAATTCAGACACCATTGTTAGTATTCAGGCATCTGTACTGGCCTGTCTTGGGATTCTGACAGTATAAACCCTCAGCTGCAGCCACTAAGAGCACCGCCTGAGCACATTCACTATGTTCCCTTTTAAAAGGGCCTACCTACCTCCTATCTCTCTCTTCCTCTCTTCCTCCCTCCCTCCTCCTCTCCTTCTCTGCCTCTCTCCCTCCTCCTCTCTCCCCCATCTCTTTCCCCCTCCCCCTCCTCTAACTCTGTCTTTTCCCCCAACCTCTCTCTGCCTCTCTCTTCTCTGCTGCTGCTCCTGTACTCAGAAGCCTGTCTCCCCTCTCCCCACCCCCCTTTCCCATTCACTTTCCGCCAATTAAAAAAAATAAAAGTAAAACCCACCACCCAAGCTCTGTCACATCTTTGTCTCACACACCACTTTTTAAAATTACAGCCATACTTATAGAAATCTTCTCCTTCTTAATCACTGGACTGTTTTGAAAATTTTTTCATTCACTATATTCTGATCAGGATTTTACTGTTCTCTAATTCCTCTCAGATCCTCTCTGCCCACTTCACTTCATGCCCTTTCTTTACAAGACATGTATGCAAAAGAGCTTGGTGGTAATGTAATTTTATAAAATCTATTAGTTACTGAAATTTATCTAAATGTTAGTTAATGAAGTATATAAAGATATGTGACAGGATAGGTATAATTGTCTATGTCTATGGTTCCTGTATTTGGGAGACTGTATTTGGAATTCTCAACCCATGATTCATTGCTCCATGGTGTATGGTGCATACAGGTAGTTGCCTCGACATATAGTGACTCTTTTACCTTTTCATGCTTTTATAACTCCATGTATACTCTTTTTAGCTACTCTTCTACTCCTGATTTTTGGCATACCTGCCTCAGCTAGCTAGATCTCCTTTGCCATTACATCCCTAGTCACTACTACCTGAAGATTTGGGACTTTAGCCTCCCAGTTATTACCATTGCCTCATTTGCTACCTGTCACTCAATGCTGAGACATCTCTAGCCTTCTACCTACAAATTGCTTAACTACAATTCCATGTCTGTACTATAGAATTTAGAGTCATCAGGGCAGCTTTCAGCATTCTTACTTTAGTACTTTGAAAAGTCTAGCTTCTGCTCTTCTTAGTTACATCCCCTTCTAAAGTAATGGTCAGGGCTAAATCCTCCCATAGCTGTTGTAATCTATATAAATTATCAGATATCAGTATTACCAATTTTATTGTGTGACTGTCAAAAAAATGCTTATATTGTATTTTTTCAGCTCGCCTTGGATACTCGATTCTGGACATGGATAAATCACTTTGTGATTTGGGGTTCTCTAGCCTTTTATGTTTTTTTCTCATTCTTCTGGGGAGGAATTATTTGGTAAGCAGCTGTACATATGTGATCAATATTAATATATGTATATTTAATAATAATGGGCTAGACATTACTTAAACCTTGAAATGTTGCTACTTGTAGGTAAAATGTCACTTATAAGCATGTTATTAGTCTATTCATTCAATATTTGTATAGGCTCCGTGAAAATATTTAAATTTATAGATATATTATCAGCTCTCTGTGAAATAAAACAGTAGCCTGACTACGAATATGATTTCCAATAGAAATGGTCATCCTATGAAATCTCAACCTGATAACATTGGCTAAAATATATATTATTGTTCATTTAGACCAGTGGTTCTCAGTCTGTGGGTCACAACCCCTTTAAGGGGTCACATGTCAGATACTTACAGTTCATAACACTGGCAAAATTACAGTTAAAGGGTCACAGCATTAGGAAGGTTGAGAACCTGATTTAGACCTTATTATCACTTAAATGATAGCATTTTCCTTCAGTATTTGTAGGAGAGGCAGGATCACCAGAAGTTCATGGTCATCCTGAGCTACAATAGTAAGTTTTATCTCATCCTGGGATAAAAGAAACCCTGTATAATCCTTCACACGCCCAGGGGAAGAGAGTTCTTCTTTTGCAAAGCTATTTAAAATTTAAAAAAAAAAAAAAGAAAAGAAAAACTTTTAAAAACATGATCAGAAAATAAAGAACATGGTCAGGTGTGGTGGATACACTGTTAATATTAGTCAGAATTGGGGAGATAGAGACTTGTAAACTGATCTTTGTAGTAAGTTCCAGACCAATAAGTGCTACATAATGAGAACTTGTCTCACACATAGACACACACTGAATCAATTATAAATAGTGACCCCAACTAACAATCTGAGCAAGAGTAGAAAGGCTACCATAAATGCCCTTCCCTGATAATGAGATTGATGACTAACTTATCCACCATCATGGAGCCCTCATCTAGTAGCTGATGGAAACAGAAGCAGACACCCACAGCAAAACACTGAGCCAAACTCATGGAATCCAGTTGCAGAGAGGGAGGAGTGATAAGAAAATGGGGACAAGACCAGGCTACAGAAACCCACAGAGACAGCTGACCTGAACAAGGTGGAGCTAATGGACCCCCAGACTGATAGCTGGAAAACCAGCATTGGACCGACTCATACCCCCTAAACATGGGTCTCAGTTAGAAGGCCTGGGCAGTCTAAGGGACCTCTGACAGCAAAACCGGGATGTATCCCTGGTGCACAAAAGGGAGCACATGCCCCATGTAGGGATACTCCCTTAGCCTAGAGGCAGGAGGGAGGGCCTAGTCCCTACTCCAAATGACTTGACAGATTTAGATGATCCTTCCTGGAAGGCATCACCCTCCCTGTGGAGTGGGAGGGGGATGGGATGGGAAGGTGGTCAGGGGGCATGGGAGGGAGACAGGGAGGGAGAAGAGAGAAGGAACTGAAATTGATATGTAAAATAAGAAAAAAACAAAAATTTGGATACCCATGGAGGAAAAAATGTAATTATAGCACATATTTGGCACCTCTATAGTTAATGATTAAGAACAGCAAAACTAAAAAAAAAAAAAGTTTTCTTAAGAATTACACAGCTAAACCAAAATTTATTAACTAAATGAAATATGTAGTTGTCTACCCAGAATACTATATTCTTTGACTCTGTAATCAACATCTGAGAATTAGACAAATTTCCACATGATAGAATGCTTCTAGAACCTAAACAATTTTGAACCCTTCATACAGACTTTTCCTCATTAGCTCTTTTAAATGAAAAAACTTTGTCACATTTACTTACATTCATTAAGTGATACCTACTGAAAAATGTACAATGGGCTTCCCTTATTTATAGTTTCACTTGAGAGGTTTATTTGTTCTCAATGAACCATACACTAAGAAAAAATAAGAAAAACTCTAGAAATAAGCAATTCATAAGTTTTAAGTGCAGTTTTCAGTAGTGTGATAAAATTGCATACCACCCAGATCTGTCCTGTCAAACACATGATTCATCCCTTTGTCCCATGTACTCAAAGCCATATATACCACCTCCCCATTACTTGTGTAATAACTATCTCTTTTTCAGGTTAGCTATCATGAAATCACAGTGTTTGTATTCAACTGACCCTTATTTTGGGTCAACAGAGTACAAGAGTAATGATGCTGGTGACTTTCCTATGCTTATTTCATTGTTGTCTTTTTGTGCATGTTCTATAAATTAAACTTATTATGGGTATTACTGGAAACTGTTGGGGGAGAGTACTAATCATAGCTTCAGGTACCCACCAGGACTCATGCACATATGTCACATAGATATAGGAAGACTAAATCTTTGTTTTATTTTGTTTCTTGAAATTCTGTGATTAACCAGAATGGTTCAGGTTAAGCTACACATGAGCTTAAAAAAAGTAGTCTGCTGCTGGGCGGTGTTGACACATGTCTTTAATCCCAGCACTTAGTATGTAGAGGCAGGCGGATTTCTGTGGGTTTGAGGCCATCCTGGTCTACAGAGCTAGTTCCAGGACAGGCTCCAAAGCCATACAGAGAAAAAAAACAAAACAAAAAAGTAGTCTGTCATCTGTCTCCTGGGCACAAATTGTTATTCAATATATATGTTTGCAGACAAGAAGAGTAGATTCCTCTCATTTATGAGTGACTGTAAACTGTATAGTTCTTTTTTTATATATTTTAATAGACATTTTAAGGGGGTAATTTGGGTAATTCATTTAAAAAGACAGATTTCTGAATGTAGAGCAAACATCCTTTGTACTAAGACAGGTGAAGAAATAAAATGCTTAATATGATGGAAATTAACCTCATTTCTCTTAAATATCTTTAAGCTCTGGCATTTTCCAGTGCATATAATTATTCACCATTTGGTAGCTTTATAGTTGATGGCATGATTGTTTCCAAGTCAGATGAATTTTATTTATTTCTCCTTGATTCACATCCCTTTATGAACATTTGGTAAATGAAACATGTTAATGCTTTGGGGATATTCTAGAGAAAATGATTTTCATCAATCTGTGTGAGGAAGATTCCTTTTAAATACAAAAGACAGGAACTGATTGGTTTTTCTATTCTGTGTTTTCTTTCCATTCCAGGCCTTTTCTAAAACAACAGAGAATGTATTTTGTGTTTGCTCAAATGCTGTCTTCTGTGTCTACATGGTTGGCCATAATTCTCCTAATATTTATCAGCCTTTTCCCTGAGATTCTCCTAATAGTAGTAAAGAATGTACGAAGAAGAAGTGCCAGGGTAAGAACTAAATTTGTGTTCTAACCTAATATTTGGAAGAGGTTGCACTGTCTGCCATGAACTAAAAACCTTATTTAGAGAATTGCATTAGTTACAGCATGTTAAACCCCTCCTTGCAGGTTCATCACTTAATTTCCTCTTCTGCATAAAAAGTATAGTAAAAACTTCGTTATCCAATGCAGGTGGTAAGTAGATTCCTTAATAGTGTTCTATGTGATCGTTAGCAGTCCATATGGAGTATCTCATATGCTCCATATGGAATTTTTAAAGGGAAAGAAGGACTATTTTGTATTTATCTCAGAATTTTCACATCAGGAATTTCCACACCAACATTTTAGCTTTGACCTTAGAAATTTCCCTGTGGATTTTTTTCAGTTGATAATCCTAATTTGCCTCTTTCAAACCTGTCCTCTTCCTTTGATTATAGTGCTGCTTAATCTCTATGTTGCTTCTAGCCCTGTGTCCTAGCAGTATATTTCAACCAAAGATAATTCATTCATTAGATGTGGTTTTAATATCCTTACTCTTCAGTACACTCTTGTGAAAATTCATGATGGTTTATAAGTGTGTTTTTATATTTAACTATTAAATTATATTTCTGTGGAGAGGAGTTCTTTCCCTTTGTCACATTACCTGATATCTTTTGAACATTTCTTTAAAAGCTTTTAAAGTGAAAGGGTTAGAATTGTCCAAAAAAAAAAAAAAAACCCACTGGCAATTTTTTTTTTTTACCAGCAGATTAATTAATTATATCATATTCTTGCCAACACTTGCTCACTTTGTTAAATGAAGTCCTGAAGTCCTATTTATTTTGTGTCGTTATTAGCTAGCTCTTCTAACACCTCTAAGGCACTATTTTCAGGAAATACTCTAGTCATGACCACCTGATGTATTTAATCAAATTTATCAAACAATTGAGCCACAAAGCTGGTATATCATAGGAGTCTTCCTGCATATTGAATTACAAAACCCAGTTGGATGACATTACATAAACATGAAGATGTGAAATTATTATAGTAAAAAAAGTCAACAAAGTTTTAAAGTGGTTTAGGAATACAGCTTTTGTGGTAAAGCTTTGAAAATATTCATGCGACCCCAGGTCTAACCCTCAGTTACTGGAGGGAAAGTAGTATATAGCTAGGTGACAAGAATTGCTCTGAACTTCTTATTTTTATGTGGCCTAGGGGATACAATGATCACAATTTTGGTATAGATGAGCTGTATTTGTTTACTCTTTTAACCCTTCCAGTGGCCTTTGATTAGCTCCATCCAGCCTGGTTTTTAGTTTTAGGATGGAAAGTAGTGTGATGAAACAGTTTTCTCCTAAACTAGTTCAAGAGGTGATTTTCATATAGCTAAATAGAAATGTTCAAGTATGACAAAAGGAAAGTAAAGAAAAAACAGAAGAAAATGGTTCAGGGACTGGAAATATAGCTCAGTTGGTAGAGTTCTTTCCTAGTATTCACAAAACCCTGGGTCCCATCCTCAACATTACCTAAAATGGATATAGTGGCCCATGCCTATAATGTCTGACAAGAGAATCACAGTTCAAGGCCATCCTTGGCTATATCCTGAGACCCTATGAAAGGGACAAAAGGAAGAAAAGAAAGGTCCTTTTTCAATACAGAATTTACAAAGGAAGTTTCTCTTTGCATTATTATTCCATTTGTTTTCCTATCTGAAAAGTATATGTTGGGCTGCTTCTAATGTTTCTCTTTGAGATAATGAAGCTCATGTTGCAAAATGGCTCACACTCAAGCTTCATGCTCTTAAGGATAAAAAAAAAATCTCAGAATTCACAATCTTCAAATGTATTATCCCAATATTACTTAGGCTTTCTGCAAAAATGAGACACCAGCTGCAATGTTCAGTGATGTTTTCATAGGCAATTAAGTGGAGGGGTGTTGCTAGCAAGTTACAGATTCATAGAATCAGAGCATTTTTATTCCATGTAGACAGGGGAGTCCAAATATCAGCTGAAAGCATAGAATGTTGCCAGTGGGTCAGCATGAAATTTGTCATGGTTTATATCCATGACAGAAGGAATCTAATGTCTGTGATATAGCTTGGCATGAAAATGTTGTAGAATAAGCAGGAAAATTTCCATAATCATTTTCATTCATTCTGTCATTCATTCATTTATTCCTACCTTTTGGAACCAGTAAACATTTGTTGAGCCACCTCCTGATGAACATCTCTCTATATATCCAGTGTCTGAAAGTCTAAATTGTTTTTTCAGACTCTATAGGATTTTGTCAGAACAACTGTGGGCACTAAACTGCACTGTGTGTGTGTGTGTGTGTGTGTGTGTGTGTGTGTGTGTGTGTGTGTGTAAGAGGGAGAGGGAGAGAGAGACTTTATGTAAGAGAGAGTGAGCAACTGTGTGTGTGAATGGGGAAGGTGGGAGAAATATACACAAAGGTACTACATATGAATGCATACAGGCCAACAGATTCATGGCAACCATAGGTCACACCAGATTCCATTGGGTCATTGATAAACTAACAGAGGTCAACTTTGAAATGAAGGAGAATAAGTATCATATTTTCCCTAAAATACATTAATCATTATGTTTAATGACCAGTAGTGTGACATCATGAGTAATTTCCTATTTTGTTCAGTATGCCTTGTTAAACGAGAGTAGACTTACTTTAAAGCAAAGCATAAGCTTACTACTGGGTCGTGCTTGGAGCCTAGCAGATTCTGTAATGGGATGACATTGAATGTGTGTACCTATCTAGAATAGAAGGTTCCCCTAACTGCAGTAAGTGTATTACACATTCTCTATTTACTCCACAATTGTCTGTAGTAGATACCCTGTCAGTGCTATCTACAAGGGGGTCTTAGCAGCTGTTCTTAAAAGGAGACTTAAAAGTAGGTAGTGAACATGCCACTATGATGTTTCAAAAAGAAGCTAATATATATTAAATAATTATAAAAACATCTTTATTTTGTGTTCCTTTTTATTCAATTTATAGTGTCTGAGGATTCATGATGCATTTATTAGCTATTATAGGTGATGATAATTCATGGGTGAATCAAACATGGCCCCAGCTTATTGGAGCTTTCCTTCTAGTTACATTATAAAGTATATTCATTCTGAACCCTTTAGTAAGCAGATATACAATGTAATAATGCGATCAGTTATATAGCTTTTGACAACATAACAAGATTAGAGTCATTTACTCCTGAAATCTCCAGTAAAAAGGCTAATAATGGTAGCCCCCATTGCTGCTGAGAACTGTTATGATGTTTGCATTATAAATAATGCTCACGGGGATGGAAAGATGGTTCAGCAGTTAAGATCATGCGTTCTTACAGAGGACCAGGTTCACATAGTAGCTCAGAACCATCTGTAACTACAGTTCTAGGGGATCTCATGCCTTCTTCTGATCTATACAGGTGCCATACATGTTCATGGTTTACAGGCTAATACTCTTACACAAAATAAATCTCAAAAAATATAAATAAAGAATACAGAATAGGAGGAATTGGAAGGGGTGATGAATGTGATCTAAAATCCTACACTCATATAAAATTACCAAAGAATAATGCAATTATAATTGGCTCAAGATAAAAATAGCCTTTTGGAATATTTGTTGGTTTCAAGAAAAAAATTAGAAAGAAAAGCATATTATTTGCCAAGCAATGGTAGTACACATCTTAATTCCAGCCCTCAGGAGGCAGAGGCAGGCAAATACCTGTGAGTTCAAGACCTCAAGGCCAACCTGGTCTACAGAGTAAGTTCCTGGACATCCAAAGCTACACAGAGAAACTCTGTCTTTAAAAAAAAGGGAGAGGGGTCTGGAGAGATGACTCAGTGGTTAAAAGCACTTGACTGCCCTCCCAGAGGTCCTGAGTTCAATTCCCAGCAACTACATGGTGGCTCACAACCATCTATAATGGGAGCTGGTGCCCTCTTCTACTGTGTGTGAAAACAAAGAATTCATATACATGAATGAATAATTTTTTAAAAAAAATAAAAGCATATTAATGAAAAAGCCTAAGTATATTTAAAAAAGCCTAAGTGTGATAAACTTCTAATTTGAATTTTTTTAAAAAGCTCTCTCAAGTCACTCAATTCAAGGGTTATACTTCAACCATTTACCTCTCAGCTTAATTTTCAGCAAGGAGGTTAATGTTTGTGCTAAAGCTCCATCTTCAAAGATTGTAAAGTTTACGCCACGCAATGGTGGTGTATACATTTTATCTCAGCACTCAGGAGACAGAGGCAGGCCGATCTCTGTGAGTTTGAAGCCAGTCTGGTTTACAAAAGGAATTCCAGGACAAGTTCCAAAGCTACACAGTGAAACGTCTCAAAAAAAGGAAGAGTAAAGCTTTTCTTTAGCTTATGAAATGGCAAAGCTGCTTAACCATACTGTTGGCAGTGTTTGATGGAACTACCATTGAACGTTGAACAGTGAAGAAACAAGGTAACACCTGAAAATGAGTTTAAAGTTTTAAGATTTGAGGTATCTCAGAAATCTCTACCTCATATAAACACAGTAGTCTTCGCGTGAATCATTGAAATACCCATGTACCCACTTGATAAGTAGTAAATACTACTTAACCTTGCATTACCAGCAAGAAGAGTTTTCAACTTTTCTTATGAAATGTTTTCTCATATAATCTGCCTCATTCTAAAAGGAGGCTTCACTGCCTGTTAGACATGAGAAGAGTCTTCTAATTAGTAGGAAATGGTCCGACAACATCCCAATGGCTAGTACAAGATGTCTACACAAAATATAAAGGAATATTCCAATGTACAGATATGAAGCTGTTCAAGAAGAGAACACAGGGAAAGAATGTCAGCTGTCTGACTAAAATTCACAGAGAATGCATTTTGGAAAATATAACATCATCTTAATTATAAATGGTAATAATGATGAGTCATGTTTTAATACGTACAAGTGTCATTTACAACCATGTATTCAGAGGGCAGTATTTCTGAAAAAATACACTAGTGAAAATTAAATTGTAGTAATATTGTAAGGAAAAATCCTAACATCATGGTTGTTAGCACAAGTCTTTATCCTTGGCCTCTTTGACATACTGCTCTATGTCTGTGTTTCAGAGCTCTATAAGTGACTGTAAAGGAATATGGACATTTTACACTGTTTTAGCCCATCATCACCTGTCCTCACCTACCACTACCAGTTGCTAGCTGTTTTTATTGTTTTGGATACTTTTTCATGTCATGCTTTCTACTGCTTTCTGTATGTTCATACTTCCTTTTTGTTCTTTATAAAGTTTCTAAACACCTAATATATTAGCTCCTAAAATTTTTGCCTCCTGTGCTACCTTTGTCTCTGATGGTTGAATACAATTTTTTTAATACAACAAAATGTGCTTATAGCTGCAGTCTCTAAATAGGTTTTTACATTAAACCTGGGAATGGGGACATAGTGTCATGTTAATCTTGTTGCGAGGTTTTTGCCCACAAAACAGAAGATGGAAATAAATTTTTCTTTTGGAATGTGAAATACTTCTCTAGTTCTACCAAGTTGTAATTCGCACCCTGCCACATGTCCTCAACTGCTGTATTTAAAGTAAAATATAAATGGGAAGAAGTATGGTTATATCAAAACACAAATAAATAGAAGTATTTGTATTTAAAGGTTTAGTTATTAAACTATTAGATATATATAACACTTGAGTTACTTTCTTTTCCTAAGCCTATTTTCTTTAATAAATAAATAAAAAAATAAGGGTAATCTTCTATCTTTTTGGGCGGATGTTTAGTTGCTTTTTGGTTTTTGAGACAAACTTAAGTTCATAGTAATGCTCCTCCCTCAGCCTCCTGAGTGCTTGGACTACAATGTGTACTACCACACCTGGCTAACATGGATAATCTTGATTAGTAGAGTTGTTAAGTTCATCCCCATCCATAGTTGACCGCCCATCTTCTGTCTTGCATGGACAACACCAAAGCCAACTCTGCAAGTTATGTAATGATTTCAGATATAAAAAGGAATCTCTTATATTTTCTAATTACATTTTTATAACTTTGAATTTGAGTTTAAAAATATATATTTTATGTAGGAACAATTTAGCCTACCTTTGTAAAGAGGTCTCTTATGTAGAAAAATTTTAAAACTGATCAAATTATGCTAGAAAAAAAAAGAAAATTAACTAATTCAGAGTTAAATGGTACAGTGGTTACACCACCAAATGTTCTCTCATTACATTAGTTTTGGTTAGATTTTTAACTTGTAGCAGCCCAAAGAATAGTTATCTTTTCATAATATGTCTGTACAATTGAATAGGAAAGACAGTTGCTTCAGGTACATTAGTGATTTGTGATAGAACTTGAACATAAGCTCTCTGACCAATGCATTTTAAACAAACTTAAGGTAGTTAATTAGTGATTAACGTTTTAACAAGAGGCATATTAGAATTATATAATTTAAAATAGTACATCCCCATTAGCAAACTAATTTTAAGTTGATGCACAGGAGAACAGCAGCTGGCACATATAATAGATTATTTCTAACTAACTCTACTCTTACTTTAGTAACGTCTTCAAAACTAACATGTCATTTCTACTTCCAGTTCTCAAGGTTTCTTTTTAAATGTTTTACATCTGAGAGAATATTTACTTTTTCTTTTCTTTCTTTCTTTTTTCTTCCTTTTTTATGGTTTCTGCATTTTTCTCTTTCCTACTGCAATTTTCCACCTTTTGTGCAATTGTGAACAAGGTAACGAAACGCCTCCCTTCCTCAGGAACATCTACTATCTTCATGCTTTCTCAAACTTCCAGCAATCACAGTTTCTCTTGGAGTGAATAAGGTGATTTCTTTTCTTAATGTACCAACTTGTTTGCATTCTCATTGCCTGACACCATTCCTGATTCTTCTTAAAAAGTTACTTCTCATGATTCATTTTTATATTTTCTATTGATACTTAAAATATTTTGTCATTTTCTTTTAATCATTTGTTCACCTTCTAAATTGTCTTACTGGAAAGGGAGTAATTTTCAAAAACTTCAAAGTATAACTTTGTAATATGGGGTATGCAATATAGTAGCCATGATGTTAGAACTAGCCTGTTCATCAGGACAAGAATATTTTGCACAAATTTTCCTTTTTGACACACTCAGAGCACCAGCACAACTCTCAGAGGTGTTCACCAAAAGGATGGTAAGGTTCACTAATCAAGCCATATTGACTCATCTTACCATATAACCTACCAGTGCCATCCCAGACACCCAAGTTTGCCACATACCACTAATGTTTATTTACTTCTGCCACAAAAACCAGTTTGAGTTGGAGGCTTTCTTGGACCTTTAAATGTATTTACTTGAATGTTATGCATTTGCTGTATACTGAAATAATTTGTGCTTTGGGGCCAGGAAAGTAGTCTGTAGGAAATGATTTTTTATTTCTCCTACATTTTTATCACCAGGTAGGTTAACCTATCTTCAAATGCTTTAAGTATCTTTGCCTCACTATTACAGAGAAATCTGAGCTGTAGAAGGGCATCTGACTCATTATCCACCAGACCTTCAGTCAGACCTCTTCTTTTACGAACATTCTCAGACGAATCTAATATATTGTAACAGGTACCTAGTGTTAAACAAGTGGGCTGCCTTTAAAGAAAAAGATTAACAGCATTATAAAGAAAAAAATGAAAATATCACTCTTTAAATTTTCTCTGCTGTTGGTGTGGTGAACTTTATACTATTCTTTGCAAAAATATAAAGATGCATTGCTTGGAATATGGGGAAATTTATACTTTAAATTTATACTTTAAATTTCCTGAAACTCACAATGAAATTTTGACATCTTAAGAACTGAATATTAATACTATATATATTTAATTTGTGGAGGGCAAATTGTCATGGTAGTGCCATCATATGAAAGTACTTCATGCTTATCTCTAGAAATGCTATAATTATGACTTATAAGCATGATTTGGAAAATTGGAATCAAATATTCCAAAATTGCATCTGTATAATACCAAGTCAGTTTAGCATTGCATGTTTTTCTGGGAACTATGTAAAAATAATCAAATGTGTTTGTACCTTCATGTGCTATGTCTGTGTGTTTGTAGGTATATACTTTTAATGTTCTTGTAAAGATCTAATCCCCAAATATATGTTAATGATCCAGTCCTCTAATTATAATACTTTTGATGTCAAGTTTTATTCAAGCTAAATGTTTCAACTCTCAGAGGTAAAATCTTTCCTAGCCATTCAGGGGGATGCATGATAATGACAAAATGTTTCCTAGTTCATGTTTCTAAAATAAATTTATTTTATAACATTGCTTTATTTACCTCAAAAATATTTTAGCAGAATTAATGTATTATGAGAGGGACCCTAGAACTCAGAATGACTCCTTTCATGTGCAGTCCTCTTTCCTACTGCAGAGGTCTCTGTCATGCCAGGTCCTTTATCCATTGAAGGGAATGTAGAGTAGTTCCTAAGTAATTCACTTATCAACTTCTCTACTTACAAGCAGGACTGGTTTTTTATATGCACATAAAATTATGATCATATGAATAAAATTGTGGAACAATTTACTTTGAATCTGATACTCCACCTTAGCCCATTTTAATAGACTGAATCTGTTGGTTCTTTCACTTCGTATCATTTCCCATATTGTGTATCTGCAGTGTTATTTTGGAAGCAGACTTCTTGTGCTGCAGTCAACATGTTACACATTTTTTTTTAATGACTCGCCTGCATGAGTTTTTTCTTAGTAGTGAGTTTACTTCTTAGTAGCCTTTAAAGTCTTTGAACATTTTGTCCCAGATTGCTTTGTTCTAAGTAAGCCAGATGCATTTCAACTATAGTATTTTTTGCATTTAATTTTGTATCCCCCTGGATTGCTTTCTTTAGCTTGGTCTGTGGTTGGGGGCTCTGCTGAGTAGCAGACACTGCTACTGCTTTTGGCCTCTCCAGGGCCTCAACTCCTGCAATATCTAGAACTTAGGAAGTTTAAAAAGAAGTATTTCATTTTTAATGTAGTTATTTTTTCCAGGAATTGATTTTTCTGTAGCATTATTTCTTCTCCAAGGAAAATATTTGGCAATTCAGCTACTGAGTTTATTCCTTGGTAGATAAGGGGACAACCTGATTTCTTTCACATATTCTCAGATTGAGTTGCAACCTTCTTTGGGTTAAAGTCACTATGACCTGAAGAGTAGGGAACATGAATAGAAAATTGAGGTTATTCTAATGAATTTATAGTTCAATATGATAAGAAAGGTGCCCCAATATAGAAAGTAAATAGTTCCCTCTTTAAGACCTTTCATTGCTGTATGTAGTTCAAATTTTTTGAGTTTTAAACAATCAAGATGGTTCATCTGGTAAAAGTGCTTGCTACCCAGCGTGACCACCTGAGTTCAATCCCACATGTTGGAAAGAGGCAACAACTCCTGAAGGCTGATCTTTGACCTCCACACATGCACTATGGCATGTGCATATACACATCTAAGTAAATACATTTTAAGATCTTTAAAGCTTGATTTTAGCATAAAGAATCAAAAGTATGCCCACTCTTCTTTATATGTAACTTCAACATTTATATTCAATGGTCAGATTGTCTATTATACCCCACCCTGATCACAGCAAGCAATGAAGTTTAGAGGAGAGAGAAGAATCTGCAGGTATATTAGGGAAATTATCTGGTTCTTCTTTTAAATAGATGATGAATAAGAAAAAGAAGTGTCATTTGAATAACAGTAAATCATCTACCAAAAAGAAAAATTAACTCTGATGTTAAAGGTGGTGGTTCTTTGAGTAAAGGAGTATTTTCACAGAAATTTTCCAAAACTGAATATCTCAGAATTCACAAATCCAGGGGCTAGTGCTGACTGTGCAAGCATAGAGACCTGAATTCAAGCCTCAGCGGCTGCATAAAAAGCCAGGTATGCTGGTGCACTTTTAATTGCAATGCTGGAAAAGAAGATTCCTTGGAAGACAAAGCAAGAGAATTCCTGAAGCTTACTGGCTAGTCAGCTTAGTACATTGGCAAGCACCAGGTCATGCTGAAATAAACTGTCTCAAAAAAACAAAGTGAGGGCCGAGTGTAATGCCGCACACATTTAATCTTAGCACTTGGGAGGCACAAGTAGGTGGATCTCTATGTGCTCAAGTCCAGTCGGGGCTGCATACATAATGAATTCCTTTCTCAAAATAATTGAAAAAAAGATGAATGGCACCTAAGCATGACACCAGAGGTTAACCTCTGTCCTATACATGCTTATGAACACATGTGCATGTATACTCACATATATACATGCCCAAAGATAATTCACACACCAAAAAAAAATATGCAATTTATTCCTTCAATTCCTGAGCATCTGCTACGTGCCAAGTATTTTACTATATTCTAGAGATAAAAAATCATGTTCCTGTATTCCAGCAACTCCCCGCTTAATAAGCAACCCCAGTGAGAAAACCTGCTATGAGAACCCTGGAGCAATCCAAAAGCAAAGAGCAAGCCTGAACTATTCAGCGGACAGATGAAGAAAAAAATAGTAACCTGGTTATTGTGTCACTCTTTTTTCCCCTCCTGCATGTGAATAAAACTTGGCATAACTCTCATAACAAAATTTACTACTTGATTTATTTTTTAATGTTAAATGGATGGTTATATATTGTTACCAAAATAAATTTTGTAACTCTTTATTTTAACCTTTTCAGAATCCGAATCTTGAACTGCCCATGTTGTTGTCCTACAAGCATATTGACAGTGGTTGCAGCTAAAGAAAGAAAGCATGAAGGAACAAAAGATATTAACTCAGGATACTCAATATGCAACAAAAAACCACTCTCATGTATAGGGTTCAGAATAAATGTCCATTAAAATACCAAATAACTCTCCTAACCATTTACAGTTATAGTAAGTAGCCATTATGGTCAAAGTTAAGACTTATATGAAAGTTTAAAGTAAGCATACTTAGAATTCTGGATTTAGATAGAAAAATGTAACTATGAAAAGGATGCTCTTTTAACCCATTGACTTTGTGAATGGATTTAAATATAGTAGTATAAAGTAGAAGTCATGCAATGGCAATGATCAGATTTTGCTAATACAGTGTTACTTTTTTGCCTGGCAAAAGACATAGGCTGTTTGTATCACATTTCTTGTTCCTGCTAAATGATTATCTTATTTTTTTCCACATATAAGAGCAATACTTGAAAATACAGAAAGAGTAAATGATATTACTGCATTAAACAAAAATAGTTCATCTTCTGTTCAATCATAGGCTAATTGTCTTGGTATAATATCCTTTCCCAAAAAACACATTGAGGACTTTGTGTGATACTGTTAATTATTGTTATTATTGTAGAAACAGGGTTGGAAAAGGTTATTTGGTGTATTGCCTTCTGAATTACACACCATGTATGTATTTAGGACTATTAAACTTGAAATTAAAACACTTCAGTCACTTGGGTAGTAGCCCCTCAAAACAGTTAAGCAATAAAAAGATATTTCCAGTGTCAATTTTGCTGGGTAGTGAGCTAATGTGGGTTAAATAGATAGAAAGAGCTAAGGTGGGTTAAATATATAGAAAGAGCTAAGGTGGGTTAAATATATAGAAATAAGCGCCATTCTTAGCATTGGCATTTTATAATTTTATGTGGCAAAGGAGAATAGCTTATTTTAAATTACTAACGGTTTTTATTTGAAAGAGGTTGTTTGTGCATATATATAGCACTTTTTTTTAAAAATATTATTACCAATTTGGTAGGAAAGATCCATTACAAAAACAGTTCAGGTTGTGAAGCCATGACTCTTTGGACATGAATGTTGTCTCCTGTAGCTAACTGGGACAGGGGAGTGGTCTATTTCTCAACTATGAGATAGATCTTGGTAAGATCCTCAAACTGCTGAACCAAAAAAAGGGTTTAACCCCTAACAAGTTCACTTAAAACATGAAGTAAGTGTGAAATGTCTTTATTTGATAGAAGGACCACATTTGAAAGCTAGGCTGAAATGATATTTAGAAAATATTTTTCTATCAGTTTCTAATATTTTTTGTCAGTCTGACATGCCTGTACTATTTGATGTTTATATTGTACCTTGATTTAGGAAAGTATTAGGTTCATTCTATTCCAGTATATTTATATAGTCCATATGGCACATTTGATTCTTCCATATATATTGTGTTGATGTTTAGATGTAATTTTTCTTAAATTCTAGAAAGGTCATAATTTCAGTTATCAGAAGCCATTCCCTAATGAATTTGTTCTTGTCTATCAGTATTATTTTTGAGTATTTTGTTAGGTGTCATTCACAGCTTAAGTGTGTTGTGTGCTCTTGTAGCCTGTATTTGAGGTGATCTGCTGAAAGCAAAGTCTTTCTTTTCTTTGCCTGTTCCAAAGAGCTAAAACATCTAACCCAGGAAAGCTTTGCTATTTTGTTATTGTTGTTGTCATTGTTGTTGCTGCTGTATTATTATTGTTTTACATCAGAACTATAAGGACTGTGAATAACTATAAGAGCCAAATAGAGAGACTTATTGAATGCAAAATGATTGGATAGTAGAAATAAAACTGAATATGTGTGACCCATTGCAGTGGAGAGAAAGCTAGATAAGCGAGTGACATGTATTAGGGTCATGTCTCAGTTACACATTACATTGTACACTGCAGCTCAAATCAGAGGAACCTGGGTTTGCTTTTTGAAAGATTTTTATTAGTGACTTAAAACAGGGCTAGCATGGGATTAGCAGATGAAGTAAATGGAAATGAGCCATCCAGTATTCCTAGCACTACAATCTAACCACTCTTAGAAGAGGGCAAGAAATCAGTAAAAAAATAAAAGTAGGATTGTATTACCATAATTTGAATGAATTCTGAACCATCAAAATGTCCATGTAATTTTACAAACTGTTGTCTATTGTTTGAGGATGTTGCCTATTAAACAGAAAATATTCATTCCATATCTAGTACATATACACCAGCAACAGTAGAAATGTAAGCCTAGATTTGCAAAAGTCATAATTTAGTGATGAAATTTTTTAATAACATGCAGTATATAAATGTGCAAATTTTATGCAGATGTTGATAAAATCATTTTTCAGCTTGTAAAATGGAACTGCAGTATTACATTTTTCACTTAAGCAATTTTTTACATCTACTTTGTTGCTTTCTAAAATGAACATGGATGCCATCTTTTATGAATGCAACTTGCCTTTTTCATTACAGAAATTTTCGTTTGATGTAATCAATAAACTTTGGTATGATACAATTCATATTTGAGCCTCTTTTTTTAAGTATCAATTTGATACCAAAATGTTATGGGTGCAATTTAGTGATAGAAAGTAAGTTTCTTATTTCCTGTTTGCATGTACAGTTCACAACAGATTGCTACAACATTTCTATGAATTCAGCTGATATTTTATAACAGTACCTAATCTGAGGTGGGTAAGAAAGTTGTGAAAATTTTTATTCTATAGTCGTATAAATAAAGGCCCAGCCAGGATGTACCTATATTCATAGGTGTGTATTAAGCATGCACAAGGTCTTGGGTTTGATCCCTAGTACACAAAAAAGTATAAAACACAACCAGCTCAATAAATGCATGTTAAGTGTTCATGATATGCTTTTACTGTTGCCCACACACTTGGGGGGGGAGGGGCGGGGATGTGATACACATGCTGTATGGTCTGTATTTTTGACCTATTGAAACTATTTGATTCTTAAGTGACCGGAGATGAAGTATTACTGTAGTTTGAAAGTTAGTCCAAAGATGTGCCTGTTCACATCTCCCCACCATGCCTCCCTATATTGCTCAGGCTACACTCAGACCTTAAGAATGACCCTTTTTGGAAAAGTACTTAGTGTCAAACCAGTTGCTCTACCTAAATCTAGTTGTGTTGCATTTTATACTTCAGTCACTTCATTTCATTCAGTTAGTATTCTGGTTAGTCTAAATTTCCTTTTTATTGTTGTGAGAAATGCGTTGTATTCAGAGACAAGATCCGAATTAAAGTTTCAAATACTGTTACCCAGTGTGATGGAAGTCAAATGAGTTAAGAGATCAGACTTGTAACAATTCATTTGCTACTCAGAAGCATAATTAAAGACTTGCTTATTTCTCTGACGCTAATGAAAACTTGTCATTTACTAACACTACACATATGTGTAATACATGCTTTCTAACTTTCTGAAGTCAGTTTTCAGGATCCCTTCCCCCATCCAACCTTATGGGTCATTTGCTGTCTCCCAGCTTTGTTTGCCTTCAATTGACCAATACAGTGGCTGTTGTGAGGTCTGAGTGATTTGACCTCTTCAGCAAGAAACACATGCAAAGGTTAGGGGCTGAGGTTATCACTATGGTTATTCAGTGAATGCATCTATGGGTGAAGTGCTGGATGCATACTAATGAAGCCAGAAGGCCAGATAGTTACCAGGGATAGTTACCAGGAAAAAAAAAAAAGGAATAGCATTAGTTGGCTATGTTTTTATTCACATTTTCCCATTCATTGGATGTGCGAGGAACCAGAGCCTAGTGCCTAATTCACTCATCTTTGGTTCTAAAGAAATGTTCCTCTGTGGGTTAAGGTGAGACCTTGATCTTAGAGATCTTAGGAGGAAGTACTGGAAGCAAATTGATGGCTAAAATGAACAGTATACCTCATGGTAGGCCAGAAGTCCTGACAGTCTTTAGCCCTTGTTCTTTGGGTAGGGATATACATTGTTGTTTTAGTTTCTTCGTGAACTGCCACGAAAGTTCTTTCTGTTAGTAAAACCAAATAAATGTCCAGCTCCTCATTTTAGGTAACAGTGCTCTAACCACAGTATACATTTTTACATGTTTACTAACCCCAACAGCCTTAGATACATACTGATATTTCCCATATACCCAATGAGGAAACTAAGTCACAAAAACTAAGGTCACATAATCTATTAGAGGCAAAATTCGAATCCAGGTATTGTGGCTAGAGTCTATTCCTAACTAGGACACTGTGTTTTCATCATTATCCGTACCCTGATGGCATAAATTGACAAGCCATCAAAAATTAACCATGAGAAAACATCAGACAAACCCAAAGCATAGGGTTTATGTATAATAATGGACATATAATCTTCAACATTATCAAGATCATGAAAGACCAAGACTGAGAGACTGTCCCAAATAAAGAAAACCAACCATGAAGCATGTGACCATAGTTGAATCTAGAACTAGAAATTGAGTGACTAAAATGTATAATATATACACATAATATATATACTTTTAATATAAAACTCATAGATGGTCTCATGTAGCCCAGGCTGACCTCAAACTTTTTAAATTTTTGCATGTAATTGTGTGGATATGCATGAGCTATAATGCATGTGTGGAAGTGAGAGGACAGCTTGTGAGAGTCAGTTTTCTCTTGAGAGTTCTTGGAATTGAACTCAGATATTAGCACCTTTAACTGTTCACTACCTGTGTTCTCCATTCAGATGTACTGGACAGCCTTAAGCTCTACCATCTTCATCAGCAGATTTGGTGAGATTGGGAACTCTTATTAGAGGGGGAATAGAGATTTTTCTCACATTAAAAAAATAGGAAGTGCTATTACAATGGAGGGATTTAGGTCTCTGTATGATAATATGCTGGAGGGTTTGAAAATAGATAACTAATTTAGATGGGAATTATGTAATGTCAATTTTAAATATCAATTTTATCACTAAGAAGTTGGTTAATATGAATGGTAAGATAGAAATTTTAGGAAAAAATAAAACATCATAGAGATTTTCAGACAAAGACAGAGGAATGTAATGGAAAACCAATTTCAGGTTAAGAGAGGAATGGTCTAATGTTTTCGAACAACCAGCCTAAATATGTCCATTCACCTTACAGGAACTTCCAAATGATGGCTATCCCCAAGGCTGTGTAAGAGCTCACTAGAATCTTGTAGAAATGTTAGATTTTAATGATATTCAAGGAAAAATAGTTTCATATGGCATAAATTCACCTTTTGTGAAGCAGATGTCAAACTCATGATCACCTTGTAACAGAATTATCCCTGGAGACTGGAGAGACTGGGTTACAGCTGGGAACCTGGTCCTCAAAAACAATGGAGGACCTGATGAAGAGATGAGGCTAAGACTATTGAACAATGAAGTAAGATTGGAGGTATGGAAATTTCCCAAGACCAACTTCTTGGAGAGGGAGAGTATGCTGATGTACAAAGGCAATGTCTATATGATGACCACCCCCTGGCTTTATGCTGCACAGCAGCTTTCAATGCTTGGTAACAAACTGGAGAAGAAAAATGAGTCATTTACTAAGGTTTATACAGTACCCAAAGGAAGCCTTCATGAAATTCTTACTAAGATTGACTTCAGCTGTAAATAGAATGATACCAAATTCAGAAGATACACAAATAATAATTTAATCTCTGGCTTTTGAAAATGCACAATGCAAAAGGATAATTAGGCCATTAAAGGCAAGATCAGCACCCTCAGAGGATTGGGTCAGATAAAATCAATATTGAATCTCATGACCATGATGATGCTTGGATAGGAGAGGTGATTTGCAGAGATTTGAATAGTCGAAATGTGAAGTGTTTCAATTGTGGTGAACAAGGGCACCTAAAAAGGGATTATAAACAAGGGGTTTCTAGAAACAATGTTTTTTCTAAGTATAATCCAAACATAACACCTCTTCCTTCTGGATTACATAGAAGATGTGGCAAAGGAAGGTATTAGACAAATGAAAGTAGGTCAACAAGGGAAAGTCAAGGTAACCTTTGCAATCAGGAGACTCCTCTTGCAGGCCCCCATGTCAAATTTGGTTCAATTGTTTCCTGTCATCGTGATGGAAACTCCTTCCCAGAGCAATTGTTTAAAAGAAAAAATACTGCTCTGGATGATAGGATAAGCTATAGAAGAGAGAACAAAAAATTCAAGAGAAACCCTTAAGTATTTTGACAAACTTCTATAAATAAACAAAGACCAAATTTAAAAATACAAATAAATGATTGAGGGTCTTGTAGACAAAGGTGTGAATGTTACAAAAATTGGCATCCAAATTGGCCTCTTCAAGAGGTAAATGTTCAACTTTTAGGGATTGGAACTTTATCTCAGGTAAAACAGAGTGTGAGATGGGTCACATGTATGGGGCCAGAAGGATAAAGAAGCAAATTAAAGCCATATATGGCTAACATATCAATGAATTTATGGGGACATAATTTGTTACAGCAATGGAATACTCAGATTAACACTCCTCCAGTCTTAGAAACAAACCATACATTAGCATGTTTCTGGCTAAACATTAGACAGTACTATATTAAAAAAAAAAACAAAAAAGGGTCACTGCCCATTCAAGTTCTATGAGAGCAGGACGCAACAGCAACAGCTGCTAATCTTTCAAAGCACCAACAGCCCTACCTTTAAAATGGTTGACAGACAAACTTTTGTGGGTTAAGCAATGACCTTTAACAACAGAATCTGCAGGCCTTAGAACAGCTGGTACAGGAACAGCTAAATGCTCAGCATATTGAAGAATTAATCAGCCCTGGGAATTATCCTGTATTTGTTGTGAAAAAGAAATCTGGAAAATGGAGAATGGTAATAGATCTAAGAGCTGTTAATAAGGTGATTCAGCCAGTGGGCTCACTACAGTGTAGAATTCCTTCACCTTCTTAATTATCTAAAAGATCACGTCTTTATGATTTAAAAATTGTTTTTTCACAATATCTTTACAAGAAAAAGACACAGAAAATGTGCCTTCACAGTGCCTACTTATAATCATTCTCAGCCTGCTAAGAGATATCAATGGAAGGTTCTCTTACAGGGGATGTTAAATAGTCCCTTCCTGTACCAATATTTTGTATGACAGCCTTTGGAAATGATATGTAAGCAATTTCTTCAATCTATATATAGTTTGCCATTACATGGATGACATTTTACTAGCTGTTTCAAATGTAGATACTTTAAAAAGAATGCTTGGAGTAAAGAAAATTTTGCCTTGTTGGACATTACTTGCTCCTGTAAAAAATAGAGGAGATTCTGTTAATTACTTAGGAAATAAAACATATCTACAGAAAATTAGATCCCAAAGGGGGAAAATTAGGACAGACTCTTTGAAGGATTGTTAGGAGATATTTATTATCTAAAGTGCACTATTGGGGTATTCTATGATTGATTGAATAATGTGTTGGAAGCCTTAGGTAATGACAAGGACTGAAATATTCCAAGAAAATAATCAGCTGAAGCTGAGAGAGAATTGGCTTTGTTGAAAAAGACATTATAGGATG